TCCTAGGATAAAAGTATTCCTGGGAATACTTATCCTAGGATTATCTATTTCCCTGCTTTCTATTTCCTAAGTACCTTTATCATTACTTTCTAGCATTATAATATTAGTATAATTATTATCTTGCTCTAGTGCCCATCCTGGTAGCTCTATTATTATAGTTTATTATAATAGCTTTATTACTGCTAATACTGCTATTATCCTTTAGCTGGTTATTACTTCTTTCTTTAGTCCACTCTTTAACTACTTAGTATTATTATTATTATCATTCAACCTAATATGCTATAAGGCCCTAGTTTCCCCTTAAGTCCAGTCCTATTATAGGCATTTACAGTTAAACTAGATTTAATTTATATTCTAGTTAATTACTAGGTTATAATTCCTAAGCTATAGAATCCCTAACACCACATCATACTATCCTATTAGTATAATATTAAAATTAATTCTTTTAAAGTGTCCTAATATAACTATTAGAACTAGTCCTAACTTAGTTATAATTATAAGAGTTCCTAAGTTCTCTCTATTCAGACCTATAATTAGTTTAGGTACTGCCTTTATTTTTCTAAGAATCCCTAGCTTTCCTATAAATACTAGATTTATAAAGTTACCTATTACTCCTAAGTCAATCATCACTTTAGCTAATTAATTAAGAATGTTTATAACTATCTTTAAGTACTTCCTATATTATACTATTACTATAAGGTATTCCATTTCCCATTTTGGTGCCCTTATCATCAGAGGTGGCACAGGGAAATATCCTCCTGCTAATTTACCTTGGTAGTGCATTATATATTAGTCCTTAAAGCATGCTGTCTAATGCATTATATCATATTCTAGGTATTATCTATATCCTTTGCAAGAGCATTTAAGCTTCTAGCATGGACAAGTATCATTCTCCTTCACAATTACTAGTACTGATGGCCAATATTTTGCTATATACTTATTATTATAGTGGATACTATAATTATTACTATAACAGGTAATCCATAGCACCTATTCATATTATAGGTATCCTCAGAAATATTTATATAGATACTAGTTATAGTTATATTTCCTGTGAAATGGTCCTAGTAGTCTTTTTTCTAATATTCTCCTAAGTTTATAGTGATATTTATTCATCCACTGTCTACATCTTTAATAATAGACTGTGTGATTCCTATAGTGTGTTATATACTATTCCTAAGATTTAACTTAGGTCTAATACTCTAAGTTTTAATATGTGCATCCCTTTACTCCTTACTTAACTTTCTTAAGGATTTATGCATTTAGTTAGTACACTTCCAGTTCTGCTAACTATTTCCTATCTAGCTATTATAGCTATATAGGGTATTAATCCACTTCATCATTATTTTATAGGGAATTATCTCTAGGTATCTTAGGAATCTTATAGGGCTGCTCCTTATTAGGATTAAGGCCCACCTACTAAGTTCTATACTCTTTATTAAGTAGATTAATAGGTCAGTTAATCATGGCCTAGTCTATTGTGGGAAAATCCTCTTAATCTAGCTTATCCTAGTTAGTATTTTCTAAATCAGGGCCAATAACCTAATTAATCTTTTATAAGAGTACTATTAATTAATAAGTAACTCCTTTAGGTGTAATATCTTCTTATTTATTAGAGCTATACTTATTACTGATTAGTAATTCCTAATTAGTGGCTGTAAGTACATTTAAATTCTTTACAGGCTAATTATTATTTATACTTTTATAATTAGTAGAGTCTTCCTTCTTAAGTTCTATTTTAATTTCCTTATTACTCAAGCTTATATATTCCTTGTATAGTTTTTTAAGTCATTCATCAACCTTCTTTGGTTTAATAATACTAGTAGTATTATAATTATTTCTACTAATTATAGTACTAAGCTCCTTCATAGCTTATAATTATTTTCTATCTCCCTACTTACCCTTCCTAGGTGGTTATTTACAGGTTCTAGATATATGTCCTAGCTTCCCACACTAGAAATATAGTCTCTCTTTTCATTACCATTCTCTCTCTTTATTTAAGAGTGCTATATGTGTTACATCCAACTCTATTAGTTATAGTCTATAGGGGTCTGTATACCCTTAATTTCATGGCTAAGCTGGCCTCCTATCATTCACTTAATAGTTTATAGTATGCCTATTACTGAAGCTATTCTAATTACTTTACTCCCTTTTGCGCATGTTAAAGTCTTGTAGTTTATTATTAATCTTAACTACTTACTTAATTATCTTACTAAGTATATTAGGTCATTCTATCCAGATTAACTTTTCCTAAACTTCTAACTTTAACCCTTCTTTAAATTATGTAATATTCATGTCCTTATCCTAATTTAGATAGGATATGATCTATTAGAATCATAATGCATATTCCCTAATAGATCCTATCTACTTAAGTTACCATAGTTGTTACTTAGCATTTCTTTCTTTATTAATGTTACTAAAAGTTCTTTTAAGTTATTTCTTAAATTTAGCATAGCTAGCAAATATAGCTTACATCTCATCATCTTATAAGTCCACAGAGTGTTCTTAATAATCCCTAACAAAGGGTTTAAACCAGTCAAAGGCTAGTCCTATTAAGTAAGTAGTTATAAATAAAACTTTATCTGCCTTATTAGCTAGTTTCTCTCTATTCATCTGGATGTACATATCTAGTTATGTAAGAAATACTCACAACTTAGATTAATTTCTATTAAATGGTTCTAGTGGTCAGATCTTAATAAATTTAACTACTAGTTATCTACTTAGAGTTTCATTCTATTACTCCAGTTATTAGATGTGTTCTTAGAGCTATTCAATCATGCCTACTAGATCTTCTACTATGATCTGGGGCTGTGCAACTGCTTACTGCTATAGAGTTCCTACCTAACTAATATTTAAGCTAGTAGGGGTTGGTGCATTTCCTACCATAATATTTAATATTAAGAGTTAATCAAACTTCCTAAAGTAATTTATACTATACAGCATTCAATTTATTACACCCTAGGATCTGTCTCTACTATTCTCTACTAGTTAACTACTTTAGGAATAAGGTGATATAGTCCCTAGACTATATCCAATACTTGCCTAAGGCCTACCAACCAGGTAGCCTATTAATACAATAATACAATGATCTGAACAGGATTAAGGATAACCAAAGGTAACACAAGAATAATAATAGTAGAGATAGAAGCAAGGCCTATTAAGTATATATACTTAATAGTAAGAGAGTAACTAATGAATTAGACTAGTAAACTTATATTTAAGTAAATAACTTGTATTAAATATAAGGAACTAAACTAAGAGTGCTAGATATAGTAATAATAAATATCCTTATATATCCATAGTTCCTCTCAATGGTATACCGAATGGTATATTCTAAGTATAAAGGTGGTAGATCATATACTCTTATTCTAAGGCCTTAGCATACCATTCATATACCACTTCATCACGTGCTTGTGGTTGTAGAATAACTGTTTAGTTATATCCTACTGTGTGGTTTTTCTATAAGAACTTGTCCAGATTAAGCATTTCTCTAGATCACTCCGTGATCCTTCCTGGATTGATTAGTGATCGACGATCCCCTTCAATTCTGCCTGTCACATCCGCCTTGCGCTAATGCGGCTGTGTTGGTGTCGTAACAGAGACCTGGCCAGACAGACTTTCTATGTAATTTATTATAGCCAGCCCCTAGGGTCCCTTAGTATTTTTAATACTATGGATGCATCTGGCTGCTATACTCCTTGGATAGCTAGGATAGGATGACCCTGGTGTAATAAATAAGCTTAACCTCCTATTTAGTAGACCCCTGGAAGAGGTGAAAGGTTTTCTTAAGAAAGCTTCTCTAGATTTAATTACTAGCATGAATGAGGCAATGATGTGGTTTAAGAGTATAGAGTAAGAAATCTATAATTAGGATTTAGTCTTTGCCCTATTAGAAGTAGGGGTGAATAAGGTGGAATATATTATAGATATTAAGTAGAGGGTAATACTACTTATAATAATACCTTAGGCTAGGCAGTCCTTAACATGAACTTTAATAGTAATACTAAAGGTAAAGATTATATCTAAGGGGGATAGTAATACTAAAGTAACTCCTCCTTATAATACTATAGGAAGTGATACTAATAGATTAGGTATTATTATAATAGAGGCAGTACTAAGCATGGCAGTTATAAAGGAGGCAGCTTCTAGTGTTATAGATAATAATAATAGGAGTAGGTAGATCTTAGTAAGATCTAATAAAGGTGTTAGATGCTTCTTTAGGGGAGATAATATAGTAGAGGAACTTACTTATTCTTTCTTTTAGGTTAATTAGTTAAGCCTATCTTAGAGTGAAACCTCTAAGGTCTTAACATTACTATAGGGAGGAGATTATTCTCTTAGTTATTATTATCTTTACTATTATAAGAAGAATAGAATATTTATTTCCTAAAGCCTTATCTGCTCTTATATAAACTAATATCTACTCTAGACATAACTTATTATCTAACTCCTAGTTCCTAGAAGGGTTGACCTACTCTTCATAGTGCTATTTAATTCCCTGATTATAGTATAGATACACTATCTAATACATTGGTATGCTGCTATAGCAACTAAGGTTTACTATATTTAGGTAGGAGATTTGTGGAGGTAGTGGCAATAGGTAATACATGTGGGGAACAGTAAAAAAATCCAAAAGTTCCTTTTGTACAAATAGTCCGCCGTACTATTCCCAACTAAACTAGAGCAAATTGCGTGATTGATAGTGGATCCTTAATCATCCCCACTCCTCCGTCCTCGCAATAAATATAATCATGTACTCTAGTGACTAGTCCAGAACATCAAATTCATGCCAAACAACATCAAAGCATAATGGCAAGCCCTTTCTTGACTATGCTGGTCTCGCCGGCCGAATTCTACGCCGCCGTGAACTCACCCACAAACACCCGGCGAATCGTCCCCGTAGCCGCCGGCCGGCGCGCAGTACACACCCCCGCCTATCATGCCCAGCATATCCCCAACTCCGTGTATGTTCCACCTCAACCACCAGCGCCTTCACTCACTAACAAGCACAGCTTCTTCGACATGGATCTCATCAGAGATACCACCTCGCCATATCCCCAGATGCTCCCCACCGCCGCACACTTCGCCTCCTGCGTAGCAGACCTAGGCATCAAAAAGGACGACGTGCTAGTCATCTACGACGCCGTCGACGTGGGGATCTACAGCTCGCCGCGCGTGGCGTGGATGTTCCGCTTCTTCGGTCATGAGGCCGTGCATGTCTTGAATAATTTCCGGGTGTATGTGCGGCTGGGATACCCCGTTGCCAGTGGGGAGATGCGGCCTCTCCCGTCCGTGGACGAGTACCCTGTTTCTCCGCCGGACAGCGACCGGGTGATTTCGTTTGATGAGTTGAGGGAGCTGATTTTGGCTCGTGAGGACGGGTTCCAGATTGTGGATTCGCGGATTGCGGGGCGGTTTAGCGGGGAGGAAGACGAGGCGGTGGCTGGGTTGAGCTCGGGGCATATGCCGCGGGCGGTTAATGTGCCGTTGGCGGCGATGCTGGAGGAGGAGTCGAGCACGATTTTACCGGTGGAGAAGCTGAGGGGCGTGTTTGAGAGGGCGGGGTTGATGGGCGGGTGCCGTTGGTGTTGACGTGCAATTCGGGGGTGACGGCTGCGGCGCTGGATTTGGCGCTGGGGGAGACTGGATTTAAAAATCCAAGGCGGATCTACGATGGGAGTTGGATGGAGTGGGCGAGGAGGGTGGATCGGCCGGAGTTGATTGTTAAGGATGTGCATTGACTGGTAGACTGCATAGAAGCTATATCATGAAGATGTCGGATCCTCGATCCAATTGTGTATCGCTCGGACCACTTCGTCGCTGTTCTTCTCCAAGAACATCATATGCCCGTTGCCATGGATGCCGACCTTCTCGAGTTTCAGATGCGTTGTTGGCACTCCGGCTTGTTGCAGAAATCGAGCAGTGCACCAGTCGTGCGTGGCATGATACGATGCTTCGGCTGTAGCGACCAAGGTCCGAATTTTGGACAGGTTGGCGAGCCGTCGAGGGGGAGGGTTGTCAGCCTGGATCACGCAATCCGACGTTGCATTAGAGTTGGATGTGATCGTCTCTTTAACAAAGTCGGCGTCTGGGTTGGTCACCGCAGGTGAATATGTGATCGGGATATCAGTCAATCCATATGGACGGGCCGGTCCACTCCCAAAAACTGCATTCTGGAATGGCGGACCAGATGGTTCAATGGATACGATGGAATGCACCAGATCCGGTTTCCTATCTGCCATAACCCACGCCATCGCCCCTCCCTGGGAATGAGCGACAAGTATCGCCGGCTTGCCGATGGCGTCTAACAATGCAGCCCCAGCAAGCTGCATGGAGGCCTCTTGAGCAGCGTTTTCTGCAAGCGAAGGAACGGTGGATGCATAGTACGCATCGAAAAAGGAATCGCCCATAACACCAGACCCTGGCCACTGGGTGTGAAGACTCGCCTGCGGCCAGAGGTTGTATTTCGCCGTGTTAGTAAAGTACTTCTGCAGATGCTCGGCGCTGTATTTCCTCAGCTGCCCGTTTTTGATATCCCAAGGACTCCTGCCGCGGGAGGTGTGGTCGAGCAAGTAACATTCGTAGCCTTGCGAGAGAAAGTAAGACGCCCATCCTTCGTCTCCGTCGGGTTTGTTCAGCCAGTTCTGGTCGTGTTAGTGATGTGAGGCTTTCAGACAAGGAGCAATTGTACCGTTGCCGTCTGGTCGGCTCCGTGGATAAACACGATCGGATACTGTTTACGTGGGCCGTCAACAGGAGTAAGTCGTTCGACGTACATCTGGTTGGTGAAGATGTGTTCTCCATCATTGTTGAGAGTGTAGTTGCCTCCAACATAGAGGTATGTTCGGCGATGCGGTGTTTCGACGGCGGCAGCAAGCAGGCAAAATGCTATGGCTAGAAGATAAAGTTTGGCCATTATGAGGGTGGATGAAAGGGCGAAATATTGAATTGAGAGCCAGAAGAGGGGAGTTGTGCATGCTCAGCCCCGCACCTGCATGGATGTGATATCGCTGCGGCAACGGCTGATGTAGTACAAATTGCAGCTAATCTACCAAAGAGGTATAGATATGCGTTCATCTCACTATCCAACTTCATAAATCTTGATTGCCATGCTCGGCTAAAGATGCTTCATCCCGCTGTATCATTTCCTTTCCGTATTTGATTGCCCGTTCGTGGCTTTCTACCTCGTCCTCCACAAGCTTTTTGGCCTGTACAGCCTCGCCTGGTAATTGTAGGGCCCAATCTCTGAGGGCTTCAAGTTCGCGCTCCATCATGCTCATACTGGCTTTCCAATCCCGAATACTAGCGACTGTATCCGTTCTGCCGAGGGAGGCAATTCCGGTCGCAGATTGAAAGGTCCTCCCTGGACAAAGCCGTTCTGCGTCTGCTAGGGCCGCTTCGTATGCCTTTTGATAGATGGCAGCCTCCCTCTTCGCCTGCTGGAGGCCGATCTGATGGTATCGCGCACGGTCGGGGTCAGTATCAGCAGACTCGTTCGCCGAGTTCTGGTATGTTTCCACTTTCTCCCGCTTCCCCTTGTACTCTTGCCGAAGCTTTTCCAGTTCCCAGAGGGGGAGATCTTCCTTCCTCTGGCATACTCCCCCAGGACACAGCCTTTCTGCTTCTTGTTCAGCCTTGGTGAAATACTCATTGTTCCTCGCAGACCATAGCTCTTCTCTCCAGAGCTTGAAACGCGCCGCCCATTTCTCATCCGTAGACTTGGCCGCCGCAAGTTTAGCCTGATATACCGAAATGCGGCCCTCCGCATGCTTCTCCCAGGTCTTGAATCTTTCCAAGCTTCGCAATGGATGTTCAGCGGTGCTCTTGGCGATCGCTGCACAGTGCGCCCTCGCTTGGGCAACCTGAAAGCCGTCCCCGTCGAAATTATGCGGCCAGCCATACTCGCGGTACAGCTCCTTCAGGGGTATGTCATGCCGGCTCCATTCACCTGCGCAATTCTCGTCACCAGGTAGCTCGTCCAGTGAACGATACCAGCGGATAATATCGCGCAGAACATCCCCAGCGCGACGACTGGGTATAGACTCGAAGCTATTGCGGTTCTTACTTTTCTTGTTTTGTTCCTTCTCTTCTTTGTCCGAATCGTCGGAGTGAATGACTGGCCCATCCGCCAGCGCAGGATCAGTCGTTTTCCACAGTTCCTGATCAATAATCCAAATCCGATGCCGCCGCGCCTCGTAGATGATCACGCTCTGGTGATTCCCCAGCTGCGATAACGGGGTCACCCACGGCCGCATGTACGGTCCATTTTCATCCTCGTAGTCATCGCCAACAGGACAGCCGTAAAATGGATCCCGACCCTGCATCACGTCTTCCTCGCGACGGAAATCCGTGAATGCACCACCGTGAAAGAAATCTTCGTTCCCAGCCACATGACGATTCACATAAGGCAGGATGCTGTAGAGGTAGATGATGGCGGGATCAATCTTCAGCTTTTCGTACAATGGGCGCAGATGGTCAATGTTATGTGGGCCCGGTTCGATTCCTGCTGGGTCGAGATAGCGCATCTGCGCGAGGGTCTGGTAGATTTCCAGCATGAGGTCGGCAACCTCGTGCAGGCGCGCTTTCTGATCTTGGGGCAGTTGGTCGTCCATGTTGTTTGGAATCGGTAGCTGTGCATTTACCTTACGTGCAAGAGATTATATATATATCGTCCCGGGATATGTTGTGCGTGACAAGCAACAAGATTATGGGACCTAGGCATCAAGGCCCACAAGGCAGCCATTGTTGCCTGATCCTAGCCGGGTCCCACAATTCAGGAGTCTAGGGCGTCGAGGGAGACTCACATTGTCTGTTTGGGATGCAAGGAATCTTCTGAAATCCGTGTTATTGAGTACATATAAAATAATATGGCGGGATTTGGCAATGAGAGTATCATGTTTTCTGTACGCTGGCAGGATCCTGTGTGTCCATGAAGGGTGGCACAGGCTACCGTAATTATATATATTTCAGTCGGCTAGTCGTGGGCTGTTTAAGGAACCCAGTTTACCATCTTTCACCTCCAAATAATGCGATATGAGATAGCAATCAGACCAGTACATACGGAGAACCCTTAGGATTTTCATTATTGCTATTGACCAAGTATAGACGACACCATGTAAGTTTCCATCATGGCAGGTGGCTGTGTTGTGATTGATTGGGGGAGTTTCACTCCACCCGGGGATAAGCGCTGCTTGTTTGTTCTTAGCTTTCTCAGCTCCTGATCACTCTCGTAACCAGCCCAAATTCTTCTTTATATCCATCGCGTTCGAACATCACATCTCAACAAGTCCGAGAATTCCGAGAATGGGCGGCGTACGAGGAAAGTCTCAAGGCTGCGGAACCTGTCGAGCACGTAAAATCGCGGTGAGTTGAAATCCATCCATGTAACAATACACGGGATTAACAGACTCAGTGCGGACAAGAAAGACCCCGCTGCAGTCAATGCCTCAAATCCAACCGCCAATGCGCGGGCTACCAGCGCGACAAGGTATTTGTTATGGTTCAACCAGACACCAAAGAATCCGCCCGCACAACGCGCCAGGACATCGCAAAGACCACCCGAATTTCACTCGATCAAGGTCCCGGACATGAGATCATCATGAGCTGCAATATTCGCCAGCAACTCCTGGACGCCTTCATCGGGCGCTGTCTTCCTCACCAGCGGTTCCGCACACGCAGCTGGTACAGACCGTGGCTCTTTCTCCTCCCCGATATCCCCACCAGATCCAAGGCGCTGGAATTCTCAACCTTGGCGATTTCCTCGGCGGCCATTGGTCGGAGATTCAACGACAGCGCTCTCGTCCATCAGAGTCTAAGAGCGTATACGAGGGCGCTTCGTGAGATGCAAAAAGCGCTCTGGAGTGGCTCTCTGATACGCGAAGATGAGACGCTGGCGGCGTGCTTGGTTCTGAGCTTGTATGAGTTCATGGAGTGTCCGGATAACGGGGCGGACGCGTATCAGAACCACTGCAAGGGCTACCTTTCCCTGGTCAAGGCGCGTGGGATGGATGCTCATACGGATGGGATCGGGCATGATCTTTTCGTGGGCGTGAGAGTACAGGGGGTGGGTGCAATTCCCCTCTGCTGGGAAGCTATTACTGACACTGTAAGATCCTTCACGCAATTGGCGACCGGGTGCCGAATTTCGTTTGCGATCCTGCCTGGTGCCGGGATCCGTGGGCCTCGCGACCGAAACGAATGGCGGACCGCATTGCCGATTGTCTGGCTCGCATGCCGTCCATTCTCCAGCGCTATGACCAGTTGTCGTCTCTCCACCGGAAGGAGATTTTGGATTCAACATACGGGCTTGTGGAGGAATGTCTGAGGATCGATCAGACTTTACAAGACATCTACGAGGACCTTCGGCTTCAGGTAGAGGGTCCGTTGTACTGGCCTGTTCTCTCGCCGTCGTTTAAGGACAGTGTTCCCGGCCAAGGCTTGTTTCCTGTGATGTACGAATTTCCCGATCTGAAGACTGCAACGTTGTTGATGCTGTATTGGGCCTCGAGGGCTATGCTGTGGGCTACGCTGAGCAACCTATACGACGTCATTAAGCTACAGGGGGTGCATGGCATCACTGACCCCATCGTTGAAGTGACCAGTGAGAAGCACGACCCCAGTCTCAGCAACGAAGAAATCTCAACGGGACGAAATTCCCTAACACTGGGGGACGGACAAAGCTACTTAAGAATGGCACGCAACGTCTGCCAGTCCCTGGAGTACTGCCTGCAGGAAGACATGTCGCTTCTGGGCATACTTGCCGCGTCAGTACCTGTAATCATTACAGTATGGGCTATTCGGTATCGGCACAATGACGAAGCAGAGTTGGCCTGGTTGATGAACGCATCGCAGAAAATGCGTCAGGGGCTGCGAATGTGGACATACATCTGAGGAGACCACAAATGAAGCCCAACTTCGAGAATCTCCAAGCCACTAAGGGAACAATCTATTGAGTTGGCACAGCCTCAGGGGCGGAGTCACCGCTGGACAGCACAGCAAGAAAAGAATCTTGTCAGCCCTAAGCTTTTTAAGGCATAAGATGCATCCACCGCGCTAATCCTGTTTGGGTCAAAACCTGCGAGGCACGTGACTTGGTCTCAGCTGTGTATGAGAAGGTGCTGGCGATTGGATATTGAAGAAAATTTGGGTTGAAGAGGAAATGGGCTGCCTACGGTGGCTGAAAGAGGTGTGGAATCAGTGAACTATAAAGGTAGAGTGTTCTCCCCGAGTCTGCGTTGTCAATTCACTAGCTATCACTCCCACTTGCAATTCACCATCATTGTCTACTCCCATTTCAGCGATATCCTTCCTGCCCAATGCTTACAGATCATTCCAAGGTCGCCATTGCGCAGATTGTCTTCTATGTACCTGCCATAGTAGCCGCCGCAGTCCTTCTCTTCCACCGCCATGGCCGGCCCGGCAGGCCTGGATTATCCTCCAGGTCTTCTGCTTGAGTAAGTCCTTCGTTCCACCTGCTACATGTACAGGGAGCTGACGGTGATCGATAGTCCGAGAGGCCTGCGCTATTGTTACCATACTCTACGAGAACAACCCATCCAGCGTCGGCCTCTACATCGCCGCGCTGATCCTCCTCAACGCCGGACTGCTGCCGCTGATTGCAGCGACTATTGGTCTCCTGCGGATAATGTATGTGCACTTCCAGACAAACAGGTATATTAAGCATAATCTAACTCTTTTAGTATCGGTTACGAGTTCAAAAATAACAACAAGGGCCTTCACATGCCCATGAGCATATCTCGGTTCTTGTTCATTGTAGGGATTGCATTGATCATCGCCGGCGGCTCCTTGGCCGGGGATTACACGGACGCAGATTCGGTGAATACGGGTCGTACGCTCACCAAGGCGGGGTATATTGTTGTCGCAGTCTTTATGGCTGGCTTGGTGCTTATCCAGGGGCATTTCTGGAGACAGTATGACAGTCTGTCGCGGGCTAGTCGGACTGTTAGTTTTTCCTTCTGAGATATGGCCGCGAATGATGCTAATAGTGGCTACAGGTACTCAAGGGTATGGGTCTGGCTGTTCCATTTATCATCGTGCGGATCGCATGGCTCTTCCTATCGATCTATCATCCTGACGATAAGAGATGGAGTAACCTGAGTGGAGACATTGGAGCTTTCGTGGTCATGACGGCGCTGATGGAGTACATTGTCGTGTGCATATACATCGGAACAGGGTTTATGATTCCTGCTACTAAGGGCTTGACTCGTGCCGGCGACCAGGAGCTAGAGCAAAATGGGCCAGCAGGTGATGGGAGCAGCGAATACGGGAAGCTCCAATCTCTTGAGCGGGCGTGACTCGACAACGGACTAACAAGAACTTTTAATTGATACAAGGGTATATAGCACTTAGAACGAGAGACAATTATATACAATCTATACCTGTCATCACACCCCCTAAAAATGCGGCGTATTCAACGCCATCAAACACAACAACCCTCCCATCAACCCAGCAGAAGGCAACGTCAACACCCACCCACTGAAGATAAAACCAAGCTGCCTCCAATTCACCGCTCCCAGATCATAATTCATCAGCGCCACACCAGTAGCCGCACCAGTCAAACACTGCGTCGTGGAAACCGGCAACCCCAGCCTCGAGGCCAACAACACCGTAATCGCCGCGCCCAACTCCGTCGCAAACCCTCTGGTAGGCGACATCTGCGTGATCTTGTTACCCAAAGCTCGCACTATATGATACCCGTAGAACCAGGACCCAACACCCAGCAGCAACCCCGCAATAACAAGGAACCACACCGGCGTCGGCGCCTCCGTATCCACCTCTCCGGCATTGTACGTCGCATACACAGCCGCCCACGGGCCCACCGCATTCGCAACATCGTTGCTCCCATGCGCAATGGACATCATCATCGCAGAGACGACTTGGCAGTATGTCCAGAGGTGCTCGACGCGGTCGTCGTAGCGGCGCGCGCGCGAGTGGATGTCACGCAGCTGGGCGGAGTCGTGCGTGACCACGTCGCGGGTGACGCCCTGCAGGAGGCAGAACTTTATCCAGCCGAGCCATTTCCGGGGATGGGTCCAGGGGAGGTCAGCGACGGGGTGGAGGAAGCGTTCGTGGGGGCCGAGGTGTTTCTTGCGGGCTTGAGCTCGGGGGTTGACTGCGCGGAGGCGGCGGTGCGTTCAACGTCCTGCGTGGACTCGAGGAGTTTGGCGTCGGTGGGTTGGGATTGTTGCGGTTGTTTCTCACCGTTGTGGGCGTGGACGTGGGCTTTCGTGCCGGCGAGGACTTCGCCGTAGGCGTCTTCGTAGTAGTTGGTTACGAACTTGTCGCCTTTGCCGGGGAAGTAGAGCGGGCAGGTATCCTTTAAGAGCCAGGGGCCGAGGGGGAGGTGATAGAAGCGGACGCGGGCGTCTTGCTTGACGAGGCGGCGGTGGAAGTAAGGGAGGAAGAAGACGACGCCGATGAGGAGGCAGCCGAAGAAGACGCCCAGGACGATGCCGACGGCTTTGCCGGCGCCGAATTCCTCGAGGGAGGGGGCGGTGGGGCTTCGACGACGATGAAGAGGGCGAGGATGGCGCCAGTCGTGGCGAGGTAGACGGGGATCAGACGCATGGCCCACTTGAAGGGATCCTTGCGCTCGAGGACGGAGTATTTGAGAATGCCGAAGATGATGGCTGAGAAGCCGGCTGCAATGGCCGGGGCAATACCCCACGATGCAGCAATCTGGGAGACACTGCCCTTGGTCCATTCCCAGTGGATAGGTGCCTGAGCAGCAAAGCCGACACCGACCAGAGCACCGACAATCGTTTGAGTAGTAGAGACAGGCCAGCCCATACCGGTCGCCAGCATCAGCCAGGCAGCATTGCCCATTTCAGCGCAGCCCATTGCCAGCATGAGAGGGCCGGGCTGGTTCTCAAACCGGTCGATACTGATGATACCGGACTTGATGGTAGAGGTCACTCGGGCTCCTAGGGCAACGGCACCAATGAACTCGGTACACGCGGCCAGGATACCGACCTGCCACATGCTCAGCGTGCGAGCAGCGACGGAGGTGGCGTATGAATTCGCCACATCGTTGGCTCCATTACCAAAGGCACTGAAGACGAAGGTGATGGAGGTGAGGGCGAGGATCCAGTCGTACTTGGCAGTTGCGGCGGGGATCATCTTGACTTCAAGCTGCAATAGCTGCCTTGGTAGAGAGTGAGAAGAAAATTGATGGATGATCGGGAACTACAGACGCAGAGAAGTGAGGGGCGCTATATATCGAGCTCGGCAGAAGCAAGGATCTGTGCACTGCTCGCCAAGGGCAGCTCGTGTGCTTCGGGATACTTCTGAGACGACCTCAAGAGTTACCCAAGTTATCACACTCACGAACGTGAAGCCACAGCATATTCCCATTGGCTTGTTGCTTTGAATTTTCCGAGTGAGTCTTCCATGGCAGGAGAGCGGACTTGGCGCCAAGGTCCGCCGAGAGCTTCGGCGGACCACAACCACGAAAATCTCAGCAAATAACATTGCATTCCTCAGCACGTTCCTGAGCTGCTGGATATCGTTGAAAGCCAAGACAGTTGGTAAAAAACTGGCGTAATCTCCAGGCGATGTCCGTGTCGCCACTTTGGGTATCTCGGCGCGTGACTTGGCGGACTATTTCGAAGTCTGTTGCGTTCATTCTCAAATCACACCAGCTCGATCTGCATCCTACTCGTCGACGTCGGTGGCTAAGATGGAACACTTCCACCCGCAGCCATGGCGTCGCGCCCCGGTTGACAACACGAGGCTGCACGTGGGATATTTCTCAAATCGTACGGGTGCATGATGGAGGAGTTGCTTTGAAATCATTACGATGTTCAATGTTTCCTCGGCCATAAGGAGATTCTTCCTGCTGCAATCTTGAAACATGGAAGAGACGTTCTTATTCGGCAACGCGACTATCCAGACCTCGACGACATGCCTTGGAGGCAAAAGAAAAGAGAATGCGAGACTAGTCAGTTCTAGACAAACTTGGCAATAATTCGAAAGCAAGAAGATTTCACCTTTATTGAGGCTGGATATAGTGCCGATTACTTGGCCCTGAATGAAAGAATACTGCTCGTAGCCGCTGCATGCCCATGGCAACATGTGTGGTGTAGTGCCCTACAAGACATATACTTCTAAGGGTATACTCCATTGCATTAGTTGAGATCCTGAAATGTTAGCCAACTACATGCCTTCCATTCGAGTCATAGACCAATGTCTCCTTGATCAACTGTCAATCATGTACATAATGTCATTAGGGTAACTAGAATACTAGAATTAAATCCGAATGCAGCTCACTCTCAATCAAGCAAGGAACTTTTCCTTGTTCAGATCCACCCACTCATGGAAGCGCAATGACGGTCTCCCGGTATACCTTTGAACATTTCCCAATGCCTCCTCCGGTAGACCGAAGAACCCATCAGATTCCTCCTGCTTGCGGAGCTGAGCAAGTATGGCGTTCGCTACCGGCTCCGGCAACCCAGTCACCGTTATCATATCCTGCAGTGCCTCCTGCTCATCGACCTGGGTGACCTTGACTTCCTTGCCAACGGCCTTGCCAATCACACCAACCACCTCCCTTATCGTCATCTTCTCCGGCCCAACAAGCTCGACAGAATTCTTTTTGCTCCCGTCTTCACCAGCTGGCAACCCGTTCACCAAAAACGTCCCAGCGACACTCCCAATATCCTCGGGAGCGATATAATCATACACGGCCTCGGGATACGCCAGCTTGACCTCTCCGCCCAGAGCCCCACTCTTCCACCACAATGAATTACTAGCGAAAAACGCCGGCCGAACAGCCACATAGTCGTCACCAAAGACATCCCGCAAATTCACCTCCACCTGCGCATGCGAAAACGCAATAAAGTCACTCGGCGGGACGGCGTCGGCATCGCCATGGATGCTAACGCTAATACTGCTTAGAAACACGACCGTCTCGATCCCAGCGCCCTTGAGCGCCTCGATGCTCGCGCGCATCGCATCCGCCGTGCCGAAAGTGAGGTAGATGAAGGCGTGCTTGGCGCCGGTTTTTGTGACGGCGGCGTGGATGCTTTCAGGGGAAGTTAGGTCCGCTTGCACGCGCTCAAAGTTGCCGGTACTTTCTTGCTCAGAAGTGAGGCCCGGGATGGACTTGGTGGTGTCGCGCATGGCGAGGATGACTTTTGCGTTGTGCTTATGCGCGGTGAGGGCAGTCGCGGAGCCGACGCCGCCTGTTGGGCCGAAGACGATGACGGTTGGTTGTGACATTTTTGGTGGGCAATTGTCAATAAAAGTTGTTGGGTGAGATAGTGAGATTATGATGATGATGATGATGATGATGATGCTAGGGAGGGTTGGTTCAACTATTTATGTTGATATCGATATTAGTTTCATCAAGGCAGAGACATAAGATTACGAATATGTCGGTCTTTGCAATGTCCGACCGCCGGGCGCATTGGTGGGCCTGACGGTTGACCTTAGTGGGCACTTCGTATTCGCCCGGCTGACAGTGCGACAGCGTCGGTCAGCGTTGTCCAATCTCCGACATGCTTGACTGGACGTCAAGGAGCATGAGGTGCTGTCGAATATCATAGACGCATATTGATTACAAATAATCTCTCCGGACTTTTCTATCGATTCAACCGATGAGAGGATCAATGAGAAGTTAGCAGATTGACGACGATAGTCTCACTGCTTTGCTTCCGTCTATGAATACGAGACGCTCAGACTTGGTCCGTACTGAACTTCGCCAAGTATAGTATGTACAGTCGCAAGAACTCTGCCTTTCCCTGACTCAAGCATGGTTATGCCTCGCTCTGCCTGTGTTCATCGTTTGCCCCAGGTAGAGGCTCTGGCTCTTGCAGTCCCCATTCTCCCTCTCCAATCCTCTTCCCGTAGAATTTGACAAGCAGCCCAACCGCCATCGGTCCAATGATGGTGTTAAGAAGAATCGCCCAAACTCCAGTAATGAAGGCCTCCTCACTCACATAGGACGTCTCATTAAACCCTATCTCGATGATGAGTAGTCCAATCTCACCGCGCGCTACCATCGCTGAGCCCAAGAGCAGCCCAGACAACCAGGTACTGTTGGCATGCGCCCTTCCATTTTTCTCTCTCGATGAGTCGTTCTGAAGCTCCTGGTCATTATTCCCTTCCTTGGACAATTCCTTCCGCTTGGGAGGCCACAGAAGTGGAATGTATTTCCACAACGGCAGCCAGATACCGACCGCAAACTAGAAAAGTTCAGCACATGCTCACCTCTTGAACGCTGGAATGAGGTACATACATACCTTTGCAACGACCATCAGAAGGGAAAACACCACTCCCCTCCAAATCCTTTTCCCCGTCCAAAGCTGCACAAACGGAATAGCAAACCCTATACTAGCGAAGAAGAGCGGCTCCATCAGATAGGACTGCACGTCCAGGAGATACACCTCAAAGGTATGTACGAATGTGGGACTCTTATGGGCCTCGCGTTCCCCTTCCTCGCGACTCATAACCACAAACGGACCAGATGGATGTTTGCTGGGTATATAGGTCAAGAAAGTGCCGGCCAGAAATGCGCCGAAAAGGACAGAGGTACCCGCGTACGCTGCGATAGTAATAAACGCGCAGAGGACCAGCACCATAAGGATAATGTTGGAGACATGATCGAACTGCGCAAAAGCATGCTCGATATACCGTCGGAAGAGCCTCGCAAAAACGTGCTTCGTAAGTATTGGCGTGAGGACGGCCATGGCGACGGAGGCGACGATGGGTCGGCCGATGATCCAGCCCAGGTTGGCATTGCCTCCGCCGGAGAGTTTACCTAGATTGGCTATTATGCTGTTGATGATTAGTTTGGATCATGCTGTTCAAGGCAGCGGTGGTTTGATACCTCAGTTGGACGAGGCCAACGACATCGTCAATGACAGCGGCGCTCACGAGCACGGCGCCCACTCGTGTCTGTGCAAGGTCTATAGATCGAGCTGCGGATTTGATAACTGCAAATGTGGTGCCTATATAGCGTCAGAAGTGTAAACGGTGAAGGACAGGTGGGCAAAAATACCAAGAGAAGTTGCTGATAACGCCGCACCGACGATGAAGGTTTCTACGGGTCCTGCTTCGCTTTAGCCAGGCATACTCCTATAACAGCAGGATTGCATACCATATCCAAACCCCAGGTAAAGCAACAAATAGGAGAAAGCAATCGGGAAGAGAACCCCAACCGCAGCTCCCAGAAGACTGAGAATAAAATTCCTCTTGAGGAGATCAAGACGAGCACTAAGCCCTCCTACATACTGTCAGTTTTATTCCATGTGATCGAGTGCCAGACATGCCCTCAAAGATGATCAAAATCAGCCCGACATAACCTAGCACGCGGAATGTGTCCTGCCAGTGCTTTTCTAGGATATTTGCTAGAGGTAATCCATATATGATACCCACTGCAATCTGCCCGATAATTCCAGCTTGAATGACCCTCGCAGAAACCCATTCAGCCAGAGACAGGAAGAAGAAAAATGAGATTACAGTAAGAATCTGGACGACTGGATACTATTGTCAGTACAGATTATGCGATGACCGGGCATGTCTGCCTTACTGCTTGGCTCGTGATATGGCAGGAAACTGCCTGCCATGTCCTTTCTGTAGTTCTTCCGGAAAAACTGTAGAAGAAGCTATATCCTCAAGCCCAAGGAATATAGACATCTTGAATTTGAATGAAGAGATCCGCCGCAATTGGTATAAGTCACGTGCTGTAGCCACTGGTGACGTCGGCCCAGAGGAAGACATCCGGTTCAGCGTATTCTCGTCTCCATGTCCAAGATTGGTTGCACGAAGATCTAAGTTTGGAGAATCCACCATGAAGGAGTGGCTCATTTTCCCGAGGAATGAACGTGCTGCTGATACTCTGCGTTAATCCACCCTGGCCCCAGTAGAGCAGGGAAATTCCCCGCCAATGCTCTTGGCCTGCGGACGGTGCTTGGCGGAGATCTTGGCATGACGGTGAAGAATATGCGGTCATTTCTCGGACATGATAGAGTCTGTCGACTATATTACTCTGCTGATCTTTTTAGTACCATAATGAGCCGCTTTCCACACCTGTTTTCTGCTTACTAGGACTATATACCTCAGTTATTGTTAGCAACCTTAGCATAGGACACTTAGGTCGATGCATGCGGCATAGCACATCCATGTATCAAATGGTTGGACTCGAGAATGAATATACCACTGGCTCGCATAGTGGCTCAATTTGAAGATTTGCGAATGGCGGATCTTTAGAACATGGGAATTTAAGATATTTACAGTCACAGATACCCGGATCACTCATCGAGTGACTGTCTCGGATATTCACTCCGCAGACTTCTAATAGCTTGCCTTGGAAGCAAGACCTGTATTCACTGCAATCGGAGGGAATTATAATACTTTTCACTTTTGGGGTCCCCCAAATCTTTCCTTTCTTCATCTACTTCACTGTTCTCGTGTGGATCTATCTTCTCCAGGATCGCATAATCGAAGCTAGCGTTGATCAGCTTGCAGTTTTGCTTCTCCTGTCTTCTACTTTCTGTCCTGAGCACTCATGCTTGGAGTGAAGTGTGAGACCTTGGTTGAAAGGGGAATTCAGTGTGTTCTGGCCAAACCGTCGGAGGGACAAGCGGCGACCAAGGTGGTCTTCGGTGTTGACCCTGGAACTGGCATCGACGCCAGATATGTCGAACATATCGCTCGGCAACCGCCCGAGACTCCAAGACTGGAGCTGAGTATCCGTATCGGACGACTTGTATTTTATTGAGCACTGTCAGTTCTTAGGATCTGCATTAACATTGCTGACAAAACTAGGATGCAGGGGTGCAGCCGACTGACCTTTACAAAAGGAGGGTCCCAGAGTCGAAGATTCCCCCCTGTTGAGGCTGTTAAAGATGAACAGGACAACCACGAAGAAGCAGAAGAGCTCATCAAGATGCCGTTGGTCGTACTGCTCGAAAGAAGTCCGCTCTCGTCGTTTCGCCCTCAGTTGTTCCCGGTCCTGTGCCCGAGCATCCAATCTCAGAGCGGACACTCAAGTTCAACGCGTGGCCCAATCACACTATATTGCCAACACTGGACGAAGTGCATGCATTGTTTACGCACGTCTACGAGAAACTTCGACCCTCACGGCGGCGCTCCGTTCGCGATTGACTGCGATTTCGACGTGAAGAAGTCGATTTTGTGTTCAAAGTGCTCGCGTCACAACGCGACTTGTATCGCTGTATGTGCACTTCCTGGTTTTAGGAATGCTAGAAAACGCCCACGACCTCTCTGCGGTACTCCGTTGGTACGCTGCTTTCTTCGAAACCGATGATAATGATGCTCCTCTGTGGGATCCGGTGCTGTTTTCCGATATCCACGTGGCGGTGATAATCCTGTGCGAAGCCTTCGAACACGCTGAGCTGGTATCGTAAGCGACACGGACTGGCCAAGCAGGAAGAATATTGGGACATTGCAGTGCTGTCATGGGCCCTGGCCCAGGGCAAACGTCGTTGCCGTCACACAGCTCAAAAGCTGAGGTTGAAAGGATCTTCGGCCTCGCCAGGGGCATCAACGTCGACAGTGTCTTTCACAACCTACTCAATTGGACGTTGTCGCTGGCGACTTTTGTAAGACGATGCTCTAACAAAATGATGTTCACTGACCTAGGAACACTGCCAGCATGCTCCGCCGATACAGCAACTTCGTGAGAAATCAGCCAGATAACGAGCCTCTTTGCCGTTCCCGTCTGGACTTGGTACCCATAACTGCCATACATGTGGAGAAAACCCAGTACCAACAGTTCCTCAACGACACAACGTGGAATGTGGACCAGGACGAAACAAGTTGATAACATTTTCAGAACCAGCGCAATAACGGTTATGCACAATCAGAGTCCAGAACCAACTCCTTCACCATTATCATCAACGATGTGGTGCTATCCACAAGGATGAAAGCAATTCTGTCCATACTCAAGGTTAAGCTGGGTAGACATGTCAATGTAGTTCCTTTCCAGATGCAGGAAACAGCTGACGGTATTGAATTCCCTACCCAGGGATGATAGGTAGATTTTACATCACTATTGACATGATTTCTATGAAGGTATGGCTAACAGATCGGGCAGCTTGTGATGTATCGGGGTCATCACGAGCTATTCTGATCCCCGCCGTGGCACCAATGCCGCCTTAAGTTGATGTTAGCAATGATTACCAGCGTCAGGTGTGGCTTCCGTCGCCGTCCAATTATGACATTTTCTCAAGATACTGATTGGAATTCTATCATAGGGTGTATTGGGATGTGGGTCACAGCGATTGCGGCTATAGGGTTCTAGTTCAGCTCATCTGTTTCATTTACAGCGAGTATCAACAAATACGATAGCGCAGGGGACATACTGAATGAGGTTGCAGACAAACAGGGAAAGCATTTTAAAAAGGCGCAAGACATTACTCCGACAGCAGAATGCCGCTCCCCTTTCCTCCTGCGGGCGGAAGCAGAAAGCTTGTGCGCACTGTTTCAGCGGGAGTGCCTTTTTCAGGCACGTGGCCCACAGTTTTATCAATGGCCCATCCATCCAGGCTCCTAGTGGTTTACCAGAGTAATTACACATAGAGGTCAAGAGCACTCCCGTGCCTGCCCAATGGACTTCATCAACTCTGTTCCCCATGTCCAGAGACAGGTGGACTTGATATTCCAGTCTATGAAACGCTTTCTCCGGATTTACATTGATGACTTCATTCTCAGAAGCACCACCGCTTGTTTTGTACTTAGTGACCATCACCGATGTGTCGCTACGAAAGTGTTTTGGGTTTGAGGATGGCCCGCTGCGTCGGACATAGAGTCGCTCTTTATCCTCGGTTCGGGCATAACATGGTAAATCCGGTTGCCTTTTCCATCCTGAAGCACTGCTGACCAAGTAGGAAAAAGGTAACTAGTGAGTACCACCACCGGAGATAGTCGTTTCGATGTGTGGTCGAAACACCGTTGTATCTCAAGTATGGCGGATACGTTGTGTCCCGGGTCGATCTGCTCGATCATCCGCTCAAGGCACCTCAGCGAAAGCAGTTAACAGAAGCAAAACTATATGCGACCTTAAAATTATGGGGCGCAGCATGATCTGTCCAAGGTCGTCGAGAGCATAGACCTCTGTACGCTTGCTCTTTCTCGCCTGTCCCAACTGTTCCCTGTCAAGCAAAGACCATTCAAGAAAACGACGTGTGGGGCGGTTAGGCTATGAGCTTGAACTCCCTTCCTCACTGAAGACATACCCACTGGTCTCTTTTACTCATCTTGAACCATCATAGCCGACGCATATGTCAGGACCAACGTCTGAATACGAGACGCAGCTCCTTGAGCGTGTTGACGGAGAGAAAGAGCATGAGCTCGAACGCATTGTCAAGAGATCGCTGAGAAAGGCGGATAGATTTCGGAAAGGAAAATATTGGCCTGACTTGCGGCATAATCTCGGCCAAATCAGAGTGGACCTCCGATGTGCAAAGATCCAGCTAGAAGAAAAATTCAGGCCTCTAGTCACCGCTCTTGGATGCCTTTGCCACTGAGGAAATTTTGATTGCACCAAGAACGTACCCTGTAATTATTGTTGGGAGATAGCTAATGAAAGTGATTCACTGCTGTAATCCTTTGTTGGTATGTATGCCATAGCTACGGACGAATTGATGAACGGAGGCGTGGAAAGTGAGATAAGCGGCGCAATAAATCGCTGCAGATTCGAAGGACAATTCGGCCCCAAACAAGGGCCCATAAGTCCATTGTTGATTGGCTGACTTGTAATAGACCACAATTTAGGCTTGTTCTTGGCTCTGCACCGCCCACTGAACTCGACACCAGTCATCTCAGAGTCCAAGCGTTCACTTGTTCCAGTGTGGTCGGCATCATATCGAACCAGTTCGTTTCTGTGTGTTGGTTTTTGATTTGTCAGCTGACGTTCAATGCTCCAGTTGAGAGTCTGTACTCCCTCTCCAGGCAGCATTTGAAATCTTCAACATGCAAATCTGACTGTTGATTGGCGCATATGACGTGTCCGTAAACCGCAGTACGGAGTTCACAGCCAGCTGAACGATCGGCCCTTTTTCAAAAGCCCCAACCCATGCCCAGCGTTCCTACTGTCGGCCTCATGGCCCCTCATCCCAGCAGCTCATTTCTGCAACTCGACACTAGCACGACTCTCATCCAATGATTCCTAGCCAAGATGTTGGGTTTATGCCCCCTACCTGACCCATAAGACCCGTTCATGAATGATGACTGAATAAATTCCCACGACACCCTTGGTGCGCACGTAAGGCTGAGAAATTTTTCTCCTGCTGACATGACCCCCTGAACTGGGATCTCACTCGCCAAAATGCTCTTCTTATCGTCATCAGCGTCACTCGCCGTGGTGCTGCTGTTAACACAATGGATCCATTCCACGATCGCAGCACAATGCTACTACTCCGACGGCAGTAAAGCAGACAGCAGTTTTCAGCCATGCTTCCCGGATCAAGATAACAGCCCCTGCTGCGCGAATAACAAGCCCAAGAGCATGGCCAACGACATTTGTTTATCGAGTGGACTGTGTCTGGCACAGATGCAGGGCTTCGCCGGGCTGATATATCAGAATGCGTGTACCGATCCAACCGGGAAGAGCAGCCAGTGTCAGAAGATTTGTTCTGGCTGTAAGTGCGATAGACATACTCCTAGAGGTTAAAAGTTCGACTTTTAATGCATTGATTTGCGTATAGCTACATCGGGTGGAATCAACCTCCTGCCTTGCCCGGCCAAGGGTGTTGACCAGTGGTGCTGTAGCATCAACGGGACAAACTGCTGCGATAACGCGGGGACGGTCACCATCGGCACGATCTACGGATACACGAGCACATCGGCATCGTCGACATCAACATCAACAGCCACCGGGACCGGAACGATAGCTACAACGACGGTCACCACGACAGCCGCAGCCGGCAACGGTACGGAAGTCTGCTCCGATTCAAGCTCGAAAACGACCGCAGTCGGAGCGGGGGTCGGCGCTGGACTGGGTGCCTGTTTGGTTGCGACGCTATTTGCGCTCTGGTTCCAGCGACGGATGTATCAGAAGAAACTGCAGCAGACTGGCGGATACGCGGGATACAGTCCTGCCAACATGACATATGCGCAGTCTGGATATTCGAACCCGTCGAGTGGTGCTCAGCGGATTGTTTCTGAGTTGCAGTCCAACCAGGACGTCATCCACGAAGTGGATGGACGAGAGACGCGAAAATGATAGTCCCTTCGTGCAGACTGCTGTTTATATGGGCAAGGGAGGCCGACGCCAGCGAACTCCCCGTACGTGGATTAGAGAGGTTGAGGTGGCATGATGTTTGTTACACCAGCCTCCGACCGCAATTTCGAACAGGTTAAAGTGGCACATTGAAAGGTACTCCTTACTTTGGACAACTACGCAATCTTCAGCCCTCATAAAGGCCAAGTGTTGCTGCCTTGATTATGCGTGGATTTTGCAGGGAAAACCAGGCGACTGGCTTTTGAGCTATTTCGGGAGGTCCGTCGTAGGGCTGGAGTTAATTAATAGGCTCATTTGCTGAATTTTGGTTGCTGAAATAAGCTTCTGTCAAAATAGAGACTGGCGTTGTGGATAAGTAACAGATAATGGTTAATGCTAGTTGGGAGACGATGCGACGAGTCTCCATCCACTGCGTCATCGTCATGGCCGGTTACTTGGTCATCCATGCTCAAAGTGGATTGCGATCTGCACTGGTGACATCGATGGATAAACAATCTAACTCAAGTCTATAAATTAACTCTCCCGATTTGAGTAGTAGTAGTAATTCCTACTATCCGTTGAGTAAATTTGGTAAAAGTGTCCGTGGTGGACTTTAAGATAAGCCGTGGTTATATATATCAACATGCATCGGTTTCTTACACTCCTCGCTATAGGGGCCCTCACCCTGGCAGATACCAACACGAATAACTTCAATCCCCTCCACCATCTGGCCGGAATTTCCCCTTACTTTACACCCAATGATCCTCAACTCGACCCCTCGGTACCACAGGGCTGCAATGTCACCCGCGCAGCTTATCTTGCGCGTCATGCCGCCATCTACGCCAACGATTTTGACTATGAGAGCTATCTCGAGCCATTTATCCAGAAGCTGCAAAATACCACTCAAGATTGGTCCAAAGCAGGAAGCCTCTCGTTCCTGAGCGATTGGAAGGCGCCCATCACCGAGGCGCATCTCGAGAAAATCACCCGAGTCGGTCTACAGGAATCGATGATGTTTGGCATCAACATCCACGACAAGTATCCAAACTTCAAAACACCAAAGAATGTATGGACGTCAACAGCCGAGAGAACCGTCAAGACTGCACAGGGGTTTATCCTTGGATACACCGGCAATGAAACGACCCAAATCAACGTCACCCAGGTCGGGGAATACAAGCACGCCGCAGCCAACTCCTTAACCCCGTACCAAAGCTGCCCGGCATACAGCTCCAGCTACGGCTCCAAGCAGTCCAGCGTACGTACGTCCCTTTCAACTCAACCCAAACACTAGCTAACGACACCAGGAATTTGTCTCCCACTACACCAAACCCATCATCGCGCGCCTCCAAGCCCAAGCCCCCTCCTTCAACTTCACCGCCGACGACATCATCGCCATGTTCGAGTTCTGCGGCTACGAGACCGTCATCCGCGGCTCCTCGCCCTTCTGCTCCCTCGACCTCTTCACCGCAACCGAATGGCTCGCCTTCGAGTACGGGAACGACCTCATGTACTTCCACAACACAGGCTACGGCCGCGAGTTGTCCCCCGCCATCGGCTTCCCCTGGCTCAACGCAACGAGGACCATCCTAGCAGACGATTCGGCCGCTCAAGACCTCTACGTCTCGTTCACCCACCGTGAGCTCCCGCCAACTGTGCTCACCGCGCTGGGCCTATTCAATAACAGCGCCTACTCCGGCGCGGACGACGTCAACGCTACCATGCCCACGGACACGATCAACTACTTCCGTGCGTGGAAGAGCAGCCAGATCCTACCGTTCTTGACGAACATTGCGATTGAGAAGATGGCGTGTGATTCCTATGGGTACGACGATGGGGTGTACTACCGCGTCCTGGTCAACGAGGGTCCGCAGCCGCTTGTGGGGTGTCGCGATGGGCCGGGGGAGAGTTGCTCCGAGGAGGCGTTTGGGCGGTTTGTGCAGCAAAAGGGAGAGAGGTATGGGGATTTTTGGACGGCTTGTGGGGTGGATTATGCGAATTCGACGGATGTGTTGTCGATTTACCAGTAGCTGGGATTTGTATAATCTCTTGACCGAAAATATATATACATGCTTATCATACTCTAAAACGCAAAAGATTCATGTCCGAGAAAACTGATGCAACAAACACATATATTTGCCAATAGGCTAACTATCTACAAGCTCCAATCCCCCTACAAGCCTCATACGGCTCCCCGACAGCAATCATATACCTCTCTGCATCCCCCAGGAACCCCCTCCGAAAGTCCAAACATCGCTTATCCACAAACAACCCGCCCCGACAACTCACATCAACCGCATATCGGAAGAACTGCTTATTGCTGCGGACGTTCTCCGCGCCGCCCTCCTCCGCGTGCCGGATTTTGGCGTCCACGCTCATGGCGTAGTGCATGCAGTCTGCGCAGTAGGCGGTGGTGCTGTGGGTGGATGACTCGTGCCGGGCGTAGAGGTAGAGGGCTGTTTCATAGTGGTTAGCACTCCGTATCGGGGATTGGGGGTGGATGAGGGCTTACTGCATGTGAGGGTGAAGAGACAGATTACAGTTGGGATTACATGTGTTAGGGTGGGCTTTAGCTTTGTGATCATGTTCATTGTGATGGATATTTGACAGGGATTTGTGACAGTTAAGGCAGCAACAATCATGCAGGGAACGTGGTATATGCGGGGAATTATACATGGCGCTAGGCCTGATTGATTGATGTCAGGTCCAGATTAGGAATAGCTCGGTTATAAGTCGTGGAAGTATGATAAACTGAGAGTACGTACTTTGCTGAGCTAAATATAGGTTTATTCCCAAGTGATATGGAGCTCAGTCAGTCATCCTCTCAGCCATAGGAAATCTTCAAGGTACTAGAACTTGCGTTATATTGGTATAGTTCAAATGACCAGTGTGTATTCATCTTTAAATCTGGACTATCACATGAAGTGTCCAGTAGGGATCAGTTGCAGCAATTATAGCCAACTCCTCCTGATATGCAGATCATTCCTCGCATTGTCCAGGCGCCTCTGCCAAGATGTCGTCACGATATTTAAGGAAGACTCCCCAACCTTCGTTCAATGAATATAAGCAAGATTGAAACAGCTAAACCCATTATTACCTTTCAACCCCCGAATTACTCTATAGAATCTTGCTTTTGACTTGTTATCAACCTTCACAATCTGAAAAGTGTAACCATCAGTGGCAATCCCATATATCACACTGTTCTTTTCGCCTCCGTCCTTACGATTCCTATGCACTGTTCCTGTTTTCCCGGTTAACATCTCTTCAAGCTCAATGTCCCTCCATCTGAGAAAGATAAGCCGTCACTAATAAGCTTACCTATATAAGCCAATAGAGTATTGTAGACATCACTCCATCTTTCCTTTGCCACAACGACAGCAAGCAGATCTCTTCGCTTCTCCGCCGGGTTGGTGAAGGTGATGGTATGATAGGACGATGCGATCAATCGCCGTGTCTCCATCGCAAAAGGACCCGTTGAGGACTATCCGCGGAGGTCGGTGTCTCAGAAGGAAGAGAGAATGCATTAGAAGAGAAAGGCAATGCTTCTTCATGCCGGGAAGAGGATCAGACCGCATATAGATAAAGTAGGGTAGTGGTTGAGCAGTGATTTAAATTGGCTGACACCTGACACTCAGGGAAGGCTTTGTGTCTGTACATATGGTCGCACAGACAGGGTCTAATAAACTGGCTAAGATGATCATTCACCAATCTGCGTTGTCCATCAAGACAAACTCATTCACTGACAACAGCAAGCAACTAAAAATATTGACTGATAAATGTCTCAAAGACATGCAGCTGAAGTGAATAGCCACTATCATCTATGCTATATAATCCCTACAATCGCCCTCTCTCCCCATCTTTCCCATCATCCTCCATCAGTCATGCAAAACCTCTAATTCAGAAACCAAACCCACCTGCCTGTTTCCTCTGTCTGTCTATACCATATGATTGCAACTTTCCTCTCCATGTCATATCCCTTTTTCCTAGGCGGGATCAGGACGCCAAAAATCAAGCCGACAAAAGCGGACGCTGAGCAGTTACCGGGCCTCTAGCTTTAATATCGGTAAGGAGTCCTTACTTCCAAGGACCGGGGGCTACCTCTCCACCGGGGGATCCACGTGGCCCGAACTGGTAGGGACCTGCGCAGGAACCCGGTGGAGCAGTTCACTGAAGAGGAGAGAGTAAGTCCCTAGGCATATAGATCTGCTAATTACTAGACAGATGTTAACTTATATAGGCTGTCAAACACCATGCTCTGCAAATGAGCATGGACAACCCATTCGAGCTCGTCCGGCAGTATGCAGCTCGGGACGCCCAGCTCCACAGCCAGACGAGTGAGTTGACCAGGGTTGCTGCCGCTGAAGGAAACGACACTAAGCTAGATGAAGCCACCGCTGAGGCCGCAGAGACGGGGCTCCGGGTCCAGGGGCGCATGTCACTGTCATTAGTTTCCCTGCCTACACCGACGCCTGCTAGGCCTTGGCCCTGGATCTGGTTGCCCTGTTCTTGTTTGTCTGGAGCAATCTCAACCAAGCGGGCACTCGCCTGAAACCATGGCAGGTAACCGGAGCAGCCTGGATGCTGGAACAGGAGAGGAGCCCCGTCGGGGGCGGAATTCTAGCTGACGCTTATGGGCTGGATGATGCTCCCAACTTAGCAGGCGCATCCGGCCTCATAGAAACGCAGGGACGTCCTAGCGCTACTCGACAGCGACGAGGACGCAGATGACTTCGATGATGAAGATGACGACGGCAACCAGTCGGTAGCATCCGAGCACACGGATGTCGATGACTATATCGCACGTAAGAATGCCTCCATCAATGAGCATTATACTCGTATTGACCATGCATAGAGCGGAGAACGGGGAGAGGTTCTGCATCCGGGTTTCCGATACCGTTGGAACCTTCTTCTCTATTGCAACTGAAGCAGGTGATATCCCTGAGTCCGCCACCTTATTCAGGGCTCTTCAACAATATGATCAAGTCGAGCTATCACAGGAGGTGATTTTTCTCTTCCCTAAACGAGTTCGAATTCGTCTTACGGGATCCGGCCCCCGAAGACCAGGGCGGTGGGTCCCAGTATTGAAGATGTTAAGTCGCTGAGCGGCAGCCCGATCCTTGGCTACAGTCGAGATGGAAGACTTACCTGCGTCACGCAAGGTGGGAAGATTACGCAGATACAAAAAGGGTGCGGGCGATACGCATACCCTTTACTCGAAATTGGTTATTGGATTGGCGACGAGATCGGGACAATGGGAGCAGAGGCTGCTCAAATACCGGCGGAACAACAAGGACAGACGGGGTTGTGCTGCACTTCGCATCTGCTCGCTGGGAGCATATGTCCTGTTTTGTCTTGTTAACCCAAGGACTCGAGACGTCGAGCGCCCGTGTGTTGTGCTATTGCTGATTTACGCTGGCGTCCAAGTATGATACGTTAATGACATTCCATGACGAGTATCCGACGATCAGAGACCAAGACTATGAGGACTGCGTACCTGGCGTCTGAGGCTTAATGCTCAACTATTGTTTCAACCAAAGGAATGGTTTTGTCCACAGGACAGAGGACAAAGTCGAAGTCGGCTTCATTGTTATGCCCAACACAACCAGACGGGCGAGAACTCATTACCATCACACCTTGCAAACGGACTTCACGGGGTATTGATGAAGGATCCGGGGGGAGTCAATGACTAGCTGCGGAGTTACATGCGAGCACTGAACCCCTTCCCAAGATTGATGTCGGATCGGAAACAATGTCGGGACATTGGGAGAAGCGTCCTAGATTCAACCACGAGAGAGACGAATAAGGGTTTGTCCCATTTTCTCCAGGTTCCTTACCTGGCACCTCATCAAAGCTATAGCAATGTCGTCCCTTCTGCACAACGCAGACCAAACATGGTACAATCGGGGCCAGCTTCGGATGGGTTACTTCGGGGCTGGACTCTGTCACGCCCCAGACCAGACAATGGAAAGGACGAATGTCACCTCCCTCTCATCTTTCAGGTGAAATGGATCGACTGAAGTAAGCCAAGCATGCATCTGAAGAACAAGCGGTTACCGCATGCGAGTTCGGAGAGCACATGAGTTCCCTGAGCCAAGCAGAGACTGCCCTTTCTTCAGCGACAAATAATCAGGAAACTATCTCAATTGAAGAGCGCATGACGCAGAACGACCTCGACCCTGACACCAGCACTCAGGCCCTGAGAAGCCCAAAGAGCCCAACTTTGTCACCACGTAACCTAGTGGTGATTGAGGCCAAGAATGCAGAGACTCTTGAAGAGGCTAGAGCACAATTGCTACAATATGAGTATTCAGCTACCCTCCCTCGATGCGAAGCAGAACACCAGTGATCAGTAGCAGCCATGGTACAAAGAATGCGAAGGCCTGGAAACCTTCCTCGACCGACATTCGGGGACCAACCACCAGGGGATCTCTACAATGGCTTCCAACATCCGAAGCTCTGAGTGTTCCGCGAAGCACGGCAGCTTTTTCCGGCTCCTGACTTGAGCAGCTGCTTTCTGGTACTACATCATTTATGACATGATCGCCCGGGGGTATCGGTCAAGGGTTCTAAGCGACCAAGACCATGGCGGGCTCATCTTAAGTTCAAAGTATGTTACGTCCTCTTTACCTTCCTGCATATCTAACCAAGTATAGAAGCTCGGTGACAAAACCCCAACGCAGCAAATTTAAAAACGCAAAGGGATATATGTACCCAAACGCAAGTCCTCGTCCCTACTCAAGCAATATTTAACGCCATAGTTCACAAGATCCCGAAAATCAAAGAATTTAGTGAGCTGGCATAGGTGCTACCTTTCAAATCAACCGTGGACTGGTTGCCCGAGAAGGTACCTGAGTCACGAACACGAATATCATCCAACTGCAAAGAAGCGGGAATCCGTGTGTACATTTGCGAATGAAACCACCCTTCGTTAGGGCTAGCAGTTCAGTATCTGCCAGCTGATAGTGCGACATGATCTGACTTCTTTCACTGAAGCTGCATCATGGCTTATCGGCATGACTACGTCAAGACGAATTATCCCCGCGATCCACCGACGACGGCGATAGCATTATCGCTAGTATCGTCAATTGGTGGAAGGATACTGGCAAGAAGGCTCAATTTTGACGCATGCGACATTCAAAAGCCCCTAAGGATCCTCTGATTATGCCTATTGGAGATAATGCAGTGCGGGAACAATCATGGTCGTAACATCAGTCGTTTCAATTATTTAGTAATACGCTGTCATGGCTATGAACATAAAGGTGGGAATCAGATTCAACATGCTCAATAGCACAGACGATAAAAAGTAATCCGAGAGTAAAGGGACCATCAAGCATCGGTCAACTGAAGGTATATATCATGCCCGTATCGCATCAATCCGTTTCGGGCCGCTGGCCGTAAACCATACGGACCTTGGTGTAGAGATGGTATGTCTGGTAATCGCGCAGTTCCTTGCGCATACCCGCGACGAGGACCTCGATCTCGGGACGTGACCAGCCGAGATACCTCGTAAACAGGGCGAAGCAGTAGGGGCCGACGGCTTCGAACATGTTGACTTGGTGGTAGCGACCGAGTTCCTTGAGCTTCGGGTCCTTGGGCCAGGGGCTCTGGGGGAGCTGCAGGACCGTCAGTATGGGCTTTGACTAGGAACGTATGACATAGTAGTACCTTGTAGATGTCCTCGCGGACATTAATAAAACCTGCCTTCTCCATACTCTCTTTCCACTTTTCCGCCGTTGTAAAGCCTTTTCCGTGCTTCTTCGATGCTGCATGCATGTTCTTGATCCCCTCAACCATGTTAACGGCCTTGAGATGGGTGCCGTCGTCGGAATACGAGTTGACGTCCATGGAGGCCATTTCTAGCCAGCCACCTGGCCGCAGGTTCTCATATGCTTGTCTGAAGAGATTGTCATGGTCGCGAATGGCTCCTACGAGTTCGCGGCCGTGGATGTAATCGAACGGTTGGCTGTAGGACCAGGGTAATTCAAAGTCGTCGATCTCGAAACGGCAATTGGGAGGGATCCTGGGGGGGAAGTCAATGGGCTGTCCAACCAGAAAGATCAAGGGGAAGGTGTACCATGAGGGTTGGATGGGACTGAGATCGTTTCCTGATAGCAGCCACTCTGTTAGCCATCTGCAATCCATCCGCGCTACTGCAGTTTGACACATACCGATGACCTCTGACTCGGGGTGCTCGCTGTCGCACTACATTAGTTGATTGTCTCCATCGCAAATAATCCAAAGAGTTCTTACTCCGCAAAATCAATCGCCCATATTCCAGTACCGGTTCCGATATCCAATACTCGTCGGGGGTTCTTGATTGGCGCGGCGTGCAGTTCACCTTTGAGGAGGATGCGATAGATGTGGTGGCTCTAGTGGAGAGACGATCGATTAGCTAAGGACGGACCCCGGTCAAGGGGCAGAGTCGAGTCGGCACTAACCAGGTCCAGGCGGTCTTGTTCTTGCTCGTCATTGGGCTAAGCGGTCAGCTTCGCACATTATGAACCGTCGCAATCAAGGAAGGGGGTATATACCAGCACATATTCTCCCTCGTGGAAAGAATGATATCTGCGACCGTTCTAATGCGGGTTTAGCTTTATTGCCTGCGACAAACACAGCAGAGGTGGTACCTCATAGCTGTTTCGGCTAGATTAGTCGCTGCAAGTTAAAAACAGAGGAAGAGATCAATGCGTACGTGTAGTTCATCGCACTTGATGTGATACTGGTAGTGTAGCTGGCGTCTCCGAGACTGGTAGTGATGTTAGTCGGGGTACCGGAGATTGCGACAGAGAGGCGACTAACGAGCCATTGTAGGCGGAGTCGGCATCGCCAAAGTCCTACTCATCCGTTAACCCTGAAGCAGAGGTATATCTTGAGATGAGGCAACCAACATCAGGCTCGATGACACTTGGACTCTGCTGTTGTGGTTGTGTATTCGATTGTGGGGTTGGACTGGCCATGACGGCGGGTGGTGATGGTGATGGTGATGTGATTGATGATGGAGTGGTGGTAGAGTGGAGGACGATCCGAGGGATGGAAAGAGAACAAAGACCGGAGAAGTCAAAGGGAAAAAATAAGATTTCCTGGTCGGTATGGGGAAGAACCAGAAAAGAACAAATGTTGGTTAAGGTAAACTTGGGAAAGACACTTAAAAAACGGTAGTGTTGTTTAGTGCTGCTCGCAGAGAAGATCGAGAAATAATAATAAAGATTGTCAAGGAAGAATGTGACTTGTCAAACTGCCCTGCATTGCTCGATCCTTTTAAAGTACCTGACTGTCGGCCACTCGTGCAGCCTTCATTAGCGTCCACCATACAGATTATCTGCCACTCAGTTTGACTAGAGTCTAGACTTTTCCATACGGCAAGAAGCATTATCATCTACTGCTGTGTTTTCCGTCCTTTTGCCTGTGTTATTTCCCATAGATGAATGCTCGATTTTCAGCGCCCCTAGAAAGAACCGAAATTATGCATTGTACTTTGTGCACATCTGGGGCAGATCCCGAGTCGCCGACCGACTTCCTAACTTGACTAGGACGACAAGGTTACAAGGCCATATGGTCGATCGAGCGTATCATGATCCATTTTAGGACAGATACAGCGTTCGTTCAAGGGTAGCGGCTGTTAGACTCCGCTAGAGCGGTCCACAAGCGTTCAAGTGCAGCCGCGGGGCGTCGGATGTAGGTCTGGATGGGGAAGGTTATGGCCTAGGAGAGCCACTCAGACACGCGGGTCGTTTACAACGCCCGTCCTGAAGAATCACTGTGCTTTCTGACTGGTGGTACGGTGTACTAATGTGGGTACGGATGGGTACGGATTGAGTGGAGAGTACATGGATGTCTTGGATGTCTTTTGACTTGTGTCACAGTTGAGTAACTTGGTTTGGATTGAAAGTATATCCCTCTAGACTGGCCATTGACATCAGAGATCACAATGATATCGAAGCTTTATCAAAAGTCTGGCCGTTATCGAACATCGGGATGGGCAGGACTACGATGGATGCCTTGTCGCTAGGTACCTAACATTCAGTACAGCGTAAAGTACAGTGTAACACGTATACACAACAACATACAGAATTCACCTTGCTATGGCTCCTTTCTGACGTGAAATATTTCGTTTTGTATTGTAAACACTTTGTAATTAAATCACGTGGCAGACAATACCAGGCCAACATTACCCGGCCGCACTGTGGATATCTACAAGGAAAAAAATAGATGAAGTGCATCAACTATCAAGGCAGGGAAATTAATAAGGTATCATTAATGCTCACCATCTTCTACGTAATACCACCTGGTTATTTTGATGTTAGCTCATAACGGAACATAATTCCGTGTCTAGCTCCACTCCTTCTCTCCACCAAATACATACCACTCAGCTCAGACTGCCAGGTTTACACTCCACCAGATCCTCCTTGTTCATCTCATGGGCGGCGGCCCATCTATTGCCACGTCATATGTTCCACCTGACTTCGCTCGGCTCTTTGTGTGCACTCGATATCAATAGTTGAATTGCTCCGATTTAGGGTTCATATTATTTGAAAAATGAAACAGGTCTGATCCGCTTTGATTGCGCTGGATCAGCCCGGTTGCCTTGAGTCCGTCCATCAGCCCACACTGGCGTCCCATCTCTTTCTCTAAGGTCCTCTTTGCGGAGCCACTCGGATATCCAAGGCCGCCTGCAGCGTTAACACCGTCTAATTGACTGATTTCGACTGAAATCATGACAAGGCAAGTGGGACCGAGCTTGACTACCAAAGTCTATCAAGGAGTTGAGAAACAAAAGGACGGGAACGCCGGATGTTCCCGTGTGCGCCGTTTGTGGAGTATCAGCCCATGTGTAATTGGCACATCCTACGTGCCTTTTAGGATACGTGCAGTAAATCCATCCAAGAATTCGCTCGTCGCTCTCGAATTCAAGTTTCTTGCGTTTGTACCTCCGTACTTCTGTCGTGTAAGGTGCAGGATTTTCCGTCAGGATTGCGGAGGGCTCCGAATTTACACGAGAACAGAAAATGAAGGAAGGGCGAAAATCCTTCCCTATCTACGCGGTAGATACTGTTGATGCGCTATGACATGAACGGAAGAGTCTGGTTGCCTTTGGCGTAGCTGTGCAAGCCCGGAATGGAGTGCTCCATGGCATTTCCCCTCTAGTCGGTGCGGCAAACGTACTGTATACCAAACAGGTATTCTTTCCCCTCCTCTGGATACCGTCAATCATCTCAAGAGGCTCATCGACTATGAATAGTACGTGTGGGCTTCTTATCGACAAACACCTTCGACAGGATGGACAAGGAACAATCTCGACCTCTGCAGGCACCTCACCGACAGGGAATAAGTCATCCGCATCCACGAACCTACATATTATCTGCTTACCTACGCTCATACACGTGCTCCAATCTTGACTATGTTCATGCGGTCTAACTGCATTTCAAATGGGGGAGAGTCCGGAAAATAGATCCTGACATGTAGAGAGCTCTATAGGTGTACTATGCACCGCCACCAGGCCACCCCGATATTGCGATTGTTTATTATTGATTGTCCTTAGAGCGGGGTATGATGCTTGGCATCTAGACCTCATCTGTCCCTCTATTAGTTTTGTCGATGAGGCAGACACGGGACGGAGAAGCTTAGCGCCTCGTATTCTCCCCTTTTGGCCGCTTGGATCTGACCACGTTCATCATCACGGAATCGCTCCGCACCCCGCAATTTTGCGTCAGTTCATAGAGGCTCTTTCGGTGAGGCATATATATATAACTTGATACCGTCCCAGGAGTCATAACAGATGGTTGGGGTACCACGAAGCACTGGCTGTCGCACCTGCATCCAGCGGCGGATCAAGGTGGGTTCCCTACCTTAGCTGTATGGACTCAGCAACTGCAATAAATAACGTCCTAATATCTAATGCTCAACCCCTATAGTGTGATGAGGGCCGGCCGGAATGTCGTCGCTGTCGCGAGAGAAACGTCAAGTGTCCAGGCTATCAGCGCCGAGTGAAATTCTACCACCACACTCCTGCATCTCTTAGAAATCGGAAGCAGAAAGAGAGTCAACATGTCGCTGCGTCACCGGCTGTCCATGCGCTCATTCCTCGGGCGAGCATAGATGAGAAATTAGCACCCGGCCTGGCATCCGCAGCAACAGACACCCAGATGAAGGAAGTGTTCCAATACTTCGTCATGGCCACCTTTCCGGGCCTATTCTCCGCATGGCGGAACAGAGTCCAGCTAAACTGGCTAGACTTCGTTCGACATCATCTAGATACCTCGTCGCAGGCCCTGATCTGGAGCCTCCGCAGTCTGAGCGTATGGCACCTCGGTCGCGCGCATAACGACCAGGAGAAGATGCTCGCTAGTCGGCACCTCTACGGCCGCGGTCTGCAGCACTTGATTTCCTCACTTCGCAACCCCCGCACCGCCACCTCAAGCTTGACCCTCATGGCTGCCATCCATCTTGGAATATACGAAATGCTCGACGGGCTCGGCCAGAAATCCTGGCTCACTCATTCCCGGGGAATTGGCAAATTATTCCGACTCCGCGGCCCCGAGGCGCACCGCGACGGATTTGGTCGCACGCTGCTGGTGGCGTACCGCTCGTTTCTGGTGGCGGATGCGCTCGTCGCCCAGGAGCCGTGCTTTCTGGAGGAACCCGAATGGCGAGCCATGGTCCGGGACACAATCGCATTCGAACGCAGCGCTGGCAAAAGCTGTCCGCTGAGCGAGATCGTGGAGCTCGCTTTCAACGAGATTGTACTCTGTCCGGGGCTTTTTGTACAGACGCGCGACTTTGTTTCACAGACGGGGGTCAAGTCGGAGATACTCCGAGAATCGCTGGTTGCTGAGGTCACTCGTTGTCGGGATAGACTTGTCGAGTTTCAAGGCGAAATGGAACCATTGATCGTCAAGTATGATAAGACCAATGTAATCAAGTGCGAGGAAGATGCAGAAAGTCCCATTCCCAGCGAGTTTGGCAGAAAAGTAGCCCAATTCGCGTCCCGAGGCACGCGATCTGCTATTGCAGTACTCAACCAGCTGTTGGTTTTGATCGAAGCAGATAAAAATCGTTCGTCCTTTGATACAAAGTCACTCTCTTCGAGTACAATATGGAAGCCACCAGCAGGAAGCATTGCTTCGTCCGAGTCGCAAGAGAAGCAACTGATTTCACACGACGCACATGAAGATGACTCCCCGGATCGACTGGACCAGCTTGCATTGTCGATGGGAATGCTTGCGATCAGAACATGACGGCGTCCTTGACATACTATCCAGACCCGTCAGCTCCAGGGGCTAAGTGTCATTAAAAGACCGGACACCCGAGCATGACCGAGAGGCCGTCGGACCTAACCGTCGGGTCAACTTAAGAGCCGCAGACTCACCGGTACGCGTGATATTGATCTGTCAGGCTGTGCGCCTCACGCCGACGAAGATCAATCTTATGGGTCTTGGATTCCCTTGCTTCTGCCAGTCGGACTGCGAACAATCGAAAAAACGCTCACAACACATTTCCAAGGCAACAGTCCTGAAACATGGATTCTATCACCTGTCGCCCGGCGATAGTCTGACCAGCGCACTCGCTTATCTTCCTGGCAGATCCAACACATCGCCATCATGGCAAGGTTGCTGTCGGTAAACCGATGCCATATGGGGAGGTTTTCTGAACAGTCATGGTTCGTTTCACCGACCAATGAGCGCAGCAATGGAGGCGAGCAATTGAAAGGGAGCAAAGGGGAGACAAGGACTTACAAACAGTCTGCAGCGTGGTTTGAAGCGCACTGTTTCATGCAACCTTTCGATATGTCGACAAGGTCTGCATCGATTGAAGAATAGAGGGTATTCTACGTCTGGGTGGCATCATGGCCATTAGGCTACCGTTTGAATCATTCTACACTCCCAGCAACGATTTATGCTGATCACGATCGTTCGCTCAGTTCTAATAAAGTAGTCCATCTTTAGAGTAGCTTAGTCATTGTTGGCTTGAACATACTGGATGGAAAACACTGAACTACAATTCATTAGTTTTAAGAGTTCATTCTTGCTTATCTTGTAAGCGCAGATCTGAGTTGATTCTATACAACCCAGATTTGGGCTGCCAACACCTATCTACACTTCGAAATCACACCACCGACCACCTACAGACACTGCGAATAATAAGCATTCTGCACCTGGCACGTATACGGCGACACACAGGTCGTCGGCCCCGTCCACCCCTGACCACCACATTGTCCCCAATGCTGCGCAATGCCAGTCGACGTCTCCGTCACCGCTGTCGTCGTACTCGTAGCAGTCGCCGTAGCAGTCCCCGTGGCCGTCGAGGTCGCCATATAACTTCCACCAGGAAAATACGGCTCCAAATCCGACAGATAATACTCATACGCCGTCCCAGCCGTCGGCTCCATACTATAGATATAATCCCCCACCACGGCCCAGCAGCCCACCACTCCGCCCCAAGCCAAACATCCGCATTCGCCTCCATATAATCCAGCATGCCTGTCACCGCACTAACACAAACACTATTCGCACCTGCCGCAAACTCCCCCAGAAAGCCTTTCTTGGTGTTAGCAATCAGCCAAGATGTCGCGGACTCTAGGCGTTCTTGCCCGATTGTCGCGGAGACGCAGGTTTCGGAGGTCCCAGAGCCATCGCTGTCGAGGTACTGGTGCATTTCGTAGATGAGTTTGTTGGAGTCGGCGATGGGGTCGGTGAGGGTTTTTAGGTTGTCGTTGACGGAGGCCCAGGTCCAGGCGCCGGACCAGGAGTTGCCTTCTACGAAGATGTACTGCGATGTGGCGCCTGCGGCGCGGATGGCGTTGATGGCTGCTTGGTTGAGGTCTAGGACGGTGGTTTGGTCTTCGGTGTTGAATTCGTTGTCTGGTGGGTTAGCTAGAGCTTGAGGAAGGAGAGGGGTTTGAGAACCTACTGGTATCGAAGATGACGAGGTCATTGTCCTTGAATTGCGTCGCGACGGTGGTCCAGAAGGCGGCAAAGTCGCTGGTTGAGGCGATGATGTTGCCGTAGCTGGTTTTCTTAGTTGGTTCTTGGTTTCAGGGTAGGTGGAGACTTACTATCGGCCAAAGTTATGCGGGTCGACGATGGCGTGCGCGCCGGTGGACGTGATGTAGTTGATGGTCTGGCTCGTCAATAGCTGATCATGTCACTCGAAAGGATGAACGTACCGAGACCAGGTCAGCCATATACGTTGCATCAGGGCTTCCAGTCATGTTGCTGGGGACGAGACGCTCCATGAGAAATGGCACGCGGAAGATGTTCATCCCTGCTTCCCTCAAGATGCTAATGGCGGTCGTATTGGGCCAGATGTAATCTGTGCCCAGGACGCCAGGGATGTTGCCACTTCCAAACTCTGCTCCAGATTCATTGGAGCCAAACCCTGTACAAGTCAGTGAATGAACCGGCCATGCAGATGGGCCCTTACATTGGAAGGCCGAGGTTCTCTTGGTTCTGGACTTGGGGAGTGCAGCAAGAGCAATGCCTGCTACGCTGGCAGCGGTGAAGAGCTGTGTGAATCTCATTGTGGAACTTGATGTTGGGAATCGCTTTAGGAGTTGAGTTTTAGACTGGAGACACGCATTCGTTTATATGCAATGCTTGATCCAACAGGACACTGGTGAGATGGTGGATTCCAGAAGTATACCCGTCCCGTTTCGCCACGGAGAGATATCGAGCTCAGGCTACCTGTCCATAATTCTCGTGGACGCAATAATTCCTACAATGTAATTTCGTCTCAGTGTGCTTGCACCCACAACAAATTGATAGAGAGAATGGCAGTCAGAAAGATATCCTTCAAAGCGACGGCAGGACAGCCCGTGATTCTTCTGGAAATATTATTCCATAGAATGTTTCATATGAGCCTTCATCATATTACTCCGCATTATCACTCTTAGATGCATGGGAATACCACATCTGTGCGGGGAAATCATCACGCGTTATTAATTGCTGGAGCGGAAATGCCGGCAGCATCAAGCAATTCTGTCTCAGGTTTATGTCGACTTGGCTCGAGGCAAGTGCCGCGACTCCAGTTGGTCCACTCGATGATCCTTTCGCTTGCAGGGATTGATATTATAGTCCACATCCTCGCACACCCTCTGGTGTTGGACACGGAGGTCAAGAAGCAATGCACCCTGTATTCACGACTCTATGCCACATTATTGTACCCATAAACTACACCAGATCCTGAGTCTGATTTCTGCAGAGTTTACAAAGTGCGACGATGTCTGGGCATGTGAAGCGTCTCCAGGATTAGCCGGGCATGAGGCCGCGTCATCGGCGCAGAGAGCAATATCAGCTTAATCTATTCTTCCCCAGATGTCCGTATCTAAGTGAGGAGAAGGATTCAGTACTGCCACTTGGGAAAATTGTGCCTTACTCTCCGGATCCCGTTCAGGTACCGGAGTAGACCTGCAGAGATGCCACCAGTGAAGCAGGTTGGCCGCCCGGGCGTGGCTTGAGCAAATTGAGAGGCATCAAAAGGCACCCTAGATATTGTCTAACACATTCTTCAGATAATGTCGCCCGTTTTTGCACGAATCATGACACTGTCTTGACAAATTGCATCCATTTCTTACCGAGACTGCTTAGGCTGTGAAGAATTACCCCAGGATATCGCCCCGGATTCCCGTCGCTTGCCTGTTACGACAAGGGCAGATGTGCAGTGAGTCCTACTGCATGAAGTGATCGGCAATCGAGAGGACGAGATGCATTATGTTTGTGGCAGATAGAGAAGTACGAACATCTAACCGCTTCCATCACGGTGATAGCATCAAGATCAGCGATTACAGGCAGTTCTCAACGGACCAGCGGTCCTGTTAGCCGTATCAATAGATGCTCTTGCCATCCATGAAGCATTTACGGGGGAGGATTGAAAATATAAAAGGGTCGTCGAGATCTCGCAGTGACATGACTATCATCCCAGTCTGCCAAACAGCATAAAACCATTAAAATGGCCTCGGCAATTTCTTTCCATATCTACAGGAATGCATTGATCCTGTCTGCCTTTCTGTCGTCTGTTACGCATGCACAGCAGATCGGCACATACACCACTGAGACCCATCCCTCGATGACATGGCAGACCTGCACCAGCGGTGGAAGTTGTACCACCAACCAGGGCTCTGTCGTTATGGATGCGAACTGGCGATGGGTCCACCAGGTTGGCAGCACCACCAACTGCTATACCGGCAATACGTGGGACACCTCTATCTGCGACACCGACGAGACCTGTGCCACTGAATGTGCAGTTGACGGAGCAGACTATGAATCGACGTACGGAGTCACTACCAGCGGCAGCCAGATGCGCCTTAACTTCGTGACGCAGAACTCGAATGGCGCCAATGTCGGCTCCCGTCTCTACATGATGGCAGATAATACGCACTACCAGATGTTCAAGCTACTGAATCAGGAGTTCACGTTTGACGTGGACGTTTCCAACCTCCCCTGTGGCTTGAACGGGGCCCTCTACTTCGTGACCATGGATGAGGATGGAGGTGTCTCCAAATACCCTAATAACAAAGCCGGAGCCCAATACGGCGTGGGATATTGTGATTCTCAATGTCCGCGCGATCTTAAGTTTATCCAAGGCCAGGCCAACGTGGAAGGCTGGACTCCGTCGTCCAACAACGAAAACACTGGGTTGGGCAACCATGGATCTTGCTGCGCCGAGCTGGACATTTGGGAATCCAACAGCATCTCTCAGGCTCTGACACCTCATCCGTGTGATACTGCCACCAGCACCATCTGCACTGGCGATGCCTGCGGAGGTACATATAGCAGTGATCGATATGCCGGCACATGCGACCCGGATGGCTGTGATTTCAACCCCTACCGCATGGGCAATACCACGTTCTACGGCCCAGGGAAGACTATCGATACCAACTCGCCATTCACTGTCGTGACACAGTTCATCACGGATGACGGCACCGATACCGGTACCTTGTCTGAAATCCGCCGTTACTATGTCCAGAACGGTGTCACCTACGCCCAGCCCAACTCGGACATCAGCGGTATTACCGGCAACGCCATCAATGACGACTACTGCACCGCCGAGAACACTGTCTTCGACGGACCGGGTACCTTTGCCGAGCACGGCGGCTTCTCCGCCATGTCCGAGGCAATGTCCACCGGCATGGTACTGGTCATGTCGCTCTGGGACGACTACTACGCCGATATGCTTTGGCTCGACAGCACCTATCCCACTGATGCGTCTTCGTCGACCCCAGGTGCTGTCCGTGGCTCCTGCTCGACCGACTCCGGTGTCCCGGCCACCATCGAATCCGAGAGCCCTGATTCGTATGTGATCTATTCGAACATCAAAGTTGGTCCGATCGGATCAACCTTTAGCAGCAGTTCTGGCTCTGGAAGCTCCGGCTCGACTTCGACCTCGACCACCTCAACCAAGACGACCGCTACAGCGACGAGCGCTTCAACTGCCGTGGCGCAGCACTATGGTCAATGTGGTGGTCAGGGCTGGACTGGCCCGACTACTTGTGTCTCTCCTTATACTTGCCAGGTGCAGAATGCGTACTATTCTCAGTGCCTTTAGCTGGGATAAGATAGAGGATTCGATGCTCGTAGCCAGAAACGAGGGCACGGTGAACGTGGACGCTTTATTTCTTCTCTTTCTTCTTCTTCTGCCTGAAATTATGTATTTGATTTTTCAATTCTTTTTTGAATATAGTCTATAGCCTCTACAATGCAAATGTTGCGCGCATCGTATTCCCCATCGGCCGTTCTCCCGAGATTACTCCGTCCTCAGGCGTCAGACCCGTATTCACGCTTGGCATCTCTTCAGCTGACTATAACCTCATATTCCCTGAGAATGGATCTGTCCATCTACCCTACATCCCATGACAAAGATAATGGGCAGCCCTGCTATCACCCAACAACGCAGAATCTTCTACTGCTATGCAAGCACCTCCCGAAATGGGGAAAAGAAAGAAAACACCACCACGTTCGAGGCCAAGGACCCAGCGACAAACGAAACCAAGTATATAATGCAAGGCATCAAGCCCGACAAATCCCAGATCCCGAGCACAACTCTTCGCCGGGAGTCGTCTGCTCAGCACACCTGCATCCAGACGTTCATCTCACCCATTACCCCGGTAACCCAGACATAGACTCAATAACCGGCAGACCTCTAACCCACCGGTTATCATCAGGACTCTAACCCACCGGTTATCATCAGGCGCTGTGATCACCGAAGTGCCAGTGACAGGGTACTGGCGTCCTCGCAAATTCGAGTTCAAGGGGAGGAAGTATGTCTGGTTGAAGGAGGGGACGCAAACCAGGCTTTATGAGTACTCTTCGTCGAGGGCGGTGGAGAAGCGGAAATCCATAGTGACGGAGTTTGAGACTGTCAAGCCGGCTCTCGCGAGTGAGACGATGCCGTTTTGGGCTGGGCAGTTCATGAGTCGCTATCTTGAGGTCAGGGTTGGAGAAGGGGTGGAGGAGGCGTTGCTGGAGGTTATTCTCGCGGGGCCTTAACTGAGATTATGGTTACTTTGCGTGGACATTGAGTATGACTTGTTTATGAAAGCGGTGTTTCAATGGGTTTATGCTTATGCAGTCACTCCAGGCCAACTTCTTCTCTGAGGAAGTTATCATTCGTTGCAGCTAGTGGAGTCACTGTGATCTTAGTTGAAGTAACGATAAGTCTGCAACTTTCAACAAGGAATTCGCGCCAACGAGACATTGGGTAATGGAGACCAGATTGCCAGATATTTCCGAGACAATGGCATCTTGATATATGAGAAGATCGTCGGCAAATGACAAATGCTTATGCTGTTCATGCTACCGTGCCATTTGTCTGCTGGATGTTTTACCCGATTGGGCAGGTGGCCAAACTGCCGAGGTTATCCCGACGCGATAACAACGCACGAGATGCTTCGCTGCAGGTCAACATTGACTACTCCCTCTTCCTCCTTTAATTCTGACTCGCTGGGCGGTATTTCGGGCCGTTTTCCGACTAATCTACTCAGGCCTGCGCTTATATTATATGAGAACCAGATCCAGCACTTCGCCCTGTCGACTAGTGCTGTACATTGTACCTGTGCCTCCGCATAAATGTCCCAACAAACAGATCTTCAATGGCAACAAGTTAGCCCCGCTCGTTGGGAGCGTGGCATCGACGAGGTTGAACAGTTTTACACCTCCTTGGCGAAATCGTACGAAGGTAGCGGGCGCAATTTCTTTGCCATCACAGGCTTCGTGTCATTCTCTGTCAAGACAGATGACGGTGTTTCCGAAGAGGAAACAAGAAGAAAAGTCGAGGATGCACTGCGCAAGGCATGGGTGCATCTGCGTTTCGACCACCCGACCATTGCGTCCAGGGTAGAATGGGATTCCGACCGCAAGCCCTGCAGAAAGATATACGAATCTCCCGCCGGGCAAGATGCCCTTCAGTCGTGGCTGGAAACCACGTTTCTCACCATATCAAACGGCGTCTCCGGGCTCGAATGGTGCAATTCAGATCCTCCGGTGCCTAAACTACCGACTCTCTTTCTGATATGGCCGTCTCCTCGCGTTGAAGGACTCCTCCAGGGTGATCTTGTGCTCCGCGCGCATCACGACATCATCGACGGCGTTGGGACACTGATGTTATTCGACAATCTCTTTACCCATGCGGCGAGAGCCTACAAAAGAGGGTCGGATTATCCTCTCCCTTGTTTCGGTATAGAATACGCCAACTTGAGTCCCCCGTTCCGTGTAGCTGCGGGCCTGCAGCCAAGCATGTCTCCCGAGCAGAGGGAACGATTCGAGTCGGTCATGGCATACAACGCGTTCATGAAGCAGAATCGTATGGAGATTGCCAGCGTTCCCTTTAAGAGGGGAGAACACCTCCCTGGAAAACATCAGAGGGTCGCCATCAATCTTCCCATTCAGCAGACCACGGCCATTCTCAGCGCCTGCCGCCGGCTAGGCTTGAGTGTAACGCATGCATACCATGCAGCAATTGCGATAGCGGTGCGTGATCTTCAGGAACGCCGCGATAGCGTACGCCTAGTCAGGTATATTAATTACTGCCTGATAAACGAGCGGGGACATTGCTTGAGCCCGTACGATACTCTTCTCCATGCAGCGGCAGTCTACCACTCCGTTTCATGCAGGCTGCTCATTGTTGATACCACAGTCCCGAGTATAACCGACAGCTCGAGTCCGACAGAGGTGAGCAGAGAGGAGTTTCTAAGGGTCACGAAGACGGTCAGGGAGTTCTATCACCAAATGAGAAGGGACAAAGATCATATTCAAATGATACCATCGTGGTTTGCCAGCAACACTATTCCCTACCCGCATGATAATGCCACGTCCCCAGTCCCGGAACCAAATCAATCGCCGTCAGTTTCAATCTCCAGCCTGGGCGTGGTCGACAATGTGATCAGCCCTTCGCATGGGGCATTCGAGCTGGATACCCCTTGGGTGACTGGAGAGGAACTGGGGACGGGTCTCGGACTGTTCCTGGGGACCTGGAAGGGGGTGCTGACACTGAGTGCGGCATACAATGATGCGTGGCATGAGAAGGAAGAGGTAGTGAGGTTTATCGAGCGATGCAATGTTATTGTTGTCCAGGGATTGGGGTTGAGCAAGGATGACCTTATGTAAGTTGATATTGCTAGCAGCAGCATCATCATAAGCTCTGCACCCTGGCAGGGACGAGCACAGCCGATGATGCAATACAGAGTCGGAGATCCGCTTGTTTGACTGCCGTTGCCGACAACGGTGCGTATTTCCGCTGAGTCAGAGGTCAATCTCACAGATTGGTCCGGTCCTAGATCCATGGATCCATTCCCTACAGCTCTAATTCCCTAGAAACATGTCATAACTACTCCGTATATGTGACTCAGTATCAGAATACGAGCTGCACCCACAATTGAAGCATTTTGTATATTAGCTACGATAGAGGTTTTATTGGTTAGTCAGTCCTTGATGCGTACATGTTAGAGTCCCAGATTTCGCAGCAATTTGCCTGCATCAGCTTATACTCCTATTAATGTCAGGAAAACCTTCTGCAAGGCTTACCACTGGGATGCGGTGTACTCGGGCCCAACACATCGAGGGTTTTATGATTGGCTTTAGCAAGTTGAACGAATAGAAACGCGCACCCACGTCTGGAACGGAGCCAGGTACCCAGCCTTTGCAGGGTTCAGCCTACTTCAATATCCCTTACTCTGGTGGGAACGACGAGGTTGTCATACTATGCCCGGAGTGTGTTGAGTACGGCAGCGTCAGAGTGTCCCGGCCACACAAGTCATGAGATCAACGTCAAGACGACTGAGCAGGGCCCGCCGCGTCTTGGACAACGTCATCTCAACAACGATGTTGTTCATCCAGCAGTTCTTCTCCTGTGAACTGTGAAGTGTGAACAGTATCTCAGCTAAGGTCCACGTCTTGACGAAGCTCAGCCCCTCAACGGTCTGCTGCGCATGTGCCTCTTTCCTTGCTTACACGCTCACCGCGTCCCTGCAACCAGTTCGTGCGGTGCTAGATAGCGATGTAGCTGTACATGCGCGTCACTTTTTCATCGAGGGGTCATTACCGCGTTTGTCCCATGGAGTTTCTCTCGTTCTGTATACCAACATCGTCAGCACCATCAGTCCGTCCGAGCTGAGCCCGGCTTCTTCCCCCCGGCAGTACGCACTTCTCTCGCACGAGCTGTACAAGCCCTCGTGCTTATTCTCGCGGCGGATTGTCAGTTCTCAGCTGCGGTGTTTGCGAATCGTCACCGCTGTGAGATGGCAGTGAAGGCGATAGGAGGTTTGACAAGTAATCTGAGACTGAGAGAAAAAGGAGAATGAGAAGTGGATTGAGTAATCGATGAGAAGGATTTGGCGCTTGCCGTATTTCCGGCCGGGCCAGATCCGATCCGCAAAACCCGGTTGCCTAATACCGAGTTGATACTTATAAAGTGTCAACTAATATATTCGAATCGACTTTGCAATCCTGCGCCCACATTGCCCCCTCAATTCTGAAATTGCTCCAGGGGTTAATCAACAAATAAGCATGGCTTTTATGATGGGAGTACAAGTAGAATGTACGCATCTGAGGCATTTAGGCACCACGGCAGAAGGAACTGTGACCTCATATTTGGCGTCCAATAACCCCTGCTCATGCAGGATCAGAGAAAAGCCAGAGAAATACGAGGAGGGCTGCAGGCTATAGAAATATATCGAAGTCATCGGCTCTCATGCCAAGATTTGCCACGAGTTGAGGACTTGAGCTTATGAAAAATGCTTGGGCAAAGAATATGTGAGACAAGCGTGAGTCCAGGCAGGCAGTCAAGCGAAGTGCGCAATATACGCATCTCCTGAAGGGAAATGTCCTCGGCGCCATCCACCCCAGAATTAAGAGGAATGATGGTCTTGATTGGACGATTTACGGACCCTGAAGCCCCCTGCATAAGGGGACTTGTTGAAGTTGATGACCCGTCTATCGTCTTCTATGTCAAACCATTCGTCAAATATAGACAGCCCGCGAAAAGGGTTCCTGAAGAGAAGAGGACTATGGGTGAGAGTCAGAAAATTGTCCCTGCAACTACTCCGTAATGCCTTCGATGACTGAGGACCCCGTCCCAGAGGTGTCGGCTGAAATCACCCCGATGACTAGGGACCAATCACAATCTGTAGAGAGAGCTAAGAAAGCTAAGAGATATAGGGCTATTTCTTCTGTCGCAATATTACTGGGAATCCATGTGGCCTACGGAGCACCGCCGCAAACTGGAACAAGCGGAAGCAATGCAATATAATCCGCCTATCATCTTCTTCGCCCTGAGCATCATGCAACATGAATAACGGTGCACGGCCGGCTGAGAGCCAGATGGCTACGAATACGTAGCCACAATTGGTTGATTTTTAATCAACCGGTGTTCATCAAGCTGTTTATTTGCAACACTTGTGGCGTCCACGGTTGAAAGTAGCCAGCGTTAGCCCTAAAAGGAGAGTCTCAATACTCGTTCGGTTGATGCACTAAGACATTCTCAAACGACTGGCGGTCAAAAACAGTCCCTAATATGCTTAGAGGCTGCTAAATGTCTCGGCACGTTTCCGGATTCGTGGGGAAACTCCGGCGAAGCTTTTTGGTCCAAGTGGAGAGGTCCAAAAAAATCTATTTTCATTTGGTGCCAGCGTGCCAATGCTATAGGGGTCTATAGGGACCTCACGATTCAGTTCCCAACCAGGTGGGGTTCCTGCATAGGTCAGACGCCAATTTAGCTTGTCCTTTGCACTATGGTATACTTTCGCTTCCGTTCGATCCGTATTATCAGAGTTTCCCTGAAAGCCTCTAGGACGCCCCTGTCATCGCCCCGCTGGGCTATATCCGTACACCAGACCGACACCTATATAAAGCTTCAGATACCCTCACCATGAATCCATCCTTTTTTCTCCTCATCCGCGCTCCTTTCGTTTTTCGTATTCTATTGTATCTATCAGTTTTAGGGTATCTGTTGACCAGAACCTTGTCCGATCTTTCTCAACACAGTCCAACCACTCGACTATCCTCTTTTCCACCATGCATTTCTTCCAATCCTCCCTCGTGGCCGCGACCATGGGCGCTGCGCTGGTCGCTGCCGCACCTGCCGCTGATCTCGAGACTCGCGGCTCTTGCACTTTCACCTCTACGGCCGCGCTCAAGTCCGGCAAGGCCTCCTGCTCCACCATCACCCTGCACAACATCGCCGTGCCCGCCGGTGAGACCCTGGACCTGACTGGCCTGAAGGCCGGTACCACTGTAAGTCTTACATGATTGGTATGTTGGATGCCATCGACTAATGTGCTGCCAAAGGTCGTCTTCGACGGTACCACCAGCTTCGGCTACAAGGAATGGGAGGGCCCCCTGATCTCCGCGTCCGGAACCAGCATTACCATCAAGCAAAACCCTGGTGCTAAGATTGACTGTGATGGTGCTCGTTGGTGGGACGGCAAGGGAGGCAACGGCGGCAAGAAGAAGCCCAAGTTCTTCTCCGCCCACAAGCTGAACCAGTCGAACATCTCCGGTCTGAAGGTCTACAACACCCCCGTCCATGGCTTCAGCATCCAGTCCGACCACCTCACCATCAAGGACGTCCTGATCGATAACTCCGCCGGTACCAAGCTCGGCCACAACACCGATGCTTTCGACGTCGGCTCCAGCACCTACATCACCATTGACGGCGCCACCGTCTACAACCAGGACGATTGCCTGGCCGTCAACTCCGGTCAGCATATCACCTTTACCAACGGCTACTGCAATGGTGGTCACGGTCTCTCCATCGGCTCCGTCGGCGGCCGCAAGGACAACGTCGTCAACGACGTCACCATCTCCAACTCCCAGGTCATCAACTCCCAGAACGGCGCTCGTATCAAGACCGTCTACGGCGCGACTGGCTCCGTCACCGGCGTCAAGTTCCAGGATATCACCCTCAAGGGTATCACCAAGTACGGTATTATCGTCGAGCAGGACTACGAGAACGGCAAGCCCACTGGCAATCCCACCAACGGCGTCAAGGTCTCCGATATCACCTTCGAGAAGGTCACCGGTAGCGTCACCAGCTCCGCCACTGATATTTATATCCTCTGTGGATCCGGCAGCTGCACCAACTGGACGTGGTCTGGCAACAGCGTCACTGGCGGCAAGAAGAGCTCCAGCTGCAAGAACGTTCCTGCTGGCGCCTCTTGCTAGACTTGCTTCTAGAAACTGGCCGGTGGGTGCTGTCGAGAGTGTTCTGTTCGTGTCTCCATTTTTGGATACTTGTATTTAGACCATAATTCTATAATAAAAGACATATTCAAGACTAGGCCCGGAAGTTCCTCAATTAATCAGCAAGGCACTCCATCTGGCCGAGCTCTTTCGGCGTCGATCGGTCATATTCGCGATATGGCAGCAATACGTACAAGACCTTGCGTCCCGGTTTGATGCCACAATGTGATCTATCGTGCCGAAACCTCACCGTAAGCAAACCTACTACGGAGTATGCCTTGCATACTTCCGCGGGGGGTTAATTGAATTGATGCCGATCATTTTCTCTGAGGAATGTCTGCCCAGTTTCACCTCATACTTACGGTCAGGAATGCAAGGGGCTTTCCCATCAAGCAATGATCGGCCCAATGTTTTGATTATAAGCTGCTTAAATACATCCCGCAGATTCGCGATTGTTCTCCGTCACCTCCATCATCACCACCGTCTAGAAATCCCACCATGTATCTCACTCAGGGCCTCACCCTCGTGTCCCTCGCGGCATCCACCCTCGCATTCCAGATCCCCGACTCCAACCCATCCTCCACCGAGCACACCGACGACCAAACCACCCACCCCACCGTCCGCGACATCTTCCAATTCCCCGACAACGGCTCCTTCATCGACAACGTCGTCGTCCGCCCCGACGGCACCCTCCTCCTCACCCGCATCGACGTCCCCGAAGTCTGGTCCGTGGACCCGCAAACCGGCTCCGGGGCGCTAGCCTACTCCTTCGCCCAGCAAAGCAACGATATCACCGCCGTCTTCGGCATCACCGAAGTCGAGCATGACGTTTTCGCCGTCGTAGCGGGCAAGTTTCAACTGCAAGGCTTCGCCGCCGAGCAAGGGTCCTTCGCCGTCTGGAGAATGGACTTCAACGATGACGGCAACTATGATGTCCTCGAAGTGCCTTGGTGGGGCGATGGGGAGTATACCCCGACCAAGAACACGCCTAGCGAAGTCAGCAAGATAGTCGATATCCCCGAGGCGAAGGCGCTGGGCGCGAGTACCCTGTACAAACCCCGGCATGATGCGCGGTACCTGCTTATTGCGGATAGTCCTGACGGGATGGTCTGGCGGGTTGATCTGGATTCCGGGGAGTATGCGATTGCGCTGCAGGATGAGTCGATGCTGCCAGCGCCGAATGCGCCGCCGATGGGGGTGAATGGGATCCATGTTGTCGGGGAGTATCTGCATTATGTGAGCGTGACGAAGAAAGAGTATCGCCGGGTGAAGATCGATGAGATGGCGAATGCGGCCGGGCCGTTCGAGCTGATTACGGCGGAGATCAACCCGGATAGTTTTGATATTATGGACGATGGGACGGCGTATTTTGCGACGAATCCGGAGAACACAATTGTCAAGTATACCCCTGAGGGCAAGATTGTGGATTTTGCTGGAGGCAAGAATTCGACTGCGCTGCCTGGACCAACTTGCTGTGTGTTGGATAGAGAGGCACAGACGCTGTATGTTGGCACGAATGGGGGCTTTATGGCTCCGGTAGGTGGGACTTACAAGGAGCCTGGCAAGGTTGCCGCTATTTCGCTTTGAAGACAAGGCTGGATGAGTAAACGAGAGACCCTTTGTCGAGGAAGACCTTGATATTTTTAATGTAGTGCCTAATAACAGAGTGACAATGGATAACCTTCATAGTTGTGCTCTATCGCGCAGTTGGCTCTTCCTCATCAAGCATGTCTGTAGAGTGATTGGTGAATGAGATCCTAGCTATATAGACATTGCATAGTGGATAATGACATCTGTGAACATACATGAGCTAAGACATTTTGATGGACTCAAGCAAGGACGGAACAAATATATGATGCAATGGTACATCAAGCAGGCCCCAGCAATTCGACTACACCAGCCAGATAGTCGTCGTCATCAACATCCATGTCCTCGCATTTTTCCTTCGCACCGTGCTTCCGAAGAAGGTCAGCTACTTCAACGTGTCCTTTTGCAATGGCCAGTGATAGAACAGACGAAAAGGATCCTATGCGCATGTTGGGATCCGCCCCGTGACAGAGGAGAAGCTCGGCGACTTCCGCGTTGCCATCAGTCACGGCAACTGAGAGAGGCGTCTCGCCAGCATCACTCTTCTCATTCACGTCCGAACCCGCGATCAAGCATCTTGACGATCAACGTGCATTTCATGGATCGAGTGGTGTGGACCAAAGTGATATGTTGCTTCCTTCGGTAGATGGGGCGTAGACCAGCTCCATGGTCTATCAGAAGCTCCGCCTCGTCGTAAAACTGCTGGCTCATTGCGCATGCCAGAGGTGGCAGTAGCCAGCCCTTACGAGAATGTTTTCGAATGGACGGATGACCCTGCTGGAGGGCTTTTGAGTATGCATTGGGGTCAAGACCAAGTTCGAGAAGTTGCCTGAGCACGTCGATGCTCAAGTTCATGACGACCCAAAACAGCAGAGTCGGATCGTCGCCATGCCAGGTCTGGTCGGCGCCTTTTGTAAGGAGAGCTCTCGCTATTACTTCCTGGCCGAGCCTTGCCACGTAAGATAGGGGCAGTTCATCATCAATCTTGGAGTTCAGTTGGGCACCTCTGTTTAAGAGTTCCTCAACACAGTCCCAGTGTTTATTCCGCATTGCAAGCTGAAATGCATTCCCATAACTCATCATCCGGTCGTCGCCAGATCGATCAACGTAATCCAGAAGCATTTCCAAAACTCGACGGCGGCCATGTGCGGCGGCTATAGGTGTAGCAGAACCCTCGTTCTCGATGATAAGACTGGCACCTCGATCCAACAACACACTGACAGCCTCGACATGTCCGTGCGCCACCGCGTTGAAGATGGCGGTATAGCCCTCCGAGTCTTCGCCGTCTATTGAAACAGCCTTATCCAAGAGCAAGCTAAGGCCCTTGGCGTATCCGCGGGTGGCGCAGGAAACGAAGAAGTCTTGGTCTTCTGGAACTTTAGCCCCTTGCCCAAGCAAGTACGAGGCGATGTCAAAGTGGCCATATTCCACGGCCATTTTCACGGGCGTCGTTCCTCGAACCCGCACCATGTCTATATCAACCCCATGTTCCACTAGGAGCTTCACGCCCTCCACTTTACCGCGCATTATCATGTAATGAAGGCACGACCATGCTTCACCGGGGGTCTCACCAGGTGCGGTCTGATGAACATCAGCGCCTTCTTGGATAAGAAAGGCCATACATTCCACATTACCCGACCAAGCAGCATGAAGGATTGGTCCAGGTTCAACTCCGTCCCCCCCATGAATGTTCGCGCCTTTGCTAACGAGTAGTTTGGTCAAGTCCAGCATTCCCAAATGTGCAGCCAAGGTCAGCAGCGTTATCGAATTGCAACAGTGCTGCTCGACATCGGCGCCATACTCGTCGAGTAGAAGCTCGATCACTTGCGTTTGTTTATATCCTAGTGCGTAGCAAAGGGGAGTGTGGAGCGGTACGTCGCAGACCGGCGTGATCGAGCGGATTTTTGCATTGATATCGCCTGGCTTGGCAGCCAGTGATCGTCTGACGACATTTTCAAGTCCACGGCAAACACCAAAGGCAAGGGCGGTGTGTTGGTGGTAATCTGCGTTGTAGCGGTGAATGTATGGATTTACGACGCTGAAGATAAATCGGTTCGTGCGGGCGAATGTGTTAAGCCAAGCTTGATTCTGGAGATGCTTCGCTGTCTCTAGCATGAGCTCGTTGGGCAAGGACAGGAGATTCATTATTGAATGGCCTAAGTAAAACGTCAAGGTCAGGAGTGATAGTTGGAAGGGAAGAAAGATGGAAAAACCGTCAAGTGTGTGAGATGAGGGAGCATGGTCCGTTGAGTATTGTGGTAAACAAACAAGTATCTTTCGGACACGCCTGAGACGGAAGCCACTCACTTGTGTTGGTCAACTCTCATTCACTCGCTACTTCTGCATTTGATCATGAGGTCAGACAAGGTGGACTTCCTGGTTCTGTTGCATCAGCCGTGCCATGGCTTGAGATGTGTTTTGTAAACCGCTCATTTAATACTCACATATCTGGCATCTGGGCCTTTTCTGCGACAGTCAGAATGAATATTCAAATCAATCTCCGATATCACAAGTATACGGTCTCTCCATGGTCCGATCCCGTTAAGTGTAAGTGTGCATCTAACCAGAGTGTAAAGTCTGGTAGAATAAACAGGCTGCAGCAGGGTCTTTGAGTGCACAGTCTGAGTAGGACACAGTTTTGTCATAGTTGAAATCTCCTCTCGATCTCGTATGTGAAGAGGGTGGACGATGCAGATAGGGTAACGTTTGCCTAGCAGCATACTATCTGTTTGTGTATTCTCGCTTTCTGTAACTCTCAGATCTGCGCCACTTTATCCAGCCGGTACTCCATATATAGTTACTTCGGGAAAGACCTCTGTTGGACTCAAGCCGGCTTGATTACTCTTCTCAGCTCTCAAATATCTAGAATTGATTTTGGACCATAGACACTTGAAAAAAGGACATCTTAAACTGACATACTGTCTTGAAAAGTCATGAACCCTGAAGGTACACTGCTCGACGCAGAGTCACATGACCAGGAAGTGTCTTCTTGTGGCCATGCCTCAGGCTCCGAAATGGTGCGGAGAACCGACGCAAACTGGGGAAAAACGTGCGAATTTCCGCCGGATCCTGTTCCTCTCCATTCTGCGGTCCGCTACCGGCATCGGCTTTCCCCATGTCTAGATTCAAATCATGTCTGAACATCCATCGGAACAGCTTAGTGCAGATTATGGATTAGAGTCTGGCGGATACTTGCATTACACGCGCTCACCATTGCCGACGCGAGTCAGCAGTGCGTGCGAGAGATGCCGTCGCCACAAGACTCGGGTATGGATTTCCATCAGCCTGTTACAATGCTCTTTTCTGAAAGATTACTGACGTTGTACAATCTTTTCATCTGCAGTGTGATCCTTTCCGACCTTGCTCACTCTGCGCACGAGCAAAAGTGGATTGCCAACCACTTCCTGCTAGTCGGACCCGCAGGGATAGCACTCGGAAGTAAGTCCCTAGGGAGACGAGATCATTGTAGAGCTAATCTTCTCGTTTTGTTAATTTACTAACAAGTAGCAGAGCAAAGAGAACTCTGCGAAGTCATGAGCGACAGAGAACCGCATCAACAGCTGCCGCTGACCAGCCCTCAGAGAGCTTTGATGGCGCCAGCAATGGGGCTCCATCAGTCGGGGCTACTAATCATGACAGCCGCATAACTACAGACGGCCGTGTTACACATCCGGCAGTCGACTACGGTGAAGCTGAATCTACCATGGGAATTGTGCAAAAAATCTGCGAACTTGGTAGGCAGCATATTGATGAGCAAGCCACTTCTGCTATTCCTGGCTACCGAGCGAGCACCAGCGTTGCCAAGCGGCACGCAGCAACTGTCGGACAGCGGCTTCCCATTGCTTCAATACTAGGTCAGGATCTACCGCCGACGGATATGATGTATTCGTTGCTCGAGGACTACTTTGATGCAGTCCATTGGTTTTCTCTTGCTATTTATGAACCTACCTTTCGCAGGAAGCTCCTGTCCGTCGCTGATGGGCTTGCGTATCCCTCCCAGAAATCATTCTTGCTACTCCTTGCAGTCGTCCTGGGTATGGGGGCGTGGTATCGATCCCAAAGGAGGACAACTGATTTGACCGACAATGGCGATTGGCAACAATTGAGTGCAAACCTCTTGAAGATCGTCGAGTCGCATATTCTTGAGTTGATGGACCAACCTTCCGTCACAGCAGCCCAGATATGCATACTCTTCGGATCATACCACGTCTATCACGGACGTCCCAATCTGTCCTTCTCTTTACTCGGTGCGACTATCAAGATATCGCAGGCGGCAGGGTTGCACCGTGAACCTTCGAGGGGCAGCTTTGAGGATATTGAAGAAAGGAAACGCGTATGGTGGACCATTTACACTTGGGATAGATTTGCGTCGATCACATACGGCCGACCACTAGGAATCAACGACAAGGACTGCAATCTCAACATGCCAGCGGATATTTTTGAAAATCCCTACTTTGTTGCCCCGAGATCGGAGCAAGGATATACTGTCTGCTACTCCACGTATCAAAGGGAATTGAATCGTCTTTACCTCATGGCGTCCACTGCCCTGGAGGCAATTTTCGGCTCGCGGACGTCAGGCTCGTCCGAGGAACTAGCGGGGGACGCATACGTTGCGCTCGTCAAAGAAGCGACTCAAAACCTTCAGAGATGGCGGAATGAATTACCTGAGCATCTAGTCCTGGACCTGGAGAGGGATTTCCTGCCTGACAGTGGGCTCAGTGCGAGGGCACATGCCTTACAATCGTTGTCCCTGCAATTGACCTACGATAACATTCTCATTGTCCTCCACCGGCCTTTATTGGCAAGGCAAGTTGATCACCTATCGACAAATCGTCACGCTTCAAGCCGAAACGGCGGGATAGATTCCCCGGCTACCATCCGAGCGGGCCATCGCCAGCACAGAGAGACCCAGCATTGGATGCTGTATCACCGAATGCATCTGTTACAAGTCCTGTGCACTGGTGGAATGCCGCCTTGAGAACATCCCGAGTGACTGAGTTACCGGTCCTGGCTCAGCTTGCGACGGATAGTCATTTGGTTGCCTTCTTGGCAATAAACCTGTTCAACGCGGCAATTGTGCTGGCGGTCATGGCGCTGTCAGATCCCCTCTCCGACACAGCACAGGTCGTCAAGCGGACAATCACTCGTATCCTGCGTCTACAGGACCTTCTTGGAAAGCGCTCTGCATTATCGAAGCAAAGTACGACAGTTTTGAAGAATGTGGTCACATTGCTTCTCCGCCGTGAATCAGAGGCTATTCTGGCTCCAATCACGACGAACAATCAGCAAGAAGGTCACCAGTCTTTAGTAGACTCTGCACCAATGTCAGTGGAAGATACCCTCCGACTCCCTCTCGACGCGACAGTTGACTTTTTCGACGCCCCGGCGCGACGGCCGGCATGGCCTGACCAGAACAGGGCTCAGCGCCTCAACGAAAGTTTAGCATCAGTTCAATTCGGTGAGTGACTTTACGTCTCTCTGGCAAATAGTTCCACGACTGGAAATGCTGATCTGTGGCTTTATCTCTAGTCGTTCCCTCCGGCAATGATGCTCATTCCTTCAACTGGTATGCGAGTGGAGACACTCACCAAGCTCGCGGTACCATTCAGGACACGATACAGCCAGACCATACATGGCAGCAATCTGCCCCGAACGAATGGCATGACCCAGCGTTTCTCTTGGGACAATGGAGACCGCAAGCTACGGAACAGGTGAACGGGGGTTATACTGGCTATGGGATATGTCATGGAATGGAACGGAGTCATAAGCTTTATACATCGGCCTAACATATGACCGCTTCTAGGAAACGGAAGGAATGTCACATGAGTTACAGCAACGGTCGCAGATTCACGCTATGTCAATGTGGCTTTCGCTATATGCTCGTCTACACCAGGCCCGTAAATGACACTCTTGATCCCTGCTCGGCTGACGACATTCTTAAACGCGTCCTCTGCCTGAGTGAACGGAAACTCGTGGGTGACAAGACCATCTAGTCTAATCCGACGAGAGTGGAGCAGCTCGATTGCTGTCTGATAATCCCCAGGGCCATATCGGAAACTCCCTTTAAAGACGATCTCCTTGTCGCAAATCTGACCGACCGGAAGGGAGGGGTTCGGCTTCCCTAAACCAACCTGAACAAACGTTCCTCCAGAAGCGAGGATATGAATACCGCAGTTCATGCAAGGCTCCGCGCCAGTGGCATCCAGGACAACGTCGGCACCTGTCTCCAGTTCCACGGTATTGAAAATGCCCTCTGCATTCTGTTCCGGGGACTCAGGTGTCATCTGGTATGTGTGCGTGGCCCCGTATTTCAGCGCAGAGCCGAGTCTGCTGGGCACAACGTCCACGGTGAGCACAGTTGAGGCCCCAAACGCGCGCGCCACGGCCACACAGAGCAAGCCCACCGGACCTGCTCCGAAGACGACGACTGTTTTTCCCTGCATATCCCCTGCGAGTCGGCAACTGTGCACGGCCACACTCAGCGGCTCAATCAGGGTACCGTCCCGTAGCGAGACATGTGCGGGCAGTTTATAGCAGCACTCTGCTGGAACGAGATAATAAGTCGCAAGTGTCCCGTCATAGGGAGGTGTAGCGGCGAAGCGCATCTCTCGGCAGAGATTGTATCTGCCTGCACGGCAATGGCGGCAGGTATTGCACGCGACGCCGGGCTCCAGTGCGACACGATCCCCTACAGCAAAACCTGATTTGCTTCCGCATTCAACCACAATGCCGGACGATTCGTGACCCAGGATAATCGGGCCTTCGACGATATATCGTCCTATGCGGCCATGCTGCCAGTAATGTACCTATGTATCCGACAACGTTAGTTTCCAATGTTGGCAAGCGATCTCCAACCATCAAGGGAGTGATGCACCCACATCTGAACCGCATAAACCGGTTGCTACAACTCGGACAAGCACATCTCGATCTGAACCCAGGGTAGGTACAGCACGCTGCTCATAGTGAAATGAACCCCCGGGATACAAAACAAAGGCCTGGTTTACCGCCTGGGTGATTTGAGGTGAGCAGGAGGGACAGACTCGGCCAAGACTACACCAACCTGATTCGGTGTTGCAACAGTCATTTTTGCAATTGTGTGTTTGATGGAATAACGCTTTCATGCTTTCGTCCAGTCTTTAAATTCGTTCGGCACTCGGTTGGTGTATCCTACCCCAGACCCCATGACATATCGGTTCCGTGTACATCGGTTCCGGCGGATGTTGTCCCTGTTGGAGTCCGTCTAGTCGGGCCGATACCCACTCCAGATGTTTGTGTGCTCGTCCACTGTTCCGGTCTGAAGTCTGTCCTGACTAAATGGCGCGCGGTGCAGGCTGTGGTAGGGTAGAGTACATTGCTTCGTGGATGCGTGATAGATAGCAGCCGAAGTTGTCGTCTTTGCTGCCATTCTGCGGCCTGCCGAGAGGCGACATTCTAACAAAGCAACCGTTGTCTTTATGAACTTACTTTTCCTGAATCATAACCCCCAAACTCCGATGCTGTCATCGTTGATGATCAAAACTGCTATAACCCTTGCCTTTGTTGTTTTGTGCGCACGTGACTTGGCTGGTGTTACCGGAACCGAGTGGGACTCGGCGAGTCCAATTACTTTTCTGTGGGCACGGAACCGAAGCCACTCAATATCCCGGGTCTCTCGTCCATCGGAACCGGTAGGACTGAAGAAGTGATGGGACCAATCATTGCAGTTGACGTCTGAAGTCGACCTGTGCTTGAGCGTGCCTGCGGGTCATGGTTACATAATGATTGGCTGCTTCGAGTAAGTTTACATACAAGTCCCAAGCCTGAGAACTTTTCTCGGAAAGACTAATCGGCTCCGAGCCAGAGACACGAGATCTCTGACCAAGTACCACGATGAGACTCAATTGTGGAGTTTGGAGCAGACTTGAACATGGCGTTGTGGGACAGTTGCACGTCAGGTTACACCTTGACCTGGAGAAAAGTCTAACTTCCCCATGGGACCACACTCCGGGGTAGCAAAAGTAGAAATAGAGCCCTGCCACCCTGGTTGAGACTAATTGTCAATGACCAGCATCTAACAACTGCTTTGTATCTCTATTTCCTTCTCGAGGCCATGAGTGTCAGAAGAACCTCTGCGACGGCGCACAATGCGGCCATCAAAGACCGCTCGCAAGCTGTGGCCGCGCAGGTTGCAGAGCAACAAGGTTGGCTGGAGAGAAAACTCAGGCCCAACAAGGTCACCGCCAGATATCCATTCAAGGGAGCGCCGTTGCTTTATGCGACATGCGCCTTTGGGAGTCTGGGAGATGCGTTGTTCGGATACAACTCTGGTATGCCACCAACAAGCTGGACGGCAGGAGTGCTGCTAATGCTAATTGCAATAGGTATTATGTCCGGCTTGCTGGTCAATCCCGTCTTCGTATCTCGCTTCTTCAAAGACTATGGCGGTGCAGACGGCACCACGAATGCAGTCGATCCATCTATCACGGGCATTTCAGTCGCATGTCTCCAAGCATCAGCAGCCGTGGGTGCACTCATTGCAGGGCGTCTCGGCGACATCATCGGACGAAAGAAGTGCGTCCGCATCGGCGGCTTCATCTACTTCTTCAGTGCGTTCATTCAAATATTCGCTCCCGACTTCGCCACGTTTATCGCCGGCCGTACGATCCAGGGTCTGGGAGTGGGGTTTCTCTCCATGACCGTGCCTATTATTCAGACGGAGATCGCGGCCCCGCATCGCCGTGGTCTCATGGTGGGGATCGAGTATACATTCCTGATTGCAGGATACATGTTGTCGTGCTGGGTGGACTACGGTTTCAATTTCCTTTTACCGAGCCATATGTCCTGGCAAGGCCCGTTCATCGTGCAAATCATTCTTTCTTTTATCTTGTTGGCCATGTCCTTTTTCTTGCCCGAGACACCTCGTTGGCTGGCGAAGAACGGCTTCATGCAAGAGAGTTTGCAGACTGTTGCGGACTTGCATTCTGGAGGTGACACAGAGGCGGAGCATGTGCAGCAAGTCTTCCTCGAGATCCAAGAAGCAGTCATATATGAAACCAACCTAGGAAAGTCGAGTTGGAAGGTAGGCTGACAATCCTGTTATGACCTTGGTGAGTTTCAACCTGGCTAATGAGATGAACAGGAAATGTTCACCCGTTACCGCAAACGAACGATCGTTGGTATCACAGTCCAGATGTTCGCCCAGCTGAACGGAATCAACATCATCTCATTCTACCTTCCGAGCACCCTTGCATCAGCCGGATTTGACAATCGGAAATCGCTCCTGTACACGGCTGCGAATGCGCTTCCATATACAGCCGCGACAATCGTAACGTGGTGGTTGGCAGATAGATGGGGACGGAAGCCTTTGCTTATTCTCGGAGGTGAGCCTTCAGTACCTTCTCAAAGCCATATGTCAGCTAACTGTTTTATCAATCAGGCCTCGCCATGGCAATCCTGCTCGGTATCGTCTGCGCCTTCACCGAGGCCAACCTGGACATCACAGTCAAAGCCAATGGCCAATACGCCTTCGTCATGCTGTATAACATCGTCTATGGCTTTACCTGGGGCCCGATGCCCTGGCTTCTCCCGGCGGAGATCTTTCCCCTGCGCGGCCGCAGTAAGGGAATGGCGCTGGCTACGACGAGCAACTGGATCTTCAACTTTATCATTGGCATGGTGTCTCCAGATGCGTTTGCGGGTATTCACGGGTATTTCTACCTGGTGATTGCGGGATTCTGTCTCTTCTCCGCTGGTCTGGTTTACTTTTACTATGTGGAGACGGCGAATCATACTCTTGAGGAAATTGCGGTCTTGTTCGGGGACCAGGCGTTTGCAGATGGGGACGGGGAGGTCATGGAGGTTGCTGATGTTAGGACTGATCATGGCAAGGAGCTTGTTTGAGGTAGCCGGACTGTCAAGGAGATTTATACTGTGTTCCATGCTTGTATGGCAGCAGTTAGTACCAAGCACTAAGTTGCAGGGTACTAAGCCTACAGAATTCTCAATACACTGATAAAGAATGTTTGAAAGTGACTAGTAACTTTGTCCAATATGTTCTATAATTGAATTTCAAGAGGAACAGTACGTAAGTGGGATGCTCTATATGTAGTAGCCCAACCGCGAAAATATATATATATAACTGGACAGTGGTTACGACACCACGGCATCGCGAAATCATACATCCCATATTGAATACACAGTTAATAAATGAAGACAACTGATGTCCAGCCTCTAGAAATTAATTCTATAGAGGGAATATCTGCATCTTACCCATATGCTATCCAGAAGCAAAGCGCTATATCTTCTCCCCAGCAAGTCAACAAATTGACCATACACATAGAATCATTTAAAAGCCTACTAAACCCCATTCAAGCAATTCATCATCAGAATACCTGTCCGAAAGACGGATACTCTGACCAAACCCCGAGGAATGACGGAATGACTATACCCGTTTAATGCCGTGCAACAGGGATAACAGTGACCCATGGAATCAAACCGACGATCAAAAAGATCTAAAGGCAGACTAAGTATACTCTATCGACTGTCCTGTACGTTAATTTCAAGAAGCATAAAAGCGTATCGGTTCAGTCATTCCAACCCAGAACTGAGGATGAGATGAGAATATCCTGGATGGCTGTTCATGGATGGAAATGGTGTCGTGCCCTTGCGGGTGTATCCCTGCGGACTGCTGGAATGCGGGAACCTAATCTGTGGACATCGAATGGTTCTGCTCATTTCCGCGGAATGGAAGGGGCAGTGCCTCTTCCCTTCCTATGGCAGATCTGCATTTATCACTTTTTATTGCTTCTTGCTTGTGTTACTAATGCCACTATCCCCACGAATGTCAAACCACTTGTATATGAGGTTCGAATCCTCATAGTATATTAAAGTCTTCTATAACAAGGGTGGTATTAATATTATTTTCATATAATTGAGATAACGAGCATTAGGACACCTATATTAAATTATTATATAGTATTAATTTCGAGTATCATAAGTAAAGATATTGAATCCTTGTACAGAGGATGTTGGCTACCACCAAACTTGGATATATATACAGTAGTATATAAGTTTATAATAATCTAATATCCGTACTAAGTATTTGATAGTTGATATCTCTACTATACGATGTTTTAATATCTCCACTAAGCAATTAACATCCAAGTTACCATGGACACCCCTTCCTCAGCAATACTCAAGTTATTCAACGCCCTCCCTATACTGCAGTGGATGTGCGCCATGTGGATAAAAAACAACGCGTCTCCCTTGTAAATACTCCGCCGTTGGACGGAACGAGGTACCGACAGGCAGTACTGACACAAAGTACGTAGTTAAATGTCCATGACAACTGGAGCCGCGGGCCGACTCCTTTAAATCCCAGCCAATGAGCTAGAAGGATATTCAACGCATGAACAAAGGGACTGCTGCTAGGGTGCTCCACCCGCCAAGTCAAAATATTCCCCGGTTGGCGAGTTCAAACATGACATGCTGTACAGGCGCACAATCATTCCACTGCGGCGGGGCTGTTAGAAGAGCAGCAGGTGCCAAAGCGCAGGCCTGCACCCGTTAGAGTAAATGCATTCTTTGTCAGAGGATTGACAGTACTCAGTAGAGGAGGGTATGACAGGGCGCATTGTAGCGTACGGGGGAGTTCAATTCAGGGTGAAGAGTGTGGTTGTTGGCCCTCGTTGGTTACTGTTGGTATGATGTTGACGAAGTGCTATAGCAGTGATATCTGGCCAGTTTATTCTACTCTGCTGATATACGGGAGACTTCGGTGAGTGGAATCGTGGTGAGACGTTTAACCAGACAAAGGAGAACTGACATCAGTATACGGCGTTTAGAGGCTTACTTACCCTTTTCTTATGGTTAAAGCCTAATAACCAAATCCATAACTATGTGCGACTGTGAGTGGCATTGACATCGTCCCAACCAGTGGGAGGGCTTGTTTACGTTTATGCATAGTTGCGGCGCCATCGGAATGCTGGACCGAGACATCTCAGAGGTCCAATCGTTTGGCTGGGAATCCAAGCAGAGCCCTATTCCATAGACGCTGCCACTGCTGTTCTTTCTTTGTAATCCCATACTGAGCTTGTGGACGCCGTGTTATGGCTATCCCATTGCCAGCCTCTAGGATAGAGTGAAGCAAAGGTTGGCAGGAATGTTAGATTGGGATGCGAGACGGGAAGACGGAAGATAAATCCTCGCTGGAGCATATCGACTATTGGCGGCCCGAAGCTCCAGGGACTCCCCCTTGCATACTCTAAAGCATACTGTGAAACTGTGAGTGGCCCGCATCCTTAAGGAAAAAAACGGCCCCTGATTCCTCTGATTTGACATTTGCTTCCGCGGTTGGCCAGGGAGACTCGGAATGATATTGACTGCCCACCAATCCCATTCGTCCAGGCGTCCCAGGAGTAATTTAATATTTGCTATGCGGGCTCACCATGGAGCAGATCGGCGCACCGGTCATAGCTTTTTCTGTGCATACCTCACGGGCCGTAGGATAGTACAGAAATACCTTGGCCAGCGAATTCGGAAGATATGACACAATATTCCAAGGCTTGGTACTGGAGGAAGAAAAGCCCAGCCATACAAATAATGACAAGCCCTCGAAAGAAGGGCATGATGTCTTGCGTTCATATGACCTCCATCTTCCTCAGAGTGTTTCAAACCTGAATGATGCGGCTTTTGCGACGCCTTTTATATGAGCACCAAGGCAAAGATGCTCACAAGCGAAAATGGGTGCATGGGAGAAAGGATCTATGTTCCAGACAATCTGCTGGCATCTGTCTCAGCGACGGACGATCAGGGCCATTGCAATCATCAAAGCTTCTCCTCAGGCGAGGAGGATTATCCAGAGGGCGAGATCCATGTTCCCAAGAAGAGAGTGTCAACTATAAGCTGGTCGGACCGTGGAGGATATCAGCCCACGACACGATATGGTCGTCTCAGCCAGACATTCGCCATTGAAGAAGGAAGGGAAGACGTATCCCTCTCTGAAGACAGCAAGACGAATGACGGCCCATCCTGTCCTTCTAGCGGATCGATCTCTCGAGAAGACCCTGTTTATGTTTCATATGATGCAGCGTCGTCGCAGGAGGATCAGGGCTGTCAGTATACTCGAGCGTCTTTTCATCCACGGACACACAACAGGTTCAGCTATCGAAATTCGTTGCCGGTAGGCCAATCCTTACGGAGCACGCCGCGCGACATACGAAAAGGCAGCGTCCGGAGTCTGTATAACAGGGCCGCCCTGGTGAAGATCAAGCATCAACGAAGATACTGGCGTCGGGTGTTGTTTGAGTATGCAGTATACACTGTCCTTGTACTGTTTGTGTACTTCGTTCTCGTGGGGGTACCTCTGTGGAAAGGAGCAGTATGGTGGCTTCACTGGATCATGCAGAAGAAAACGGTCTTCCAGGGCGGCTGGGCCATTGTCATTGGTCTCCTCGTGTTGTAAGTCTTCATCAGATGCAAAAAGTGCGATTCAATAAGCAATGACTCACAGTCGGACAACGATAGCTATTCGTATACCCCCCTACTTACCACATTCGAGGACACCTCCCCTGGACCAGAGTTCTTCCACCAGCGCCGGATTACTCCAAACCCCACGGACACCGCGCTCCTGATCCCCTGCTACAGATCAGCCGCCATTATCGGTCGAACGCTCGAGGCCGCGCTGCAGATTTTCCCGGCATCGCATATCTACGTCGTTGCAAACGGGAACTCGTCCCTACCGCTGGACAACACCGAGGAGATCTGCCGCAGCTACGGGGTCAATCACATATGGTCACCAGTGGGGTCAAAGATCATTGCCATATTCATCGGCTGCTACGCTGTCAAAGACTTTCGGAACGTACTGTTGATCGACGACGATTGTATCCTCCCACCCAACTTTCCCGTTGTCGTGTCCCGACTCAACGAGGATGTCCGCTGCATCGGCTACACGATCAAATCCGTCGGACCAGATTCCTCTCGCGGATCGTATTGTCAACAAGCACAAGACCTGGAGTACAAACTGTCTGGCCTGACCCGGTCTTTCGCAGGGCGGATCGGCAGCGCGACATTCCCCCATGGCGCCATCTCATTGTGGGAACGGACGTTTCTGAAGCGGACCCTCCATAATCATCCCGGCTTTTCTATTAGCGAGGACTGGTTCCTGGGTGATAGCTGCCGGCGCTTAGGGGGCAGAATCCAGATGTGCAGTGCCGTCTTCGTGGAGACCACGACACCGGCTTCTGTGCTCTTTGGCGAGATCGACGAAGATCGAGGCGGATTCGGCGAGCCGACGGTCTTCAAGCAGCGGTTCCTGCGGTGGAACTTCTTTGTCGCCAACGGGTTGTGGTATAATCTCTCGTACCTTTTTACATCGTGGAAGTTGGGCCGGTGGGAATTCGCGACAAAGCTCTTGGTCATTCAAGAGGTATGCACGTTCGACCTTTACTCTGCTCTTGACTCGGTACTGACTAGACAGATATATGAGACGCTTCTGTACATCCTCACTCCATTTACGCTGCCAATATCGTTCATTGTGCGACCCGAATTCTGCATTGTCCTCATGATGTCAACACTAGGGCTCTATTTACTTCACGTCATCATATTCAACGAGGTTCATTTGCGTCTGAAGAACGAGCGGATTTGCTGGAAGGTTGTCCTGGGGTATTATGTACGTTGCTGTCGCCTTTTACTTTGACATTCTTCTCTGCATGGTACTGACTGGCTGGCGCAGATGCCATACAAACTCCTCATGACCTTGACCAACGTCGCCAGCTGTTACTGGTCGCTGGTCAAATATGCCCGATATTTTGCCCGACGACACCCGAAGCTTACCGAGGACCACAAGGCGGTTGGAATGGTGTTGAAATTGGAAGAAATGACGGACAGCCTAGGGGAAATGCCCAAGGGTCTGGGGAGGAGTATGACCGTGCGAACCGTCGACGTCGATGTGCCTGTACATAATAGAGATTTCCTTATTGCCGAGTTGCCAGCGGAGAGATATCCTTCTGGTTGACGGCCTGCATGCTCAGTCCATATATATGTCTAGACACTGCCGCCAGATCTGCACATCTTATGGTACTGGATAATATGTATATGCTACATAGGAACATACGCAAACGATCCTTTGTTCCGTCTTCATCTACATCCCAAACATCATCCGAGCTCGGCATTGTTGGTCCACGGAGATGATAGTGAGTATAGTCATATACCATCATTCTACCTCAGGATCCGAATATGTCTAAAAAGCTATGTATATGGATTAATAATCTCTAGTACCCTCGTAATCATGAATCGTCCATAATCAGCAGACAAACCGGGCAATCCACCCCATGAACATCAACTTCAACAGCCAGCTCACAGAGCCATAAATCATAGCCCCATTATCCACCCAAGACACCATAGGCTGAGTATCCTGCTTAATCGCCACAGCCCGAGTCGAGTTCCTGCTATCAAACGTCCCAGAGAAAGTGATATTGAACATCGCACGAGGAATCTCCCCAGTGGCAGAGGAGTAAGACCCGCTCCCCTCCCCAGCCATCCTCAACTCTAGAGTCGTATTTGTCAGAGACCCAGCCATATTGAGCACCTCCGCGTATCCAAGCGACAGCCGCGACGGTTGGTTGCAAGCCGACGCAGGCAAGAGAATCTCAACCGCGTATTTCGGCTCGGGCTTGAGATCCGGTACCAAGCTCCCATTGAACAGGACAGAATCCGGTCGCTCCGTGTCAGGCGCCAGGCCCAAATCAAAGACATCATGCGCGCGAGCCCGGTCCGCGCGCGGGATATCGGTACTAGCCTGGTAGTCCGTCCACCCATCGCTGGTCTGGACCTTGACGAGATCCGGCTCCGTGGGACAGTACAGCCCGTCATTGAGAAAGTCGTACGAGAAGGTGATGTTCTCGAGCGCCTCGTTGGTCTGCCACGCCTTGAACCCGATGATGAGCGGGTTCGTCGGGCCGGTGGGGTACGGCGGCTGCGGGCCAACCCATGCGTAGCCTAGCATTCGCACGCTGCCGGTGCCGTTGCGGCATTGCTTGCCTGCGGTGAATTGCCAATGCAGGAATGCCTCGCCCTGGAAGTAGGACCCGTCGTATGTGGTTGGGTTTCCGCCGACGGCGTTGCTCGTCCAGTTGTAGGCGTTGAGGGGACAAGATCGCTCTTGTATAGTACATCTGATGCGGCGGGGCAGCTTGAACTGCTGCCGCCAATGGTGCTGGTGCCTTCCGGGTCACTGGAGGAGGCGCCGTCGCCATCGCTAGACGTATCGGAGTCACCTCCACCTCCGCCTCTTCTGGCGGCGACGGCTGGGGGAACTGCTAATAGGACCAGTCCTGAAGCGAAGAGCCTTGGGAGGTGCATTCTCCAGATAATATCAAACCTGGTTGAGATTGTTGTGGAGGAGAGCGGTCTTGCTTCCCCAGAGGTGAAAGGAATTTTGAGTGCCCGCGGCGGGATTTTCGCCAAGGCCTATGCTCAGGCTAACCTCGTATTCGAGCTAAAACATTGAACGGTGCTCGTTCATTGGCAGGAATTGCCCCTGGATACGAAGCCAAGAACACCGGTTGGATGCCAAGCTGTGAATGGGCCTGATCTCTGCCGCTCGGACTTCGACTCTGTGACCAGCAATCATCATGGGACCTGGCGGGTCATGCAACCTCTGTGTCCATTTTCTAACTTCATTCTGTGAGGTGTGGAACGTTCAAGGTAGGGCAGGCTCGTACGCGGACCGGCGAATCAGTCATTGAGGCACAGAAATTCAGACACATTAGCCGGAATATGGGAGAAGTGCATGCTCCAAATCGCTGATCCTCTGCACGGCGGACTTTGGGAGAGCCTTCCCACTAGAATCAATGACCTGAAGGTAACTCTCTTGAGGTCAGCGGAAGTAATCAGGCCTTGCGTCTGACTCAAATCACATCGGTGTCTTAATCGTCTGTGATGTTATTGAATAGTTCATAAGCTTGCCGAACTGTAGACTATGGTTCTCTAGGATTGTGATGAGGTATAGATAGGCTTGCTTCGATAGTGGATCGCTGTGTTCTGTTCTATTGCTGGCCTGCTTAGCACTATTAGTTTAGTTAACTAATGCAACTCCTAAAGTCAGCCAGGATCTGGTTATGAAAGAATGCTTGGCAAGGCTTGAATATTTTGCTTGGTGAGGTAATGAGGTACTTATGCCTTCGTGTTATGATGGATTGGATACATATACCATAATTATACATTCCCACAACAGTCGATCATTGCCGATTAAAGTAAAGCTGGTAGGATTGGCGTAGGTTATCTATCTCACCCTCTGGCTGCTGTAGATTGTTTCATGGATAAAATTGATGTTTGCTGCCTAGACGGTGTGTGGCTGGTGCACCAAAGTAGAACCCTAAATGATTGGCCCTAGTTTTTCTATGAGCCCCCGGTAAACCGCTGCGTCCTTCACATCCCGCCGACTAGCTATGTGATTCCTGAATCTGCGACTATTCCTGTGGTACTGGTGTAGTCCGTTTGAATTGCAATGGGACCTCGGCGATTCAGGCGACAGGCTATTGTCGCGACTGTCCTGGTCGCCACGATCCTCTGGTTAATGCATTCTTTCGAATATGAGAATGCAGATCTGGCCAGTAATACGCCGTTGCTACTGAAATACATTCATCCGCCCAGTGAAAAAGGAGGTGGTAAGATACAGACACTCATTTCGCCGGGTCTCACCCCGCTAACAAAAGCAGTATGGTATATTCCTCCTTCATGGCTGGACAATGCTACGTCTAAACCAGAAAGTATTGTTAAAGCGGCCAAACTAGCTTCTGACAAAACACAAGCGCCTCAAAGGCAGATACCCCTCTCCAGCATTCCGATGATCGTCCATCAAACATGGAAGAATACTGATCTGCAGACCTGGCCTCAGCCAATCCGTCAGAGCACGGAGAAGTGGCTCCGAGCAGTTGAAGCTGATGAGATGGCCTACTTCCTCTGGGACGACGACGGGATCAACCAGTTTATCAAACACTTTGAGCCGGGACTGGAGACGCAGTTCTACGCGCTTGCCAGCAACGTCGAAAGGACTGATGTCTTTCGTGTTCTGGTTTCGAAGTGGATCGGTGGTGTTGTGCGTAATTTCTTCCTCTTCTTCCCCCGCTTAGGAATATTAATTAGTGTCTTCAGTATGGAGATATGGACACCGAACCTCTCCGCAAGCCCAAAGATTGGATAAACGCCTCGGACATCCAGTCCTGGCGGGACACGGAAACAGGCGACGTGTACAGGTCCACCAAACCTGTTCGCGCAGTCGTCGGCTTGGAGGCTGATTGTCCCCCGATAGTGATTTATATTGGCGGATGGGGTATACCTACCCCGTGCAATTAACTCAGTGGGCTTTTGCTTGGGCGCCGGGACATCCGATCCTCCAGATGTTTATTGATAGGTTTTCTGCGGCGATGCAGGAGATGCCGAGTGAGGCAGTCGATCCGCTGGTTATGACCGGCCCGGTTGCGTTCAGCGAGGCGGTGCAGAGTTGGTTGAGGGAGACTACAGGGCTACGGTGGAATGCGCTGACGGGATTGCATGATGGGGGAGGAGCAAGTTTGTGGAGGATGTCTTGGTTTTGCCGATTACGGGGTTCAGCCCGGCAGAGGCAAATATGGCAATATGGGCTCGAAGCCCCCGACAGACCCGTCTGCGCGACTACTCCATCGAGCGCAGGGCTCATGGAGGAAGTTTGATCTTGTAGTGGAGTACGGGAAGTTCTGTCGGACGGTGTTTGGTCGGTGCAGGGAGTGGACCAAAGTCCCTCATACATCTTCATTCTAAAAATCGTGTATATAATGTTATTGAGAAGGGAGAGTTACAGCTTCGAAACCATCCTGACCGGCTCTCCTATCCTCTACAACCACCTCCATACCCCGTCGGCCACAGAACCCATCATTCCCAGCAGTAACCCCGACCATCCGGAACGAGCCGCCACTCTGTAAACCCTCATCAGGCACCCAGACCTCCCGCTGCACCTGTGATCCAGGCACCTCCTTCCTCCGCGGACTATACCACGGCAGCCCAACAGCCCGGTTCAGCAGATCATGCACACGCACATACAACCGCTCAAACCGTCTCGTAGTCCCCAGCCATGCCAACGTCCCCGGCGTATACGCCACCCGCACAAACGGGTTCATATACACCCCGTGTCCTCAATCTCGTCTACATCCCCCGGCGCATCCTGCACATCCGCATGCACAAGACAACACTCCGACGCATCCCAGAATACCTCGTCATCAGCGCGGAACCGCACCGGATTTTCCTTCTGGAAATACCACGCATCGAACGCGACCATTCCGCCCCAGCAGCTGCGCACACGCACTGCGTCCCGGCCCGCTAGTACGTCTTCCCGACTCCGTCCGTGCCCTGCTGTTGTGAACCAGGGGAAGAACGGGAGGCCAATGCCGTAGCCTGCCAGGTCGCGGGTGGCATAGCTATCGTAGAACTTGAAGGGGTTGCTGAAGTCCACGGCGCAGGCGGCGCGGTAGGCGGGGGTCGTCCGCGGGGGATGAGCGTTTGTGCAGAAGAGGAGCTGGAGGGCTTCAACTGGGTTGAAGTAGACGTCGTTGAGGTAGAGGAGTATGTCGTACTTGATGTGGTTCTGCTCGTCGAGGGGGCGAAGAGCGCGGTTCCGTAGTGTAGCTAGGTAGTCGATCCGCTTGATGCGTTTCTCTCCGTTGGGGAGCGTGACGCGGGGGAAGGCGTCGAACGTGGAGTGCTCGTCGACGTCGACCACGATGGACTTGTTGCTTGGGATCCGCTGCGAGAGGGCCTCGAGGGCTTGCTGGCCCTTTTTCCCGCTGTTGTTTTCATACAGGCTGAGGAAGACGTTGTCTTGCCCGAGGAGGTCGATCAGCTGTACGAGTGCGTCGCCCCATTGGCCGCTGGCGAGCTCGCCGGTGCGGTCGTATAAGATTGCGGCAATGAATACCTTTTCATTGTGAGGGTTGCCTCGTCCGGGGGTGCCGGGGGTTGAGGCTATTCTCCTGAGGTTCTCATAGCACGGTGGAAGGTGCGTGTACGAAGGCCAGAAGATGGGTGTCAATATGATATTGCACAAAAGGACCGCAAGGGCTACCCGGACAAGCAGGGTCATACGGCGGCACGCGGTCCGCGGCCTCCGCGCAAAGGAGATTGCTCTGCCATGGCGAGATGCCCTGGGGAGGACGGAATACCCTGACGAGGGGAGGGGAGCAGCCTGGAGACCAGGAGCAGAAACTTGACGCGCAACCATGACATGGCGGTTGAACACGGAATATGCGCAATATCTTCACAGAAAAAAGATAAATATTGTCACATTTTTCAGGATATCATCTTAGCCTGCTTAGCTACTGCAGGGAAACCAAGACAGTCTGTTATGTGCCCCAACGCCATAAAGTCAAAATCCGCCGACACACCGACAGGTGGAGAATTCTCCTGCAGGACCACGGATTAACTTCACTAGAACTGTGCAAACAACAGGGTCCTGTAGGCAGACGGATTTTACGCAGCTGGATTGGCGCATCCAGAGACATTCGGAAACGCTAACTCAGAACTCATCAAGCTTTGCTAGAGCTAATATAGGTGCCAAACGCAAATCCAACTGTCCAGAGCAGCGTGTAATCGTATAACGTGTATTTCGTTGGTATTGTATGCAAACCGAAAAGGCTGAAGGGCAACAGTCTCGAACAAGCACTCATCCTGGCCTTGCAATGAATTTGTCTTTTTCAGGTCTGAATACAACTACAAAGTAAAAATCTAAGAGAAATCAATCTCATCTATTGCAACATGAAGCTCGTCTGGATAGCCCAGCGTCTCTGCCGCCACGGCCAACGACGCAAGTTAGCCCGGATAGCTTCATATCTCTTCTTCATAGTAGCCCTCACTGCCTTATGTCTCTATATCCTACTCGCATATTATCTGGCAAATGACCCGCGGCTGGTGCCCGTGGCGTTTCAGCACGCAAAGAGTATCCTTCTCGTAACCGCCCACCCGGACGACGAGACGCTCTTCTTCAGTCCGAGCATCACGTACCATCGCGATGATCGGCACGTGCAGCGGGCTTTGCTGGTGATATCCTCTGGTAGGTTGGACGTTCATTCGTATCCTCTGATGCTTACTCCTCTAGGAAATTACGAGGGAATAGGCGAGCGTCGCCGACAGGAAATCCACGACAGCTGCTCTCTGCTGGGCATCGTCCCGGATCGCTGCGTCGTACTGGACAATGCTGAGCTGCAGGATAATCCGAGGAAATGGTGGGATGAAGATCTGATTAAGGACCTTGTTACGTCGCATGTCCAGCAATGGAATGTTGATTTGGTATGTATGCCTTTGCCTTGCATTAACCTCTGGTACTCGCACTCACCTCCTAGATCATCACCTTCGACGATGGAGGCGTCTCGGGGCATATCAACCACAGAGCCGTCAGCGCAGGTGTCCGGTTAGTTTTCTGTCTTCGTCTATGCCTAATACAACTAATCAAGTAGAAAATACATCACAAGCACACCCACGCCCCGCCCGCATACACACTACAAAGCACCTTCGTCCTCCGCAAATACTCGTCGCTTATCGACCTCATCCCCACCGCTATCCCGTTCACGTGGCGCATCCTCAAAGCCATCCTTACCTCTCCCGCGACAAGTACGGCAGACGGCGTCCATGATCTTTCTCCGTTGGAAGCATACAACGACAAGGCCCTGTTGGTGAGTCCGTGGCGGACGTACCTCGTCTCGCGAGCGGCATTCAGCCAGCACGTGAGCCAGTACTCGTGGGATCGGTCGTTTTATTTGGTGCTCAGTCGGTATATGTGGTTTAACAACTTGAATAAACTAGTAGTTTGATGGTCGTCTAGAGGATTTATATCAACATGGTAGATGGCAGAAACCGCGCATTTTCCCCTATTCATAACTAAATACAAGACAGAATATGATAAAGACACTAGCTAAGCACTTTTCCTCAACGACTTCGAGACAGTCGTGCTCTGCTCCTCGTCCGAAGAGCGTCCGCGTCCATGAACACGATGCACACAGCACAGTATCATCGTCGTGCCAGCAAAGAGACTAAAAACCAACACCGCAAACAACGCCCGCTGATCCAGGTCCTTGAACAGTGATATCAGCCGCGCGTCGCGGTTATGCCAGGAGGACGAGCCCAGGTGGCGGAAGAGCGGGGTGTTGACCTGCCCGTTGAGCATGTGCATGCGCGGTGCGTCGGGCGGACCGGATAGGATGCGGAGAGAGGATCGGTTGGACTGGAGGGTGTAGATAGTTCTGTATGCATTAGACTGGCATTACAGTAAGTCTGAGGTAAAACGTACGAAGCGTAGTGGCAGCCCGTGCTGAACATAACCGTCACATAGGGGAGATATAGCCACCGCTGGTTGTACAGCGGGAGATTGTCGACCAGCGCCTTGACGTAAGAATTCCCGGGCGAGGAGAGCATCATGCCGATGGAGAGACCAGCGGGGTGGGCTGCTGGAGCGACAAAGTCGAATTGCCGCAGAGGCTCGAGAGATCGTTTACACGCCAGATCGTAGTCGAGGATCACGCCTGTCGAGTCAGCTTCGTCACCCTCCGCGGGTAGCAGACTTACCACCGTGTTTCTGTAGAATCATATAACGCAGTGCGTCAACCCGCTGGATCATATACGGATAGCTCTTCCACATCGAGTATAGATGAGTAAACTCCTCGCGTACCAGCGTCTCCGCTCTCTCCTCGGTCCAGATGAAGGCACTCCAGGACGCATGATGCTTGAGGCAGAGCTCGCGGGCCTCGAGCCACTCCGCTCGTGGCAGTCTGGAGCCCAGGTGAATGTGATGCAGTATGGGAGGTATCAGCGAGCCATTTCCCGCATCGGCAGTCGAGTAATTGGCCTCGTAAGCAGCAAATGTGACGTCGAATTGGTCATGTTCTTGCGTGATGACCGCAGCGGCGGAGGAGGCTCTCCAAACAAACGGGAGCCGAAGGAGGTAGTATAATCGCTGAAGCGAGGAGGAAAACAGGCCGGCGAGCGAAAGCACCAGAAGGAGGGTAAGAAGCAGTCGGGGACGATTGCGCGCCATGTTCTCTAGCCGCGGGCAATTTTCATGGCAATGAAGGTGATGGTCGCGATATCTACATGTATGCCCACGTTGAAAATACAGACGCTACAAACTACAGACTCTACTGCTGCCTGGAGAGGCTGGAGTTTACACCTCTGCGGGTCAGTCCAACCAGCTGCCAGGCTTGGTTGGGATGATTTCCAGTTTCGAGCTCGGGGGCCTTAACTGGCAACGCGCGGAGGCAGACGGGACGTTGTGGCGCTGTGCCCTGTATGGAGTCCCTGGCTTTGTATTTCCGTCATTGTTATAGTTCGTGACCTATATGCGTGTATACTATTCCATTATTCTTCTTTCCCTGTCTGGTACATCAATCTAACCAACTGGTCAAGGGGACAGGAAGGTATTATGACACTACTGTATTCCACAGGTAATAGAGGTTAGGGGCCCCTTGACTGCGGCGTAGATCACTATATCACGCGTACCACTGTGGGAGACTGTTTTCCTAAGCGACTTAACTTTCAACCAGTGCTGGTCATTGGCGTGTTCGGGTCCGCGGTCCCCGATGGATTATACGCTTAGCTGCTCATACAGGTTACCTACTGAAGGTTTAATCTGGGCGTGTTTAAGTTTGCTCCGTTGGACCCTCTTCCTCCGAAGGTCCAACGCCTTGAATCAGGCAACACCATGTACATCGATCCCGACTGGAGGACTCGTTGGTGGACGCACGATCTTGTGGTCAAATGCTAGCATTCGACGCATCATATTTCGGGTTGCCCATGCTCTCGTAGCCGCTCTAGCAAAAGAACATCAGGCTTGACGAGGGGTTGACCAGTCTATAATAGTGGTTGTATAGTCAACCATGGCAGGGAGGTAGCTGCCGGGGTTATGCCTCGCTACGGCTCTGCCCCGTCACAGTCTGACCCGATCTATAAAAAGACCTTGAACGGGCCAATGTACATATACATAGGTGTTGTGAATAGAGATAGGAATATTCCATGGTCCGCAAAGTTAGCAACAGGAAGGGGTAAGAGGTCAACAGCGTTGTTTAGGGCATATATCATATGTAACATTACTGTTGTGTATGTTACAGTACAGCGGTATACGGAACTGTTTTTTTAGTTTGGCCGGGGGGAGGGGTGGGGAGGCCTGAGCATTCAGTCATTCCATTCTACTTACTTGATATTCGTCCTGTAATCCCTGGCAATCCTGATTACTTGATCATGATCAAAGAGCCCCGCCTGGATTCTCTCGAGTCTTCAGCTTTTCCTTATCAATCTCACACTCACTGACTCACACACCAGGGGCTAGGCTACTACGTTTTAGACCCTTTCCAACAGTGGGCCTAAATGCAACAAGCTCTGTAGATCCACCGATAATTGAGCTTGGCGTATGGATCCTCCAATCATACAAGAACTGTCTCGCGTGCCAGGGTCTTTTAAGGAACATTTGGTGCATTGATTGGCTCCATGCCTGACATACTTTGGGCTAAAGTCAACCTAACACAAGACGCGGGAGAAGATAGGCCTGATTATCCGAGGGCATCCTGTCTATAGTTGGATACTGAGAATCCGGCTGCCTAGAATGATCTGTTGGCACTTATTTTGACTTTATTTTGCCTGCGCGTTGCCGACTTGGTTACGGTGCATATAGCCCTAACTGTGACTGTACCCCTCCATCGGATGCGCTAACTATGTTTGGATCATACACTAGTCCACTGTTTCACTATTGTTGACCTGAGAAGTCCTTTCCTAGTAACGCTCGATGCGATATTTTTCCGTAGAGTGGACTTGTAGAATCCATTCCAGACAAAAAGAGCGCAGCGGGAGACCAGCAATAACAGACCGACACTGTCCGTGTTCCGATGAGGCTGGCTTTTAGTCATCTATCCTGGCCCTTTTCCGCTTAGTTGAGGTTAACGCCTGGAAGAACAGGTGTGTAGCGGTAGCTGTATATCCTCAGTCATCGTTGCTTGTTGAGATGTTGGCATGGTAGTTGTTATTGATATGTAAGAGACAAACAATGTACATACTTCTGGTAGTGACAACTTCCAGGTTCAGCTTCATAGGACATAACAAAGTCCAAGGATCAACAATTGTCGCTCTTCTTCTGGTAGGCTCGCCATTCGCCATCACATCACACACTGTGCTAATTGACCAGCTCGTCCTACAAAATGCAGCATCAATCATTGTATGTGCCGGCGTCCTCCTTTCAAACCCATCGCTAAAGATGACAATAGCTACAACACAATATCCAGGCCCACAGCACCGAGAACAAGAACTTCGATCCACTGACAGGCATCCTCCTTTCCGAACTCCTCAAACTGGCCATCTCCCTCCTCTGCATCACCCAAACAGCAAAACAGCCCAAATCCCTCCTCACCACCCTCAAAGCAAACCACGAAGAAGCCATCCTCCCAGCCCTCCTCTACACCGCGGCCTCCTTCGCACAAAGCATCGGCGCCTCCTCCCTCGACCTCCTCCCGTACCTCGCCCTCTCCCAAACCAAACTCATCCTCACCCCCTCCTCGCAACCCTCCTTCTCAACCAAAGATTCACCGCGCAGCACTGGACCTCCACCCTCACAATGACAGCGGGAATCATCCTCGCCCAGACAGGCGCTAACGCCTCGGCTGAGAACCAGCACCGAACCACAGCCAAAACCCACCCGCATCCCCTCCCAGGCAGCCTCGCCATGCTTCTATCTGGTTCATACGTCGCACTCGGATCCCTCTACATCGAACGATCTCTCAAGCGCGCCGCAAACAACACCACAAATACAACCGCGAACGCCTTCTTCATCCGGAACGCCCAACTCGCCGCGCATAGTCTCCTGTTCGCACTGCTTTCATTTCTATGGAGGGAAAAGTGCAGAATAGATGGATCCAGTGTCTTGCAGGGTTTTAGCACCCTGGTCTGGGTGTTTGTGGTTTTACAAGCGTCCGGTGGGTTTCTGGTGGCGTGGTGTGTGAGGGTTACGAGTTCTGTGACGAAGAATTATGCGCAGGGGATGGGGTTTGCGATTGCGGTTGCGGGGCCGTTGGTTGTAGAGTCTAAGGATGTTGATCCGAAGGTGAGTAGAAGTAGTTGTTTGAGGGGGCATGGCTGATGTCGGTAGCTTCTTGTCGGGGTTGTGCTGGTGTTGGGTGCGGTTGTTGGGTCCGCGTTGGCGGGGCAGAGTATGAGGGTAACTAGTCCGATGGAGAAGAGGGAGGTGAAAGGCGTGGTGTAGTCGAGTGATGACAGGATATGTACGATAAGGTTATCTATCCACTGTCGCTATACTGATATATACAATATGGTCAAATGATGGACGGAGACATCACATCATAATTCATTATTTCACTGTCAACTGGGTATGAGATCTCATATATACAACGAATATACCACCAATTCAAAATCATATCTGCAAAGTACCAGTGAGCTGGATGTCCCGCACACTCTTACCCACATAAATGGGATAGCTTCCCGACTGCAACCCCCAGGTCTGCTTCTCAACATCCCAGGTGCTCAGATCGCGGCGGGTCAGGTCGAAGGTGAAGTGCTTCTTCTTGTGCGGCTTGATAGACTGCTTGTTGAAGCCTCGGAGCTGCTTGGCCGGGGCGCCAGGAATACCAACATACAGCTGGGCGACCTCGGCGGCCTCCACCGAGCCAGTGTTGGCCACTGTGCAGTTGACTGTCGCCACGACATCCCAGAGAGAGGGGAGGCCGCCCTCGGCGATGGCGGAGCCGGGAGGCAGGTAGTCAATACTCGCGCCGGGGACGACCTCGACTTCCAGCGCGGAGTAGGAGAAGTTGGTGTATGTGAGTCCGAAACCGAACTCGAACCGAGGCGCGATGTTCTGCGCCTCGAAGGCACGGTAGTCGATGTACACGCCCTCGGTGAAGTTGTCCTGCGGGTACCAGAGATCCCGATCGCCCTCGGGTACCACGGGGTGGAGCACGTTGCCGTAGTCGGAGGCCTCCTTGGCCACGGTGTAGGGAAGACGGCCGGAGGGGGACTGCTTGCCGTACATGATCTCGACCAGGGCGCCGCCGGTATCCTGGCCGGGGAGGTGAGCGTAGATGACCGCGGTGATGTTGTCGTTTTCGATCCAGCGGTCGACGAGGCGGACGCCTGCGTTGTGGATGACGACCATGGTGTTGCTGCATTGCGAGGCGACACTCTCGACAAGCTCGTCGGAGTATGGGTCTGCCAGGTAGGAACGATCCCAGCCTTCAGAGGCCAGCTCATTGACGAAGACGATGCAGGCCTCGCTGGCGGGGTTCACGATGGGCTTCTGCGAGGCAAAGTCCCATGCAAGGAAGGTGCCGTCTTCACGAGCCTGGCGCTGGAAGGCGTCAAACGGAGCGTCGATGTAGGAGGGCGTGGTGGCTCCAGAACCGCCGCCGGTGATCAGGGTGCCATTCAGGGCGACGCCGGGTCCCTCGGCTGTGGGGTCGTAGCTCGAAAGGAACATGTCCATTTGAGTCTTAGTATCGATGGCGCTGCCGTTGGGATAGTTCAGGGTGTTGGACAGTCCAAAGACCCAGCGGCCAAAGGTGACGTTGTCCATGGTGTTTCCGGTAGCGGCAATACCATCGTAGCCAAAGAGAGAGAGGAACTTGGGCTTGTGGAGTGGCAGAGCATTATTGGTGTTCTTCACCAGGACGTGTCCCTCCACGGCACTCTGGAAGATGGTGGACCGCGACTTGGGGTCGCGAGCGTCGGTTAACTCATGAGGTTTCCGGAGATCGACAGGCATTCCGTGTCCTGGCTGCTCAAATTCTGCATACTTATACCAAGAAGCGAGAATCCGCGTCGCCATATCGTCCAGACGGGTCTGGGCCAACGAGCCATTTCTGACGGCCAAAGCCAGGGTACCATTCTCCCAGTAGACGGAGTCAGGCATTACCATGTCCAGACCCGCGTCGGCAGCGGCGACCCCCGAGTGTTGGGCACCCCAGTCAGTGACGACGAAACCCTGGAAGCCCAACTCCCCCTTGAGCAGGCCATTGAGTGCCTTACTGTTCTGGCACCCGTAGCTGTTGTTGATCCGGTTGTAGCTGCACATGACGGATCCCGCGCCGGCCTTGATGGCGTCCTGGAAGGGCCACAGGTAGAGCTCATGCATGGTCTTGTCGTCCAGGTTCGACGAGACGGATTGGTTGTGGTAGCCCTCCAAAAGCATCGGAGGGTTACGGTTGGTCTCTTGCTCATTGCCGATAAAGTGCTTGACACAGGCAATGACTGACTCCTGTAGACCACGGATAGTCTCTCCGGTCAGGGAACCGGCCAAGTACGGGTCGTTGGAGAAGCCTTCCCAGTTACGGCCGCCACGCGCTGTCCGGCCAAGAGGTCCGACCACCGGGCCCAGAGCGACGTTGACACCCTTGCGCTTGAATTCCGCACCCATGTAGTGCGCACGTTCGTAGGCAAGATCGCGGTTCCATGCAGCTCCTACATGGACACCGGAGGCGTATCCGTTCACCATGTCAGTACCGCGGACACCATTTCCGGCATCCTGCAGGCACAGTCCAGGAAATCCAACACCAGGAGCACCTCCCGAGTTACCGGAACAGCCATTGGTGGTTGACGTGTACCCGTAAGTGAGGTTGTTCTTCTGCTCGTCAGTCATTTGAGCTACGAGAGCCTTGGCCTTGGCATATGCCTCTTTCCAGTCACCCAAGCCCTTGGTTTCAGCTGTTGAGCAACGTACTGTTAGTCATATAGGCCATCACGAGACTCAGTCACACTTACGGCTGGGGTAGACAGGCTCGGAACGGCCATACGACCAGAATTTTTCGAGATTGGCGGCGATGGCAGCATCGTCCTGCGCGGTAGCAATGCCTGCCAGCTGCAAGGCAGCAGCAAGAAGGGGAACCGTGATTTTCATCTTCAGGACCGAGGAGACAAGGGCAGAAGAGTCGATAGGTGTGATCTTCAGCTCAAGAATCCAGAGGATACACGACCTTGATATAGCTGCGACTCAAACTCGGGGTTCGGATATGTCGGCTATCGTAGCATGGTAACTTCGGATCGTAGTATTTCTCCATACTGCCCATCTCAATCTTCCTCTACCAGGCAAAGACCGGGATTGAACCAGCGCCCCCATACGGAGTACCCCTATGTTGCCGAGCTACTATCCACTTTCCGTGGCATTCGGGTCGTCTTCCTCCATTCTGAAGTCTAGAGGCTAATTCGACCAATGACGAAGCAATGAAGATAGTTTGGTTAGCCTCATTGTCCTTCATCTCCGTACTCCTTCATCAATAGCCCAAGCCACATGGCACAGTTGACTATGCGGGGTCTCCACATCCCCATCAAAAGCGGGGCTCCACGTTCTTGGCGGGCCTGCTGTATGGTTGTCTTGGGTCTATTGGCTGCTGCAGAACCCATAAACTGACCACGCTTCGGCTGAACTCCGGCTTTTCACTCAGTAACTATGCATGATCCATCCTTCGTATGGTAGTTGCCAAGAGCGACAGTCTCTTTTTAGTCCGAGTTCTTCAAGCGCTTAAGCCTTCAACCATGGATCACTGTGTCGTAGGCTCATTGTGTCCGGTGACTTGATTTCCCGGTAGTCATTTCTTGTCGTTCCTTTCTGCTGCTGGACTTGGCCGTTGGTACGGGTATTCGGCTCCTTCCCGTGTCGCATGAGTCGGTCGTCCTTGACAGAATGACAAAGCTCTTCTAAATATCGGTACTCACTTGGCGCGAGCCTACGCTAGTGCTTCTTGCAGCTTGAACATGTTGTGGTCGTGTGGGGAAGGCTACCCACCAACAACTTTTGCACCGACCGAGTATGTGGGGGTCGGCGCGGCATGCAGATTGCAGGGGAGTCCTTTTCCTCCGCCTGTAGCCGATCCTAATCTGCTTCCCCCCGGGTTCCTCATTGTGCATTGATCTCGGTATCATCCGTCTGGTGAAATATCTCCGCCAAATCAGCAGCATTTCAGCTGGACAACCTTCGTGGCCCCGTCAGATAAGTCGGCTTTCAAACTAAACTCACCGAACAAGGACATATGGAAACATGCGACTCGGCCCAACTTACATAAAAGCTCGATAATCGTCGAGTATACGCTTAATGATGTCCATCCCGCTCGCCTTCCCCGCACATCGACAACCGTGCTAACCACGTCTTCCTCTAGCCGTCATTGTCTAGCGTTGCCAGACCGAGTAGTGGTCAACTCGGAGGTCTCAAGACATGCATTATTCATGCGACGTTCCCCACAACCCCAGCTAAACTAGGGTTTCCCCGGAGAATAACCGACGGCACCACATCGTACACAGTAGACACCGTGCAAAAGAATCTTCCGGGGAGTACACGCTAACATACCCGGGTACCTATATCGGTAATTGGGCGCTTTGCAGTTGAAAGTTTAAGATTCTGACCTTGCTTCTCGTATTCTGCGCCGACGATTCTGGGCGCCGCGCGGGATGCAAGCGGGAGAACTCCGAAGTCAGCAGACGACGGAGGAAAGTGGACATGGGAATAGTTGCCAACGCCCTAGTCCCGGCCACAATGTTCGGATCAAAGAATGCTCGGCCGGTTTCCCCTCGTTCGTGTCTTTTTTGACAAACCCATTACCAATCGACGGCTATACCGAAGAAATGTGTGGGATGATGTATGGGCCGACGGGTGCACAGACGCAAACCGTGTCAGCCATGCCAGAGCCAATGTCTCCATGATTCACACCGTCAGCTACATTGGTGCCGGTGGAGGACGCTTTCCTCAAGTCTTTCAAAATTGGCGAATTCGACTCGAGACATGGTCGGAGCCTTCTCATCCGGCCGGCGCTGGATTCGGTGAGATCGAGCCAATTCCCGGTTTCACGGTATGTATGCGCCTCCTGTGATCTTGGCATTCAATGACGGTCTCCTTCTTCGTCCGACCCTCGGCATCAATCCAGCTTTCAGAGGATTGCATGTATGGTTCACCATACTTGCCGTTACGACGGCAATGCTGGACCGGGAATTCCGCGTAATGCATTGCCGCGCACCATGATGAATCTTAAGACTCGAATTTATTGTCTCACACCTTGGCCACTCTCGCACGGCCTTGTCCTAGATGTTCACCATGCTGAACATCGGTATCTGAGCTACTCTCGTTACTTGTTTTTGGCTTCGATCCTTTGTAGGCAGCGCGTATATGCGCGGATAGTCAGTCTGCATAGGAGGGAAGGTTGAGAATAGTTTAAGAATAGAACAGTCGCGTCCTTCAGTAAACAAATCCTACAGGGTTTAGTCAATAGCTTCGCCAATATCAAATAAGATCAACTGGTAGATCCTGACTCGGCTTTCGAACCACTTGTTGGAAGTTCCCGGCAGTGATCTGCAAAGCGTACACATATATATCTGTCAAACCAGCCAAAGCATACCATCTCACTCAACAGACATTATACCAGCGCTGTCGGTATTCGACAGTCATTGCCCGTTCATTGACTTAACGAAATCCAAATCGAATGATAATGTATTATTGCTCAGTCATTCACCAAAGTAGGTTACGTTCGGTAACCTTAGTTGTCTTCCTAGAAATTCCCCGGTAGCCCAATTGAAGAGAACAGCGTTGTCATACACCAACGAGAGAATATCTCCCGGAATAGATTGCATCCGGCCGATAGAAGTCTTCGAGAGTTTTGTCTGTTTCTTTTTGAGGCTGATGTAAGAGGGGTTGTCCTCTTGCATAAAGCCTCGATGGTATGGCGTATCAGCCACAATATACCCAGGAACCAGCCTACGAGTGCAACGCCTTGTTCCAGACGACAGCATTCAAAGCGAGACTTCACCGAGACGGTCGAAAGCATTTTGGCACTGAAAAATCGGGAACTTTTCCGTCATGGTTGGTCTTCCAGTATTGAGAATGGACAGACGAGGCTCAAGCAATCACATCGGCCTTGCACTGGCCTAAAGAAAAACAGTCAGCAGACCCCTCACAGTCTTGATCCTAGCTACCAGGGGGCCCTGCAGTGAATCCAAAGCGATGTGGCACATCACACTTTATAACAGTTAAGCTCTGGTCAACCATGGATCGCCTCCACCGCAGCACTCCGACTATGTTCAATTGACATCATCTCCTACAGAACAACAAACACACTCCCCCATCTGCTCAAAGCACAGGATACAACAACCAGCCATGTCCATCTTCAGCCCCCCAAAGCATCAGAAGCTCATCCCCTTCAACCTCCCCGCCGTCACCGGCCGCGAAATAGAGTATATCAACACTGCCATCAAAAACGGCACTCTCACCAACGGCAGATACACCCGTCAGTGCCAGTCATGGCTAGAACAACGCCTCTCCTGCAAGAAAGTCCTCCTGACACCCTCATGCACCGCAGCCCTCGACCTAGCCGCACTAACCCTCGACCTCAAACCCGGCGACGAAGTTATACTGCCGAGCTACACCCACCCATCCACCGCGAACGCGTTCCTCCTCCGCGGTGCCTCGCTGGTCTTCGTAGATATCGTCCCGGAGACGATGACTATCAACACCACACAGGTCCGCGAGGCAATAACCGATCGCACGCGCGCGGTAGTCCCAGTCTGCTACGCCGGTTTCGCGAGCGACATGGGCGAGATACTGGAAATCGCGCGCGAGCGCGGGATCTACGTCGTCGAGGACGCGGCACTGGGGCTCTTCTCCATGTACAGAGACCGTGCCGTCGGGACGATGGGACAGCTGGGGTGTATTAGTTTCCAGGAGGGGGAAAATATCACGGCTAGGGGTCAGGGCGGTGCTCTCCTTATTAACTACCCGGGGCTTATGGAGCGTGCGGAGATTATCTGGAATAAAGGCATGAACCACGACGTGGCGTTTCGGAGTACGGATGAGAGCGTGGATACGTGGCAGTTGGTCGGGGGGAGCTATGCGATTAGTGAGCTCCAGGCTGCATATCTATGGGGTCAGCTGGAGGGTGCAGAGGAAATTCAGATCCAGCGCCATCGGATTTGGAATCTCTATTGGAAGGAGTTGGAGCGGTTGGAGACGCAGGGGATCATACAGTTGCCAGCTTTGCCGCCGGGTCGGGAGCATAACGCTCGGATGTTCTGGATTAAGCTCCGGGATATGGCGGAACGGAGGGAGTTCATGGAATCGATGAAGGGGGTTGGGATTAGTGTGTTGCCTCACTATAGTTCTCTTCATAAGATAGGGCCTGGTATGAATCACCGGCATGTTATGGATGAAGATGTGGTGGCTAGGGAGAGTGAGCGCCTTGTACGCCTACCGATATACTATGCCATGACTTTGGACGATGCTCGATTTGTGATAGATCAAATTAGGCAGTTTTACTCTGCTGGCAAGATAGTCTCGACAGGTATATAAACGCCGATCATCAAGCCATCCTTGACATTCAGGGTTTCCATTTTCTTTCACAGTTCTGAGTGAAGAAATAGATATTCATAAATCGTTATGACCGGGCACTCGGTCATTCCCGAGGTTAGAATTATGGGAAAGAGGACGATAAACAAATGAGGCAGCTATCACGCCTAAGAGCAAAAGAACATTCAATCACTCCTCAATAATTCCAGGATAATCCAGCACAAGCGAGAAAGCCAAGAATCGAGTAACAAACCAGAGGAAGCCTTTTAAGGATCTCAAGCAACCAGGTCACCACAGCTTCGGTTTCTTTTTGATTTTTCCGAATCTGTATTACCTGCCAATGCCTCCTAGCCGGACTCTTCCTCGTCTACAATCTCATTGAGTACATCCATACCCCAGATATACGCCCGGAGCAATCGGCGAGCATACGTATTGTCTTTCTCGGCGAAGAAAGTTTCGAGCTTGTCCAGTTCCTCGTCATAGTCGTTGTCACCCGGTACCCCATGAGTCTGAACGCAACATGAACACGCCAAAGTACAGTGGCCCCTGTTAAACACCCGCGTGGTTGCACGCGGTTTCTCACAGCAGCCTCCGCGGCTGGCACATTCCCGCCGGAGCCAGTCGCATAAGTACCAATTCTGGATTTGATCTCCAGACCAAAAATGCTCGACGCAGGTGTCCCGATTGCATGTGTTCCTGTAGCTGCCACCCCTCGCGGCACAATCCGTGGTAATCATTGTTTGCATTCTCAAAGAAATCCTCTATCTCGCTTATGACCGATTCAAGCTCTGCAGGCTCCTCGGGCGAGACTCACAGCAGGAGCTCTTTCCTTCTAGAACGCAGGACTCCCTCCAAAAGGATTGACGCCTGACCGAAAAATCGGCTGATAATGTCATGTACAATCATTTCAGCGCACCGGCCCTTAACATTGCCACTGTGGTCCTTGTGGTGATATAGAAATACCATAGAAGACGAGTGAGTTCAGACTGTCCAGCAGGCTGACACTGACATCCTATCTTCTCGGCGTCATCGGGGTGCTGGAAGAGATGATATGGCAGACCCTTTCGAGTCGCTACCTTGTACAGGATTCTGGCTTTCCCGGCAAATTCGAGATTGGATAGTAGGAAAGGGAGGTGGTCCTGGGGGCACTTGGCTTTCTGCAGATTGTTTTCCCATTTCTCTACCGCGATGGTGAGGGGGTCGGTCGCTGACTCTCGCTTGCGCCATATGCAAATGCTAGTGAGCACCATTGTATCAGTTTAATCTTGGTCATTCGGGTAGATGCTTGATTCGCAGTTGAATCGCAGGACTGGTTTGTAGTTGGTTACGTAGAATCCCGTCATAGACCTGACGATCATGATTCATACCATGGATCTTTGAAATCTCACTCTATACAAATTAGCTCCCCTCTATTCATCCGATACTAGAGGTAGTCGTGCAGAATATCCAATAAGAGATGCAACAAGTGTCACCTTAGAAGCCATCATGATGGTCCTTTGACAGCCCGTCTGTACAGCAGGATCAGCTTTGCAACTGTCGCGACTTTGACGATTGATCATGTCTGCTCCACAGCTGCAATCGGATGATGATGAAACTTCCCAGATGTACAGGATCGGAAAATCACGTGCCCTTAAGAGTCAGCCTTCTTGGCAGCATCCGGCGATGCCGAAAGAAGTACATCACATGCACTGTCAAAGAACAACTACGCGTGGTGCTCTGAGACAGATACATGGGCCAAGAAAACAATCTCTTGTCTTCCATTAGTTCAGTTCCCCCTATCTAGATCTTTATTAGATCTTGTCAGGAACAGGAAGGAGACGAAATCTAATGCTGATGCCTACCGTGGGATCAGAGTCTGGCCGGTGGTCTCCGGCTGTTCCTGCAGTTTGCCACTGCCTCAGCCCCTCTGCTTACGTGGCCCCATTTTACTGTTTCTGGCATCTCTGTCATGTGATTGGCTGCATAGCTCTGTCAATCATCGATTGTGTCTTTCATTAGTGGAAGCTTGGCCTGATTGGGACCATTCACATTCTTCCATCACATTCCAGACCAAGTGAAACAGTTCCCCTCCTCGGACAATCGGACCAGACAACGTCATGGCCAGTACCGGGAATCGAGGCACATGTCATGCGCTTGTACTGGAAAATGAGCAAATCATTTCACCATCGGTGGTGCAAGAGCGTCACTGGCCATTCCGCTTCTAAAAATGGATTCGGTACCTGGTACCTGAGGCAGTCAGGCACAAGTGCCAGGATGGGCCCTGGCATTTATACGTGCGACGCCCGCCGGGTTTCTGAGGCCCTCAGCACCGACATACTTTAGCAATTTAGACCTCAGTAGCGCCATCAATTTGACACCTCTAGTTTTCGTTTCATCTCCACATTTCATCAAACTATCAATAACACTATCTTTTATTATCTATACCTTAGTCGCTTGTCAAACAGTGTCCAGTCTATTACTCCATACTCAATATGGGATTCTCTCGTTCCTCACGCGCCTCCAGCGACCGCAACGGATCCATCAGCTCGCGCGAGAGCTACAAGAAGGCTACTCTGTCTAGCAAAGCTGATCCCAATCAGGCTCTGACTGAAGCTCAACCAAGTCCGTTACCTTGTATCTGCCTGTGTTATATATATACTAACGCTTCCGAAAAAGTCAATCAAGCGGTATCCGGAAGTCCAATGTTCTCGCTTCGATCGATGCAGCACCGCGACAAAGATGGAAACGTCATCAGTTCGTCTTTTCCTGGCTTCATTGCATGCGAATCATCAATGCTAACGAGATCCAGCTGATCCCGACCGGTCCAATCCCACACGGCCCGTCTCGAGCGACCGCTAGATACCATCCGATCGTTCGAGGCCGCCATTGAGGCTCGCCGCCGAGAAATGTGAATTATGTGATATATTGGGATTGGGATTGGAATGGGATATATGGCGGTGCCTCTGGTATATGGCGGTGCCTCTGGTGTTTAGGATTGGTATATTGCGACATGAATTATGCAGGACGGACACGTGCGATGAATTGTTTCTAGCGAGATTGTACATTACAAGTCTTGGAGTCTACAGCTTGTCCATATCATGAAATCAACAGTGACATTCGATTCAACCGCAAGACATCAATTATGTTCTTCAATCAGACACGCATGGTACAGCATGTAACAACTGTATCCGATGCAAGGCCACTATTCCCTAACCTACCAGGAACTAAAAGTAGTTATATGTCGATCAAGTCTGCATTGGACTAGAACAATAAATCGAAATGAGCTACCATCAAACGGTTGCACATCCACAAAGCTTGAACTCGCCGGCGTATGTCCGGCACAGTTTAACATTAATGAGCACTTCTAGTTTGCAGCGAGTGTGTCGTAGTGTGCTCCACCGTAAGACCGGCAGTGGATGATTCTCGTTCGGGGATAAAGTCCTCCGACGGAACAGGCCCACAAGTTTGATCTCTGAACACTCACCACAGACCACTCGATACATGGTCAACCGTTGGTCAAAATTCGCTCAAATGATAGTCAAGGCGATGGAGGACAATTAAGAGTGAGTAAATCCGGATTCATTATGATATCCCTACTCTTGAATCGTGCATCCGCTAATGGTGGTAGCCACAGCTCCATCAGTCAGTCCATCATGACCCGCCACCATCACAATAGTGGCATCATCTCGATCAACTCTAATCTCTAGCTCGGATTTACGAACCAATACTGGACGATGGACGGAGCCGGACTGCTGTGTCGTCGCTTTTCATTTTGCCGGCGCCTCGCTTGACGACCGGACCAGGAGTGGCTTACTGCAGTGTTGACGCGTTCATTGCCCAAAGCGGGGCCGTTGATGGCATCGCAGAAGCAGCAAAAAAGTCGGCCGACTCGATGGGGGTGAAGAGTACACCCCCTTTGTGAGGCCGGCTGCTAATAATAATACTTCTGCGGAGGGATAGCTCACGATGTGTGTCTCGATGGCAATCTCCTGGTCGTTGTTATAGCTTTCTTTTTCCCGGGCTGTCAACCTACTGGACATATTCTGTGCCTCGTCGTTCGTTTTCTCTCCTACTGTCTTTGTTGTCATTCATTACTCGGTAGTAGAGTCTTTGATATCTACGACTGTTCCATTTCATTTGAGAGGATAGGTTCGACACCATGAAGTTTTCCCACGCTCTCCTTGGGGCTGGCCTCTTGGGCAGTGCTCTGGCTGATATTGACCCTATCATCATCAAGGTCTTTCTCTCCCATTCTCTTGAGGAATAAGTCTAACCGTCTGAAGGGGTCCAAGTTCTTCTACTCCAGCAACAACACTCAATTGTAAGGACTTTCCATCTATTTTTTTCTGGATTCGTGCTAAGTCTTTCAGCTACATTCGTGGTATTGCCTACCAACGTATGTGATCATCATCTAGATGCCTCACATGAAGCTAACGTCAACAGAGGACTACTCGAGCAATGGTACCACTGATGGCAGCAACACTTATATCGACCCCTTGTCGGACGCCACTCTGTGCAAGCGTGACATTCCCGTCTTCCAGGAGCTAAACACCAACACCATCCGTGTTTACGCCATCGATCCCACCGCCAACCACACGGAGTGCATGCAGATGTTGGCCGATGCTGGCATCTATGTCATCTCCGATCTCTCTGACCCGTCGGAGGCGATTGACCGCAGTGATCCCTCCTGGGAGACCACGCTCTACAGCCGCTACACCAGCGTGATTGACGCCCTGGCACCGTACAACAACACCCTCGGCTTCTTTGCCGGCAATGAAGTTTCTAACACCGTCGGTACCACCGATGCGAGTGCCTTCGTCAAGGCAGCGGTACGGGACATGAAGGCGTACATTAAAGAGAAGGGATACCGCTCGATGGGAGTCGGCTACGCGACCAACGATGACTCCACCATCCGCGTCAACATGGCCAACTACTTCGACTGCGAGTCAAGTGACGAGTCTATCGACTTCTGGGGATACAACATCTACTCCTGGTGCGGTGACTCTTCCTACAGCGAGTCCGGGTACAGCGTTCGCACGGAAGAGTTCCGCAACTACTCCGTGCCTGTCTTCTTCGCCGAGTATGGTTGCAACGAGGTCACTCCCCGCACGTTCACCGAAATCGAGACCTTGTTCGGAGACAAGATGAACGATGTCTGGTCTGGTGGTATCGTGTACATGTATTTCCAGGAGGACAACAACTATGGTAAGTCTCTTGAATCCAGTCATCTGGCCGTAACTGATCCGTCCAGGTCTCGTCTCCGCCGTCGACAGCACCAGTGTCAGCACCATGGCCGACTTCAAGTACTACTCTAGCCAGATCAACAACAACGCCAACCCATCCGGCACCAATAAGGCCTCCTACACCCCACCAACACGGCCCTGCAAAGCTGTCCGACCGTCAACAGCAAGTGGCTCGCCAGCGCCAGTCCCCTCCCTCCAACCCCCAACGAGCAGCTCTGCACCTGCATGAGCAACGCCGCCTCCTGTGTCGTCAAGGACTCCGTCAGCAGCGACGACTACAGCGACCTTTTCAGTCTTATCTGCGGCTACACCGACTGCACCGGCATTGCTCGCAACGCTACCACAGGCAGCTACGGCGCCTACGGCATGTGCACCCCCAAGCAGCAGCTCAACTTCCTCCTCAACAAGTACTACTCCGAGCAGAGCTCTGCGTCCTCCGCGTGCAGTTTTGGTGGCTCGGCCACTGTCACCTCCGCTACCAAGGCGACTGGTGCCTGCAGCTCTCTCATGAAGGAGGCCGGCACCGCGGGTACTGGCACCGTCACTTCCAAGCCTACCGGCACCGCTGACTCGTCCGGCTCGTCTGCTTCTTCGACTAGCTCGTCTGGTGCGGCTGTTGCTCTTACGCGCGGCACTGCAGTGACTGTTGGCTTCTTGGAGATTGGTGTGTACGCCATCACTGCGCTTCTGACTGCAGCCGGCATGGTCATGCTATAATCGGTAACTGTCTGGAGGATATGGAGCAGGTTTGCTTGAAGTGCATTGCTCTCGTTCGAGGGTGTAATCTTCATATATAGACTTCACTTCTGTCGCTCTTTGTGATATTTTGCACATGTCCAATTCTTTTCATTGTATTCCAGCTGGAGTCTATATGCTGTTCATAATCCATTGAACTCCGCTAATAGTAGTAGCATACATAGTTCAACGGAAAAGCAACAGATGTACCAAGGGACAGCCAGGTCCTGTGACACGAAGGGCGTCTACCTTCTATTAAGTCACTCTTAAATGAGGGGGGTGACATCAATATATAATTTATTAAACCGTTGATCCTGTTTATTCTATATTTATATATTTCTTGCTGTTGCCATCTGTCAATAGCTGGACAATGCCAAAGACGCTCTGACGATAACGTCGACATGACCGCTATATATAGACCCTCCGGGGAGTCTATCAACCAATGATTCTCCGTGCAGCAAATGAGATTCCCCAATGACTGACGGAGAACTAGAGCCTCAAATAGCCTTACCATTGTGACCACAGCCGCAATGTGGACAGTCCAATCATATGTTTTTCTATACGAGAAGGATCGACATTTGGTCTTGGACCGGTCACGTGGTTGCCAAGTTGGGATACGAGACCCCCCCCCCTCTTTACTCGATTTCTTCTCCTGAGGGATCTCTGTGAGAGGGCTGATAAGGGACATACGTTCTTGAGGAAGTGAAATTAACAAAGGATCTAGATATGGACCCGTTATTGATCGCGGGCAGCTCGACTGCCCTGAAAGCATCCTGCCACGAGGTACTATATCCGGCTAACATCTTCATGACTACACACTAATCCGCGGCAGATCATCTCATTCACGTCAGGAATTCTGCGTGATGACGTTCCAGATGGGGACATGACAATCTCAAACGCAGGTCATGACCTAAGTCGTATCTGTCTCGTCCTGGATGAGATCATCCCCACATGGAGGGCGCATTCCTCCATCCTGATGACGCACCCGTCTGCCAGTTTCGGGATGTGGACTTGCATGCAGACTAACTTAGACAACATCCGAGTCACGCTCCAGCGGCTACGGCAAGAGCTGGAACCTATTGTCAAGGGCGGGCAGAAGAAGCGCTCGCTGTTCAAGGTTTACGCCAAGGCGTGGATATTGGGCTTGCATAGCAGCGCGATTATTGCGTATCGCGGCCGCCTGGAACCACACCGTAAGGCTTTGAGGGTTGGCGCCACTATGATGAACATGTATGTGTTTTCATGGCAACGGAGTTTGAATATGGTTGGTATGGGTGCTGATTTCATCTGAGGTGTGTGCGGCTGCAACAAAATGCACCGGCCCAAGAGAAGCAATCGTCGCTTGTTGTCTTGGACATTGAGATTAAGGACCTCGAGGCGGCTGTACAATCTATGAAGAAGCTGTCTTTTGTGTCTAGTGGGGAGACAGCTGAAAAACAGGATATGATTGTCGCCATGGAAAGCCTAGTCAGTTCCGCAAAGTCATTTTATACGTTTGTGTCCATGGCACCATCGGCACCTGCCATGAATCACGAAGATGGCCATGATTCCGCACCCCCTCCTTCGTACGCACAGGCCGTGGCGTCTGAAGACGTGGCTGACTCCGAAGACGACGGCCCCTGGCCATCTCCGTTCAACGTGGCAGCCCGCGAGGGGGATTTTGAAGAGATCAAAAGGCTGGTCGCGGCTGGTGAGGACATTCTTGCCACCGGTGAGATCGGCCAGTCGCCTGCATATTCGGCTGCTGTCTCGGGAAACACGGAAATCCTAGAGTACCTGATCGAGCACGGTGCAGATTACACCTCTGGCAACGAGGACGGGTTTACCCCGCTCAACGCAGCCGCTACATTTGGTCATCCCGACGCGGTGCTTGCGCTCTTGCATCACGGAGCGGATCCAAACGTCCCATCTGTGGACGGGCAAAGCCCAATCTACTCCGCTGCAAAGCTGGGTCAGCTAGGCTCGGTAAAGGTGCTTGTCGAAAATGGAGTGAACATATCAGACACGACACATCCAAAGCAGTGGACCCCGCTGAACGTGGCGGCTCAGAGTGGACATCTCCATGTTGTAGAGTACTTGCTCGATCAAGGGGCGGACTTGAGCATACCTACTACGAGTGGATGGACACCACTAGCATCAGCCGCCTCTGAAGGCCATGCAGAAATTGTCCAGACTCTCATCAAGCGCGGCGCCGATGTCAACGCTAGCATTGGTGAAGTCGGCGCCACGGCGTTGTATTATGCCGCAAAGGACGGCCACACTGATGTGGTCCGCATTCTCCTGGACCACGGCGCGGACACCTCCCGAGTATCGGCGAATAAATGGACCCCCTCAACGCGGCAGCATCGGAGGGCCATCTAGCGGTTGTTGAACTGCTCCTTGCTAAAGGCGCAGATGTCACAATTCCCGATTCAACGGGCTGGGCGCCGTTGAACAGCGCGGCGGGCGAAGGGCACTTTGAGATCGCAGTTGCGCTGCTCAAGCATGGCGCAGATCACTCCGTCGCGGACTCGCGGGGCCACACCCCACTCTATTCAGCGGCACTGCACGGCCATCACGCTATCGTTGACCTCCTCCTCGAAGCTGGCGCAGGTATCAACGTGACGAACGAGGACAAATGGACGCCCTTGCATGCGGCGTCGGCCAGGGGACATCTTCAAGCAGTTCAGTCTCTTCTCGCCTGCGGGGCGCATTCCGCAACCCGTAACTCGGGTGGTTGGAGCCCTCTCAATTCCGCAGCGTGCAATGGCCATCTGGAGGTAGTTAAATTGCTGCTAAGACACGGCGCCGCTGTCGATAGCCGCAATGATGACGGCTGGAGTCCGCTAACCGCCGCTGCTGGAAATGGGCACACGGCCGTGGTCGAAGCCCTGCTGGATAGAAAGACGGATATCGAGACACGTAATGATGGCGGATGGACTTCCCTAGGAATTGCAGCGCGAGAGGGCTATCCAGAGACGGTAAAGGCTCTTCTAGCACGCGGTGCACACAAGAATGCCACGAACATCCACGGCTGGACGGCGTTGCATGGCGCAGTGGAAAGTGACCAACTCGAAATAGTTAAGCTTCTCCTTGGACAGGGGCTTGACATCTCTGCCAAGTCGGCAACTGGATGGACGCCGCTGAATATTGCTGCGAGCAACGGCCGGGCGACAATAGCCCAGTTCCTGCTTGCCTCCGGGGCTGATCCAAACATGGCGCAGGATGACGGATGGACTCCGCTGCATGTTGCCACGAATGAAAACCATATTGAAGTTGTGCGAGCCTTGCTGAGGGCAGGAGCAGATCATCGAATAAAGAACCAGAATGGAAGAACCGCTCTTGATCTGGCCAGTTCAACGGGGCATAGGGATATAGAAGAACTCCTGTTGGGTGCTGGAGTCAAACGTCTTGGCTTCTGATGATGGGTATTGTTTCTGTATATCTCAATTTCCATAAGATATGATTGATTATTGGCACGTGAAGGACATATCTGTAGACATATCTGTAGACATAACTGAAGTGGACTGGTCGTAGATTGGATATGGGTTGATCCACCAGACTTGTAACATCCATGCGGGTGGGATTGCGGATATGGATATACCCATATCCATGCGGATTGGGTGTGGTTAACCTATTTTGATATTTAAACTACCTTACCCTTATAAACCTCCACATTGATCTCCTCCTCTAGAGTAGGAATAGGGAGCCTAGATACTACTAATAATACTAAGGAGGTAGAAATTATTCCTATTTAAGGACTAGAAAAGATAGGTTATCTTGGACTCGCCTGGACTCGACCGAATGCAACTTGAAATACTATCAATTTATAGATATTTGCGAAGCAATACTCATATTCAGGTCTAGCCTCAAGTAGTCTTAGATTTCCCATATAGCTTGCTTTCCTTAACAATCCAGACATACACGAGATACTTTGTAGTAACCCCACCTGCTCTTAGTTGACTTAGCCTTCATTCATAGGAATAGACGCCGTCACACTTGAACCAAGTGTTGCGTAGCTGATTACAGCCAGAACCTGTAGGTCCGAGAACTTGACTCCAGCCGTCACACCTTCCTCCGGTACCTCTATCCGACGGCATCCAGACTGAAACTCAAACTCTTAAAGGCCGATTGTGCAAGTCTCAGCTTGATGCTGACCAAGCCAACCTGGGTACTGACTACTCATATGCCGATCTCCGGCCGAGAGATGATAAAAAGTAACAATCCGTTTAATCTCTCGATGAAGGTGTCGGAAAGTCAATCAAACGGGGTTACTAATCTACGCATTGCGGGCGTACACTCGGATGGCTGCGCTAGGATAGTCTCATTGCTCTGTGCTGGCCTTATGCAAAGAAGGATAAGACAGCATTTATGAAACCTCAACGTCGCTCAGAATTCTGCGGTTATCCAGATACTGCACGTCTTTACAGCTATGATGAGCTCCTCTGAGCATTCCAATAGCGAGTGGCTTCAAAAAGGGCCAAGTCCAGAGAAAGTGAAGCAAACATTGTGGAGCGCATTCTCGAGTACACCTTCGTCATCCTTTGTGTCATTGTCAGATGGCCATATCCATACACAGCTCCTCATGGTAGGCCCCCGAGCAAGCTGGACCGCATTGATCGCAGGCTTGTCAGCCTGCTGGGGGCCCGCCGAGGAGCATTCGCGAAAAGTCCTTCTACGTCATTGTTCTGAGAGTCAGAGCCAAGGGGAAAGTGAGGCATAGCGGGGCATCAGAGGTACGCTTGCTTCCTACAAAGGATTTGGCCCACAGAAGCTCACGTAGAGATGGATCCACTGTATCAAAAGTACCTTGGAGTACAACCGTGCGCAATTATCAATGAGACATCATGTCATGATGCATTCTACAGTGGTTTAGCTAGGGATCGCCATGCCTTTCGACCGAAGAGCGGGGATGCAATAGGTATGGACTATTAGGGCAATGACAAGCGATCAGCCTTTTGATGGGCTCCTAAGCACAATGGGGCACCGGAGGCGACGTCTCTCCACAATCGGTGGCCATTATTGCCAGGAGATGACGGCGGTAGGTGGACTCCCGCTTGAGGATTGATAATGGGGAGGAGAAAAGCAATCCTGACGATACATACAAGGATTAGAAATGGCGAAGACATATCTCATGTTGCCAATTGGGCTGCCTTCATGACTAATTCGCCAGGATGTACTACTGGAGGTGCGCTGATTGAGGTTCAAATGCAACTCTCCATCTGTAAGCAGAGTAGCACGTAGTATGGGCAGTGCCTGCTACATGCCTACCGAAACTTGAGATGTTATTCATATACATTGTGGGCTTGTATTGTCCTCCTATGACAGGACTGACATGTCTCGTCGTTTGTGATACTCCCCTTGTATCAAACTTACATCATCTTACAATACTTGCAACTCCTCCTTAGAAGAGAGCCAAGATACGTCAGAAAAGTCAGCCTCTATGATGGTGAAGTCACATCATGATGTTCGTGTCGACCATAGCGCCATTGAACTCCGAACTATTGCAAATCGCAAGTCATCAAAAACCAAATGACATCAGTCCCCATGGTCCAACCATTCACTCATCCCCATCTCAATATGTCTTCCCCCAACAACCTTAAGGCGCTATAGCTTCTGATCAGGCGGACGCGAGCCGATCGATTTTCTCTTCTCCCTTCGTAAGTTCCTCTCCGCTTCAAGAAGGTAGGACTGGATGCATTTGCTGCGGTCTGGGTTTTTTCTTACTCGTTGATCATTCAGCAGCGCCGTCAGGGTGGCCTTGATGCTGTTGTGGTACTCGCGGATCTGGATGTCAATGTTGCTGCCGGGGGAGACGTATTTAGCTGGAGAGGAGTCGTGGTCATGGTCGTTGGCTTGCGAAGTATAGGAGGCGGATCGTCTGTCGGCGATGGCCGAGTGCAGGGTAGGCAGCTGGTTGGCAGATGCTGCCGGCTGAGGGGATGGGTGAAGAGGGACCATTATGTGTGCTGTCGCTGTTGCTGCTAAAGATGTTGTCTTGAGAAGAAGTAATTGAATGAGCTTGAAGATAAACTGCGAATGTGTCCGTCTTATAGCTTAGTTCGTGAAGCTCAACGTCCATGTCCTCAAAAGGCTCAGACCTCAGAACGCATCGACCTCGTTACGCCACAGGTTACCTTAGTTTGTCTGTATACATAGCAGCCCTTGGCATTCGTAATCTGCGCCAATCGAAACAGGGTAGCGATCTGCTTGCAGCATCATATCCATGGCGCGGCCCCTCTTGCTGATCCTGGCTGTCTTTTCCTGCCAATGATGAGCTTGATGCCATCATGCCGCTGTCAGTCAGCGTCTCTACTCTCTTCAGGGTTTGGACGAGTCTGCCATGTTTCGTGATATCACACCTAATTCAAGTTACTCAAATTGTGCCTGGTCCTACTTTGAGATAAAGGGTACTTCTGATGGATGATCCCCGCGTCATGGTAATTCTTTATTGTTCATAGTGTCATTTGCCGCCGCTTATATCATTTCTGTCTGTGGATTTGTTGGATACATTCTGGATACTGGTCTATTGGCAGTTCGTTTCGCCTCCAGCCGACATCATGGCCTGTGCTCACTGTGGGTGTGGCTAGACTGAAGGCGAATAATCTCTCGTGTACGGCTTATGCCTATCATTCTTCAGGTTCGACTATTAGACCCTTCTTGGCCACCTGTGGGTCCGTCTCTCTGTGAACTACGACTTATGACAGAGGAGTTCCAGCCTCAATCCATAGATGTATGTGCGTTTTCACCCCTGGATATACCAGAGGAACAGTCTGGGTGTCCAACAACATGTTAGAAAATGACCTCACTGTATGCAGTTTCCTGGATACAACTTCAGACAGGTAGGATGCAGGGGCACGAACGTCAGGATGACTCAATTGTGTTGATCTCCACGTGGCAGCCTCGTCCCGATGAGTAACAAGAGGTATGCTGGTTACTTGTCATGGAGGGAGGAATGTGATACCAGTATCTCTTTAAGGGTTTGGTTTAAACTTGAGTAGGTGTTCAGATATGCATAACAACAACAGACTTAATTTTAGGGGATCTAGGGACATACTATGATGGTGCGTAGTTGAGGTGACCTCAATAGCCTCATACATACATCAAGGCCACACCCCTGACGTCATTGGTCGCTGGTCGCTGGTGCAACCGGGAAGCTTGGCATTATGCAAGTATATCATAGGAGACAAGTACTGAAGTACATATGACGGAGCAAAGCAAGCATTCTACAAGAGTAGTCTATCTAACCTTACCCATAATATCTTACCTAAGCATCCCCGCTCCATTACAAGCCCATCTAGCCAAGCATCCCAAACACCCCCACGTCATAAAACCGGCCCCCAGATCGCGGCCCCTTCAGCAGATTCCGACTCGCAGACAAATACAGGAACTCTCATACCTGATGGCTTGGCAGACCTTCGTAACAGAAAACCCACTGCCCAGACAGCTGTTGGTTGCTTCCCGAACGTCGGCCTGCAGATCAGCTCGGCTCGGCTCCGGCTCCGACATCGGTTCTCGGGGATCATAACTAGCTTTGATATGGTCTTGACAACGCCGAGGAGAGCGTGCGATCGATTGTGTCTAGACAGCTGATGGCATCGCCCTATAACATAAAAAGAAAAAAAATACAACAGCTGGGTTTGCTGGTGGTCACCCGCTCAACTACTAACCGGCCGGCGTGTGGCTTCTCTACAGTCAATAGGTGGCTAGGTGTCTCCTGGGTGAGTAAAGGGTGAGCACCACTTTACAGTTTACAACCAGGACGACCTAGGGTGAGTATGTGAGGTATAGGTTGTGTATCTCGACTCTTGCTGATGTCTCACCCTGATCATGTGACCGCATGCAATTAGATGCTTTGGCATCTGTCACACTACAAACTCGACAAGGTACACTCACTGCGATTTGAACCGTTTAGTAGTATTCAAGCCTTTCATAACCATTTACGTGAGGGCATGCAAATGCATCCGGATCTTGACCCGGAGATACAAGACCTCATCATCCAGCATCAGAGTAGCTGGCCGCTGAGTTTACGCACGGTGATCTTAGCAGCTTGAATATTCTAGCTCGTGGAGACCGGATTATCGGTATTATTGACTGGGAAACAGCTGAATGGTATCCGTCATATTGGCGACACACTACTGCTTGTTATGTAAACCCGCAGAACTATTTCTGGCGCGAGGAGATCGATAAATTTCTGGACCCAATGCCGAAGGAGCTAGCAATGGAACATATCTATACTCACGTCACGGCACAAGGATGGAACGACGATATCGCAGGAAAGACGGAAAAGAGACACGAAATGGAAAATTGGAAATGGACGCCTGTATTATAGATCTCAGCTTATGGTTAGTCAGCTATTGTTGTAGACATGTAGTTAAGTAGTATCCTGTTGATTTTGCAGCAGGTGACAAAGACTTATTATGTCCTACACACTCTTTTTCCTTCTAAAGTCACTCCTTTGTTTGAATTGAAATTGTGTATTGATCCTTGGGTGCATGCTCACCTAACATGGTGAATACAACCATGGTTCATGTACTCGTCGCCAAGGGCCTGACCAATATTGCGAAGATATGGGTTAGGCCCCTTGGTGACGAGTACATGTTGGCATAAACATTATGGTATTATTGCATCGGGTGGGCGGGGGAAGGTTATATCTATCGCGCTGAGCAGCCTCGGACAGTGGCTTATGGCTTTATCAAATTTCTCCACCAAACAACCATGTTCTCAGCAGGAAAGCTGCGTTCTCATCCCGAGCCAGCTTTTTGCATGGTTTGCGGCCTCAGGGAGGGGGAGGATAAGTGGCTCAAAGCAAGTGAGTCGATCACTGACTGTTCATCAGAAGCTTTATGTTAATAAGTACATTCAACTTGATTAAGTCTATTGCACACCGAGTGGGGTGAAAGTGACCAATCCCAGGCAGGACCCCTGGTATAGGTCGCTCGGGAGTGAGATACAGAATGGAACGGACGTGTATCTCTTTCATGAGCAGCCATGCTGGGATCATCTCTTGGAACATTTCGGCCCTGACAAACTTCATTTGGCCAGTCTCTTTGAGGCATTGGAGCGTTTACCACTCCCGAGAGACTATACCTTTCCTTCATATGCTTCATTACCAGGCAGGATAGGTCTATGTAAGTGGGTTGGAACGAAAGACGACCGACATGAATTCCCCATCCTCCCTGGCCGGTTTCCCCTTCCGAGTCTGGAAGAGCTGATGCGGTTCGCAAAAAGCCCTCCCAAGCCCTTGTCAATTATCGCGCAAAGGCCCGTCAGCCATCCAATAGATGGTTTCGGACACCTCTCATTTGACATTCTTGTGATTATATCAAGCGTGCTACAGACAAAGGAGGCTCTAGACCTACGGCGTGTGACACGAGCTGCAATCCCACTTTTTGCCAGCTCACAATTCTGGAGAACGCGATTTGCCATCGACGGAGAACGTGGCTTTCTCCGCCCCATAGTCCGGAGATTCTCCCCGCCGGAGGGCGATCATGGGATCGACTGGAGACTCCTGTACCATTGCACTGCCCGTTTGAACTGTAGTGATTGGTTTGAAATAGAGATTCGGGCCTGGGAAACCTTGCGCTGGCTTCGAGACACAGCTTCGGCTATACACCATGGGAGGCCACGTCCGCCCGACTTCCGGGGAGTCCAGCCCTGCAGCATTATCACAATACCACCCGTCGGAACACATTCATTGAGTCCGTCGAGATAACATCGTCGTTATGCAAGATTGCTATATCTGCGCTCCAAGAAGCAGGAGAAGTGAACATCACCGGGATCGAGTTTATCTTTGATGATGGTCGTCCCAGCGCCATGCTTGGCTACTCTACGCCTGGAGCGCAGCGGATGACACGCAAGAAATATGCACGAAAACAACGTAGAGGCCCTTTCGATGCCCATAAGCAGTGGCCATATCCAGGTGTTCGGGTGACGATGGATGTCGTCGGTCTACGTGGGATCGTGTACCTCAAAGATGCGAACGGGATCCACGGCGTTGCTATATACCATGGTGGAGAGGAGTTTGACGACATTGATGACACTCTCCATGTTGGTCTTGAGGCACATTACCAGGACGAACAAGAGCCGGTTGCATATTCTGTCTCCCTGGACAAGGTCGAAAAGGTCATTGCAGTAGTTGATGTGAGTCTGTGCTTATTTCCCTCGCCTTCTTGCCCTGCTTGACGCTCGCATAGAACCGCAAGATGATTGACCTGGGAATTTCCGGGACGACAACGAAGCGGTCTGAATACGTTGAGGATGAGTGGGATGATGTTGTGCAATGGTATAAACAAGATAATGCCTTCCTTCTCAAATCCATGTGATATCTGTGGGAGGGTGATTAGTTTATTTAGAATTTGGCGCGGTCTCCAGGAGATTGAGCCTACTATACCGGTTATGCTAGATAGCTCGAATTATATTAATCGCTGAATTGATCATGTGCGTCTGGATGCATAACCGACACGGACCTAACACCTCTCGCATCTTCATGTCGCTCTGTAGACCCATTGTGACTATTTGCTCGGGCAAGAGCTGGCGCTCCTTTGAGATTCATGTACTCGATATAAGATACTAACCCTGAGACAAGGCTACCGATTCTTCTCTAACAAGTGGGCCACGGACCGATTTATTCTTTTCCCTCGCACTGCCTCAGCCTCGACAAAGATCACTTCGTGCATACCGGAAGGGCGTATGTTGGTGATAGCAACCAGAGTCACTCATTCATCTTACTTTGTTTCTTTCTCAGCGCCCGCGCCATGGCTCCCTCGATCCGGTGGCTCTCTGTCGCCCTCTGTGCTCGGCTAGGACTAGCCGTTGCAGGATCAGGCTCGACAGACGTCGTCACTTGCAAGGAAGAAACTGATGTCTCAAGTAATCTCTTTGCAAATCCATCCTGGGAAAATGGCCTATCACCGTGGTCGTACAGCTTTCCGGCGCAGACGACGAACGCACGTGCAACTGATGGCACCTCTTCCCTGTATGGACATCCTAAACCAGGAGAACCAGGAGTAGCTAAAGCAAACTAACTGGGCTTCAGATCTCTTCCCAACCGGGGTATGGGTCCTGAGACATGAATCAAACCGTGCAGAATCTCGTCCCCAGTACCACGTACCAATTCTCCGTTGACCTCCTGCCTTGGGTCACAATTCAGATATAAAAGACCATTACCTAGATGTAGAAAGCTTGGTCAAAACTACGACAATGATCCAAAGAAGGCACAACAACCCGCGATAAGAAGAGTAAACAAATCAAATCGTATGAGATGACGATATCGGTTTTGGATGAAATACTTCTTACCGTAGACGTGGTGGGTTGTGATTTGGGCGTGCTGTGTGAAAGCATTAAGATTGTTTGCTGCATGCATGTATAGCTGCTACCAGGGAATCACATGTTGGCAGTACAGTTTACAGTCTCTCCAATCCCCGTCACGAAAGACAGCAGTGCGACGCTACCAGGCTGAGTCGGTTCAAGGGACCTGGTTTGCCTCTAAATTACATATCTACCTTCGATACGTTATTCTAGTCAACAGAGAATTACAAGAGATGCGCTGGTGAGCTTGTCTTCAGGTTAAGTTTTCCTTAAGTCCATAAGATGTCGTGTGGACGCGAATTATATCCGCTTAATATTGTCATGTGGATAATAGCGACCATTCTGCGCAGTCTGAGACTCTGAGGTGTGGCATCTTGCTGTACTGTACCAGGGAAGCCTTGTCACTTGCATGGTGAAATGCATACATGCATTGTCTGACAAACGACGCCGACTTAGCAATGTATTTCTCACCTTTTATTAGATTGGAATCGCCACCCACGCTTAAGCTTTCATTTCATCATTTGACGTCTACCAGGTCACTAGGCGATTAAGTTATGGCCTCTATCAAAATCGCTGAGATCTCTCGCACAGATCCCGAAAATCTCTTGGAGAGAGTATCAATCACTGACGTCAAACATCTATCCTCTTACAACTGGATTGAATCCTCTATACCTACGATCGCCATCCCCGGTAGCCCTGCCCTATGGACTCCGCCACAGTCCGCGCAGAGGCAGGTGAAGAAAGACTCCGGTCTCATCTACATAGCCCAGAACGCCGCTCGCCACGCAGAAAGTCCGCTTGAACCCTTGTTTCGGGCCTTGTATATCGCACACCCTACGTTCGATATCCGGTCCGTGGATCTAGTGACTGATCGAAACAATATGCGCAAGCTCTTGTCGTTTATCAACCCTAGCTTAGATAAGAGGGGATTGGAACCCTTTACTATTGAGGTTGAGGTCACGAACGATACCGCTATATTCTGTCGTGCGGAGACAAAGACGTTCGAGGTTATCGGACCACGTCAATGCAAGGGGTTTGGGCATGAGTTTGAGAAGGCGTATATAACGGTCCAGCTGGAGGGAAGTACGGGGCATCATAGGATTATCTCCTACCAGCTCGGTGGTATGAAACTGTTGGTGCGCTATGAGACGGACGGATACATTGCGAGACCTTCAAAGGCATCAACGGCATTGACTGATAGTAGGAAACTAATGCAAGACGGCGACGACATATCCAGCATGCTCAAATCACTGTCTCTTTCTCCTCCAAACCCTTCCTATGCGGCCTCGGACAAGTCAACCTTGAGGATCTTGGAAAAGGGCCAAGTCGTGCCGATCGAATCAACCCTCGAAATCAAAACACGCACCTCCAAGAGACATATTAAAATTGACGAAGTTCTTCCACAGCTGTGGGTATCTCAGACTCCGAATCTTGTCCGTGCCTACCACAGGAATGGTTTGTTTGAGCGACCAGAGGTTGAAGATGTTAGTGGTGAACTTAAGAGGTGGGAGGAAGATCACCATGCGGATCTCGGGAAATTAGTCATATTGATTAAAAATCTTATCTCTGTGGTCAAGGAAAGTGGTGCGAAGGCTGTTATCAGGTATGATGATCGATGCGACAAGTTGGTGGTTTGGAAGCGTGAGGGTGGGAGAAAAATGTTGCCTGACGACCTTTACTCCATGTTCAACGAAGGAAGATAATGAAGAAACTTGGGAGTTATTGTGTTAGCAAGTCAGTTTCTATCATACCTGGATTCAGTGTATTAATTGTGCAACTAGACATTAGTGAGAGCAAGAATAAGTAAGGGAACAAACAACGCAGAAGACAGGGCTGGTTTGCAGACCAGCATATACCCTCCCTACTGCTAAACATTACTAACAAAGAGAATCCCTTGCCTCAGGTAAAGGAGAAAACGCGCGCCTTCATAACCACCTCGGACAGGCTTTATTCTGATTTTATATAAATTAGGCCTGGTGTGAAGGTATCAGGTGTGAGTCCGATTCTGCAGCTCAACTTTGCAGTTCAGCTCCATTCTCATCTACAGGTGTGCAGCAGTTTATTTTTCCTAGCTATTGCTCGGTAATATTGGTCGCATATTTGGTATCATCATAAAGATACTTTGGAGATCCACTGCTGAGTCCATACAACGAGGTCAAGTACACACAATGCCTTTCGCCCTACGAGAAGCGTACTCAGAAGATGCTAGTGCAATGGCACAGGTCATGGTAGCCGCTTACCAAGACCATCCGATATGGAAACGGATGATGCACTGTGTACCGGTCCCCGAGCAGATTGACTTTGTGGAGGAGACACTCCAGGAACGTTTCGAATCAAGTGGTACTTTTTCATACACCGTCATTGAAGATGCGTATTCGTGAGTGAGGCCAGCTTATTGTCTTCCAGGGAAGGGCAGGAAGGAGCGGGTGGCTGACCTTTGAGGCCATGTATGCTAGGCGGGTTGTTGCGTGGGCTGGACTGAAGTACCCGAGCCAAGACTGTATCCTGGACAAAGAACGAAAGGCAGAGACTACCCTTCCGAACGGTGTTGACGAAACGGCGGCGAAGGACTTTTTCGAGGCGTTGTCGCCTCCACTCGAAAAGTACGGGTATAATCCAAAAGAGCATGGCGGTATGTGGGACTTATTAAAGCCAAGAATATGACAACTAGGGAGCTGCTCTCGAAAGCCGGGTGTGATTCTTTCACCATTTCTTTTTTCGCAGCTAATTTCTGGCTATTCTGCAGAATGGCGAGGCTTGGTAGTTCACCCGGCTTATCAACGACGTGGACTGGGAGGCCAATTGGCTGCTCACCGCAATGATATCGCTAAGCGTGCGGGTTTCGATGTGTATGGTGTTGCAAGGGCAACCTCGCGAGGTCTATTTATACACCATGGGGCAGTTGTTCTCGGCACTTATAGTGTCGACATGCAAAAGTATAATGGAAGCTGTCCGGCTCATGGCCAGGTTTATGTTATGCGACAGGGGCCTAATGTTGAGAATTGTCAGGAAACAGCAATAGCAAAGGGCGAGGACTGAAGGTCTGATTCAGGAGTGTTGATGATTTTACTTAGTCTCTATTCTTGCTCTGGATGTGGCTGTGGCTCCTCTGTAATAATCATGCACTATGCCTATTAGTGACGTCTCTTCTATATGTGACAGAGGCAGAAAGAGCTCTTTGTGTCGTATTACCTTCTGCAATAAACCATATTGGTTTACAGATATCTCCAATAAAAAGTCAAACGGATTCTTGTCTGATTGCTGTCGCCATCAATAATTTTCTCACATAGGGATCTTTATTAGCCTTTCATGATACTTATTATCAGATTCAACTCAAAACTGAGACCTAACTCTGGCGCAAAATTCTACACATGATCTCTTCATGTAATTGCAATTTCGTACAGAGGCCATTGCGATACCTACCCCTAAATGAGAGTAAAAACAGAGAGGTTGATTATGGAGTTAAAAAAGACAAGGTGAGGAATGCACGACTTACTGGGCAATCAGCCCAATGATCACATCAGCAATTCTTTTCAGTTTGGATGAGGACCCTCCTGCCCTCGAGCACTAGCGCAGACCCAAAAGGTGCCTGGAATATCCAGAGTGAAGCATTCCATACTGACGACCGGAATATTAGAAACGAAAACAAAAAGGAAAAGAAGTCATAGGAAATGCATGCTGAGTCCGAGCCTATTCTAGCCAACTACACTAGCCTCATAGCCTCCCTATTTGATTAACTTTCTTCCCACAGTTGTTCCATTCCGAGGGGACCATGCATGAACTGATTTGGATCGGTTGGCCGTGGAAGAATTTGTCCTTCTGTAACAACCTTGTTCTCAAGCTGCCAGCGAAGCCATTGTTCATGATCAATACATTGTCGTTGCGGCGTAAAGTCCGTAGCTGGAGTATTCCAACCATCCATCCAATTGAACGTAAGTGCATTGAATGAAGGCTGGCAGCGGAGGTCTTGTACAAGCACATAGAGGCAATGAGATAGATGGATACGGTCTAACTTTGGCGTGTCTTCAAAGCGGCTGTACTGCGGACGATAGAAATAGTCAAAGTAGGCATACTTGCGCACGAAGTTCAAGCAATGGATATTGTGCTGCATTTCAGTTTGCCAAATATAAGCATCGTGGCCGTAACCTAGAAGCCCCGTTAGCTGTAGGCTGAAACGAACATGCTAGATCAAGCGGTGCCTACCCCATGATGAAGGAAGCTTGACGACTTTTTCGGGGTCCTTGCCCATTTTGATGAGCTCATCTCTAGTCATGATCATGGGCCCCAGATGTGCTATCCGGTCCCATTCTGCATTAGATTCAGCAGAGGGTTCAGCTCGCAGAAGGGAATGAGTCACGTCAAACAGATAGCCATCCACAGTATAGTTATGTAGAGGCAGCTCGAGCCGTTCTAAGATCGGAGCTGTAGATAATACAATGTTAGAAGACCTTCCGCAATACTGCGTAACGCCCTGGTGATCATACAGTAGGCATTGACGGTTTTGAAGACTTGATTAGCTGTGAGGTGCCCAGTGGCGGACCGGGAATGGTACGCCAGCGTGATAACAGTCGAGACAGAAAACATTACGATATTTATGAGGCATAATATCCATAATACGTAGTGCCTGTGCTTTCGCACAGATGGTAGGACCTGCTTGGCTCCTCCTCGGTATCCTTGAATGAAATAAATGCATTAGACCACAATGGGGTCGACGATTGGATAATCATGGTTACTCAACTGAAAATGTTGTAGGTGGCAACAGGGAATACCTGGTCTCATCATCCTTCTTGAAAGGCGCCATTTGTTCAATCTAAGGAGATCAAGAGCGCGAGAAGAACAAATGATGTGAATAAGGCAAAGGTCGCAATCTTCCCGCTCTCCTAAAGGTTAGGTCCAAGAGAGAGTTAAATATAAAAGTGGTATGCTCCAAGCCCACTGCGTGTAAGATTTAGATATGGTCACTTAAAGCACCAAAGCATGCCGTCATGAATGCCCTTGGTGCTCGAAGCCTCCGTCGGTGTGTAAGAAATGCGTTAAACAGTGATACATATGCAGGGGATACCTTGGGTTCTACACCACTTAATGACTAAGCCGTGGTTTGCATCTCGATGTACGACAAAGTCAGGAGGAGCAAAGAAGGGTAACACAAAAACTCAAGCAGGGAAGCAGTCATTATCAAATCATTGGATTATCAACTGCGGTGCTATTCACTATGCTATGAGGCAAAAGCAACATCTATATTGAGACTGCACCATTGGACAACTCTCCATGTACATGGCCCCTTGATCTATTGGAGCTGGACGATCTTTCCCAGGAAGAGGGTGCTTGTTATGCACTGATGGCATCATCTAGGAGGACTTTTTCCCTTGCATACTATCTGTTGAGCGCTGAACGTGGTTGCTCGTGGGGTAGTGATATAAGACTGGTCAGTGCTACGATTTGTTGAAAGCCTGTGAGTTCCACTAAGGAATGACGTAAAAAACCCCAATCTAGTGTTATCGTATTGTAAGCCAGACTGTCCACCTTATAAAGCGTGCATACAAAGTAACCTGGCACAGGGGGAGCACTTAGCAATAAGGATGCTGCTTCCTTGCTTTTGTACTCCCAGGAGACCATGTGATCCTATGAGATGCAGTAGAAACAGACAATAATGAGAAGATCTGAGAATCATTGCCAGTTGTGACTTACACATCCAAGCACTCCCCATGACCAAACAAGGGGACGGGAGTCACCTCTAAGTTTAAGTATATGAGTTACCGATAGATACACGCAAATAACAGCAGAGAAATTAGTGATACTCATCTGGATAGAACAGAGGAACAAAATGAGGGACTTTAGTAATGCCAATGTAAGGGGCACACTCTACTGTAGAGATGCAGCGTAGAGCATTCCGCTTCGTTGAATTTTGGGTATGCTTCAGGAGTCCTTCCCCTTAAGGTATAGAAATCCCATCAAATAGATATAAATACCTTCACCTCCATTGCCCCATTTATGTTCACTACAGTAACGACACAGAAAGGGCAAATCTTCACACAGTCACTCCTCCAAGCTCAATTCTTTTTAGTAGTCACCCTTTCAAGTCTTTGAACCTGCTTAATTGCCAACATGAAGGTCGCTGCTCTGCTGTCCGCATCTGCCCTATGATTCTCCGCCCTGACGGTCACCGGTGAGTATCACAAAACTGATACTAGCTTTCCAAACTGCTCACTTACAGATAGCACCTCTCCCCGGCTCTATTGGAACCGTTGACGCGGCTGAAAGTGGCTCAAGTGACCACCCGGAATGGCCTGCAAACAATGCTATCCAGCCAGGCCAGCAGCCAAATGCCCAATCGGATGATACCAGCTTCCATTACTGGAAGCGTGCCGAGAGTCATCCCAACTGGCCTGCAAACAATGCTATCCAGCCCGGCCAGCAGCCAAATGCCCAATCGGATGATACCAGCTTCCATTACTGGTAAACAAACTGGGCCAATATTGCTTAGCGCCCAGCCTCGTGCTTCTAATGGCGCTCAAACAGAAGTTGGTTGTGGATGGTTATGCTTCCTGGAGAGTTTGTGCTTTAACCTTAAGGTATACACTCCTTATTTAGTTAGCTGATCAATATATTGCTTTCACCCCGGGGTAACTGCATTCACCAAAAAAAGAGAAAAAAGAAGAACCTTGTGTAATACTTTAAAGCGGCAGCTTCCTGGTGAGATTCAGGTGAGTGGAAATGCAGCTGTAAATGGCCTCACTAGCAGTCATATCAGGCTTTTCAGCCTTAGTTACACAGGTTCCCACATTCTATCTGCAGCCAACCAACGTTTCGTTAGCTCAGACTAGTCGCCTCTTCAGTGAAGTAAAGGGACTTCAATACCTGATCAAGTGAACACTGAAACAGGACTATCACAAATACCCTAAGTCAGAATATAACGAGATAACTAATATTGAGACTTAGCTAGTTGGCTTTCAAGTGCAGCTATCCCTCACTAAATACCAACCTTAATATCTCAATATAGAAGGTCTAGTATTCCCTAATAGTAGAGGTGGATTAGTTGTCATCTACGGTCTGTAGCAGACCAGAAATAGTATTTATTCACTATTTTCGTCTTACTCGGTGCAAGTACTTCTTATACTATAGTAATGTAAATCATAGACACTTATATACTATAACTACACCACATTCTAGATAAGTATCTTATTTATATATTATTCTATGATCCTTATAGTGTCCCACTCTGTCCTTAAGTATGCTGCTACAGTCACACACCATGAACTTTGTCATGTTCTCAAGCAAAATGAATGTTGATATACAAGGTACATCTGAGCTACTTATAGTCATCCCCGATGTTTGTCCTTTAGTTTCATCGTGTGTAATATCATAGAAAGAAGGCGAAATCAACTGCGAGCACCACATGAAAACACAGAGCCCGCCGGATTCTTATGAATCGAGACACCAGATGCATAAAGCCCAAGGGCACACTGATCAATTAGCCTAAGTATTATGTCCGAGCAAGGTATAGACTTACCACAACCAATCCAATACACACCGAAGACACGTTGACAATGGTCAAGAAAATCTTCCCCCGCGACAAGAACCACATCCCCTTGTTCATATATAGCCAGAATACCCCTGGCAGGCCAAAGGTAAACCAGCTCAGAAACAGTGAAGCCTAGTATGCGTTAGTTAAGCTGCAGGATGAACTCTGCGTGGTAACTGACAATCAACCCGATAAGGTCGTTAAACACTGGTATAGCCTCGGCGATGATCCAAGATATGGTCCAGAGGACTGCCATGATTCCTATCCATGAACCCACAGCAACCCAGTCTCGCTTGTGGATAAAATCATTCCCAGCAAACATGCGCAGATAGATGGCTTTGGCGGCGATGTGGCCGTTGATCACACCTGCAATGACAATCTGTGAGGGTCAGTCTCTATATCGCTGAGAAATGGAGGTCCGCGCGGGATTGAGATTCTTACAGTAGGCAAGGCAATGCCGTACGTAATCTTGGAGATCAATGGACCTGCTGACCCCAGAGCGGGTGATGTCACATCCTCGCCGGCAAAGTAGTATATAACGACCGCAGCAACGATATAGAGCGAGATATCAATGCTTTGGAGAAGGGCAAGTGCCTTGGGAAATTCCCTGGGGTCGCTGAGCTCCGCAATGAAAGTGAAGAAGGAATTATGGCTGGCTGTTGATTTGTCAGAACTAGCACTGAGTATATGGCAATATCCTGCTCACCGTAGGCGAAAACCATGTTCGTAACGGCACCAAAGCCAGTCACCAAATCCGTGTGCTTGGCGACTGCCCACGTCGAGGTTGGCTTGATGATCCCAATACTGACCATGGTGACCATCACCGCGGCGAAGACACTGACAAATGCTGCTGGAGGTTAATACCTAACCCGTACGGTCCACAGCAGCACGACTCACAAACAAGCGACAGCCACGAGACTTTCTCTAAAGTGCGAGGCAGCGAGAGCAGGCAGGAAATCACGGCTCCTACGACTCCGAAAATAATGGAGCAAGTAGCATGACCTGTAATGACATTAAATGCCACAGTGAATGTCAAAATATGACTTGCCATAATGAAGATCAACAGCAGTATCTGTGCTGCATTCAGGAGTTCCCTCCCAAACGGGCCCAGCAGGACTTCTCCCGCATCAGACATGCTGCTAATATGAGGATATCGCAGTTTTATTTGTCCAATAACGTAACCGTTGTAGCTGGCTAGGATGCCCATACTGATGAGGATGGCGAGGCCTGGTGCTAGTCCGACGGCTCCAACAGCCGCAGGAAGTGAGAGGATGCCCAAAGAGATAGTCTCGGCAACCATGAGCAGTCCTGCTTGCCTGTTGAAGAAGTTAGTAACCATCGCCTCCTGGGCATGTGAGCCAAAGATCGGAAAACGCACCACCACTTGAGAACCTTGTACTTGACCTCTGCAAACTCCTCGTCACCAAAGGCATCCTGACGGACAGGCGGCATTGGTTCCTCTTTCTTCTGGTCCCTATCCTCTGGCCTTGGAGGTTGTGTCTGACTTTCCGTGTCCATGTCGATTTTCGAATGATCAGGAGATAAAGAAACAATACGTGAGGTCATTTTGATAGCTCTGGCTTTCGTGAATGAGTCCCATTCTTGACAGTGGGGAGGGGAGCCTTCATATAATCCCCCTTATCATGTCAGTCTTGGTCGTAATCCGGGGTAAGTTAGGGAGAGCCACAGTGACCCGGAGAAGACCCCACTCAGATAGGCGACCTCTTCAGTCCCGCAGATGTTTCAAGCCCATCTGGGAAAGGAAATGGGTTACGGTTAATGTAATTGATAACGGACTTGCGCCTCTTTGATTTTGTGGCGTGTACCCCGGGAGGCGTGTCTGCCGCTGAAGACAGTCGAAGTCAGGCGAGTCCTACAGTAATTGAGTTTCGGGATGGCTTTCCTGATGGAGCGTCGAGAACTTGCCTATCTAACGAGATGCTTTGCACCATTGTAATCTGTCTTTGACTTGTTAGGAGATACGCACGGCATAGACCTCTTGATAGATAGGTAATATCAATGCAGACTCTTCACGGATATACATAGCATGTGCCTACCCAGGTGCTAATGACCGTTGTAGCGGTAGACTTACCGTAAGAGCGGCATTCAGTCGTGCAGTACTCTAGAAATGACCCGCTTAGTCGTAAAAGATACCTCGACTGTAAGAATACCGATATACTCCACTGCAAGCTTCTCACATCCAGTTCCAATCGTATACTGCATCTTCTCAGGATTGCCCGAACTGCCATATCTCGTGACACAAGACCCCGGGTATTATTTAGGTTCATGAAGTAATGGTCGGCTTCGTCGATAGCAACCTTCCGAGACAGTGATCTCTATACTTCCGCTATCAGTTTGGCGGATTATGGGACGGAAAGCCTTCCCCTTACCATCGGGCCAAGTTCCCAAATAGGCAGGTGATCCCTATCCCACACATCACGTCCATCTATATCCAGCACTCTTTGTGAGTTCCACAAAGAGATACAACCCGATTCCTTTGCCAACTCCTTAGATCTCTTTGACAAAACGCAATCCCTCTGTCTCGTCTACGACCAATACAAGCCCCAAAATGCCCCATCTACACGGTATCCTAGTCGCCCTCATCACCCCCTTCACAGACGACCAGAAACACATCGATGCAGCCCGTCTAAAAATACACATCGACCGCCTCGTCACAGCCGGCATCCACGGGCTCGTCCCCGGCGGCAGCACCGGCGAGTTCACCACCTTGACGACCGCAGAGCGCAAGGAACTCACCGAGCTATGCGTTAAGTTCGCCGCCGGCCGCGTCCCAGTCGTCGTCGGGACGGGAAGCACTTCCACGGCTGAGGCCCTTGAGCTAGCGACGCACGCAGCTTCCGCCGGTGCCGCAGCGCTGATGGTCGTGCCGCCGTTCTACGACCCTGTCAACCTGGAGCAGTTGACCGAGCTCATGTCGGAGATCCATAGCGCTTCGGGTCTGCCCATTATGTATTATAATATTCCTAGCGCTTCGGGTCTGACGCTCACTCCCGGCGAGATTGCCGGGTTGTCCAAAGTGGGCGTCAAGTACCTGAAGGATACGTCGGGAAATGCCCCCGCCTTCACCGAGTTGGTCTTTGGGCTTTCGGATAAGATTACGGCGTTCAATGGCTGGGATACACTGACCTTCTACGGTCTTGTGGCCGGTTGTCCCGGCGGAGTGTGGGGAGCGGCCAATTTCATTCCGGAGCTGGCGGTCGAGCTGTACGAGACTGTCTCGGTCAAGGGAGACTTGAAGCGAGGACGTGAGTTGTGGACGAAGATATGGCCCATCTGCAAGTTTTTGGAATCGCATAACTATGCAGCGGCTGTCAAGGCTGGGGTGGAGCTGACTGGACAAGCAACTGGGGGTCTCAGGAAGCCTTTCAAGTCACTTGGCCCTGAATTGCAGGCAGAGCTGAAGCAGTTGCTGATAGACGCGGGGTTAAGGACAGTATAAACGGCTAGATGATATCTACCGCAAAGCTTACGAAAGGCATAATGAACAATAAATAATGTTCCTTGACTGATAGTCCAATATACCACCTCCAGTAAGTTATTTTTGCCTGCAATTGAGGTACCGAGTAAAATAGTAGACATTGTTAACACATTTAGTAGCGGCTCAGGGTATCGTTTTATGAGTGATCAGCAAAAAAGAGGCCATAGATTCTTTTGTCTGACAATATTGATCCATGTTGGCATGGGGTCCCGTCTATTTGTCTCCAAATGCTGGTCCTGCTGGTTCCACACGTCTGTCAGAACTTCCCTGGCTGTTTTAAATATGGGAAATCGACAGATTGACTCGGCCCTGTTGAAAAAATGAAGGACAGCGTCCCGCTTAGAGGCTGTAAGTGCCTCACACCCCGCAATAAACATAGGCCAAGCCGTTGCAGGGCTCATGGGATGCTCTGCTGGTACAGCTTTCTGAAAGTCAGCCAGCGCCGTAATGACGTCGTCCACATGACCAGCTACGACAGCAGGATGGACTTGTCGAACCCGCCGATAAAAGAAAATTAGCAGAGCGCCGTTCAATGCTCGCAACATTGGCTGATGGGGTTTGGTTGAGTCTGGGTGCTTGGAGCGGACGCGGCGATTGTACCGCAGAACAAATGAGCAGATCATATTTTCCAGGTGCTCACTGCGGCGGTGGAGTGTTTCCCATGCCTCAAGAGAAACCTTCCTCTGCGATTGACGTGCAACTCGAAACGTCTCCATCACGTTGGCGAGCCTCGTGGTCTGGGATACAAGTGTAAGCCACGTCTCGGGGATGCCATAGATCTGCTTGTATAGGGTATCCGAAAAGTTGCGGGAGTCCTGCAGATGAATATCATGCAACCCGGCCTCCTGATCTTTAGGATCGTCGATGTTCAAGTCACTGTCCGAATGGTGTGCTTCGAGTCGCAAGAAGTCGTCGAGCTGCGGAACCTTCTGATCCGCTTCGCTTCTGACGTGATTACGTGGATCAGGTTGCCGAGGGCGAAAACCGGAATTAAGAGCCTCAATAAAAGAGGCGGAGGGCTGATAGTCATGAAGGACATAGGTACTCTCGCCTACAAGTCGCAGCCATGTATAAACATGGTGGAGAAGACGCGCCTTTGGCGAGATCCGTCGTTTCGGCAGGCCCCGCATGCGCAGAATATACTCAGCGTTGATAAGGAACCCACGAGCGTAGTGCTGTTGCCCAGACAAAATCTATCCACGTTAACTTCGCTGTCAGGAAGGGAACATTAGATTGGATGCTCATAAACTTACAGCGTACTCAGTCAAGCAACATATGGCCATTAGTTGATCCTTGTACTTGGCTCTCTTTGGCTCTTGAGTTTCATACTTTATCGAGAGTTGCATATGTTCCCTGGCCTGTTCGAACAAATTCTCGGCTGTTCCTTGCCAATGTTGGGCCGCACCCGACGAGGGTGCGCTTGGATACGTAGACAAATGGATAGCAGAACAGGCCAACAACCCGTATAGATTGGCCTGACGCGCGTGGTTGATATTCTGGGAACCAAGTATCGTCAGGTCGCTGTAAGTAACCATTGCGGCCGGTACATTCAGAATCTTCCATGGAGACTTCTTGCCCAGAGGCATAGGCATTGTTTGTGGAATCACATTATCATGAAAATGTTTGAAGAGGAAGGGCGCCTCTGCCAATGAAGCGGCATGTAGCAAGGTGGAGGCCATCTCTGTCGGTTCAATCATCTGCAAGGAGCCGTCCCCATCTGGGGCGTCTGAGAATGACCCGACATTTGCCGGTCCATTGAAAGGCATAGGATCCATTTCGAAATCGGAACCGAGCGCGGCTAAGTTTGTCCCTAGATTCATGTCGCTTGACAACGGTGCAGGGTTCCAGCCAAGAGCATCTGGACTGCATCCAAGCAGATCGGACCAGTGGAGGAAATCGTCAAAATGGCACACTGGGTCTGAGATAAAAGATGCTTGAGAGAATGTCGTCAGCTGACCGATAGCTTCGGAGCTGTCCTCGATGTTTGGCGGGCTGACCGGCTGGATAAGGTGTGCCTCGGACTCGACTGAAATCGAATCCGGTTCATCTTGTTCGGCCTGCTGATGTACCACATTATCTTCCCTTTGGGACTCAGGAGTAGGCAGCCCGAGAACTGCAAACGGGCCGACGACGATATCGCCTGTGGGAGGGTTGTCGATGTCTCTGGTTCTGAGGTCAATCTCAGCCAACGACGCATTGATTGAACCTGAGACCAGTCGCGAGCTTAGTGAGGATGTCATGGACAATCTAGACTGCTCTGTATCTGCATTAGCTGGCGATCATTATGCATGGATGTGTCTAAAATGGCTAGGGCGCTCACCTGTGTAAAGATGCCGGCGGGTTTCACGTTGGTCCTCTGCACTGTCGCCATTATTGGAATTGTGCATCCAGCGTACCTTACTTGGAGGACGCTCGCATGTGACACCAAGTGATCGACATGTACGACACGACGGACGCTTTTGGTCACACTTGACATGCCGACGTCTGCAGGTGCGACATGCTCCTAGCGCGTGAGTCCGGCGGGGGAGGATGAAAGTTGAAGTTATCGGAGTCATTGCTATGCAGAAACGGACCGGGATAGATCCGCGTCAACCAAGCTGCGAACAACCGCTCGACAGGAGATTACATCTTTGAAGTGATTGCTTGCTAGTCTCTGGGACGGAGGAGGTCGAACGAGATCGGAAGCACTTGCCTATTTGGGAGTTGAAGGTGAAATCATGCATTTGCCCCGCATTTGATAGCCGAAACCTTAAAATATACCGCACGACAATTGGGGATTGCTTTGAAGTAGTGTTATCTTTCAATCCCTTGAAGACGGTGTAGGCCAATTTCCAGCTTGAGCGAAGTAGCTTCGGCAGCTTGTAAGAGTAATTTTGATTCTTCCGGGGCAGTACTCATGTTACTACAAGCAGAGATACAAGTATCATATCAACACCTGCTATAGTTATTATAAGTTATATTATAGTTTCCCCAGTCGCTTTGCCTCCTCCTCCACTGTATCAGGAATATCACTCTCCAGACTCCTGCCATTTGGACACCATCCCAGCAATAGTCTCGCCCGCTGACTGTTCTGGCGAGCATTCGTGCCCCATAGAACTCCACCGTGAGGAGATAACTTGTCCGCCTCCACGTGGTCGATCCCCAAGACTAAAGGTGACTCTATCAAACCAAGACGGTGGGCTGTTTGAGCAAGCAACTCGGAAATCCCCTTGAAACTCTGGGTGCTCACATCAGCTTTTTGACACACAACAACGACAAATTCTCCAGAACGGTCAACTTACCAACATAGAGTTGCCGGGGAAGTACAGCCCCTGCTGATTCCACAGGTTTTCGTCTGTCTCCTTCTGCACAGCCTTCTCAACCAGTTTTACGAACAGATCGCTGATATCGGAGATATGGACGTTGCTCCAAGTGCTCTCAGCCTTGCCCACCTGGATCGCTCGTCCGGTTTCAATGGCGACTCTGGCAAGCTCGGGGATCTGAATACTCCGCTGCTTGATGATGCCTCGGCCTTGTCCGTAAATGATTGGTGGGAACACAACGGCTGTCTTGGGGCCGGTCAGGTTAAGAATGAAGTTGTCAACTACACGGCGAGTCGCATTCTGGCGAATGATGTTGCGGACCGCGTCGGCATCGTCGACATCACTAAAGACTTTGTCGGTTCCTTCCCCGTAGGTGCTGTTGATGATATCGGCAATCGACAGGACGCTTGCGCCTGAAATCTGAAGCCAGTAGCCTTGTAAAACGTCAGCATCTGCTATTGTACATGAAAATGACTGTATGACCTTACCGGGGTCACGGCGTTTAGCTAGACCGCGAGCAATAGCCTTGACACTTTCAATGTGGCTAGAACTCGCGGTATCTGCAGACTATCAGCGGTACTTCATTCTCTCGTGCTCAACGACTTACGAACGACCACATCGGCCTGACGAGCTTCCTCTTCGATCAGGGAAGTGGAATCGAGATCACCGCAGATGACTTGGGCGTTTGGATAGGCTTGAGACAGAAGCGCGGCCTTTTTGGGGTCCCTCACAAGAGTAGAAATGCTATACTCGGGATGAGTGGACCGTAGTGCGTGAAGGACATCGCCTCCAATGTAACCAGAGGCACCTGTGCTATAGTCCTGTCAGTGACCGAGGCCATGTAGTATATCGTTGGAAAGCCGCCTACAGGAAAATGCGAGTGCGGGTAGCCATTTCGCGGGGACTGAAGTTCAGAAGGAAAGGTCAATACTGTAAGATTGGCAACTTCCAATCTATGACCTTCAGAATGATATATGTTGGTAGTGGGTGAATCGGACAATATGGTACTTCTGGAAAGTTGTTCCGCAAGTTCATCATGCGATGCATGCAACAATGCAGAAGGGGTAACTGATTCCGCTGATTGATCTCTCAACCGAAACTCCGAGGTAGGTTTGCGCGACAAATCAAAAAGCACATTGTAATTGGCATAATAGGAAATTCAGATGGCTCGGTGCAGGCGTTTAAGCAAGGCGGATAGGTCCCTTTTCCTCAAGTAATTTCTCCATTGCATACCCAACATATTTCCGTCTACATCTCTACACAGGATCATTGTTACGATGGCTCACCGAGGAGAGACTCTACACAACGAGGTGTCCTGCATAGCAGACCTCAAAGCTCTAGGAAGCAGTAAGCTTCCGAAAATGGTCAGAGGTGAGTAAGTCCAAATCTGTCGTGGATTCTGCAATCCCTTACAGTTTACAATAGACTACTACAATGAAGGCGCAATGGACCTAATAACGTAGGTATCATCGCCCTTGTCGAGAATCAATGAACTGAATATTCTTCAGATTACGGGAGAATGAAACCGCCTTCGACCGCTACAAGATCCTTCCTCGCGTTCTGAGAAATGTCGATCACGTCGATACCACCACGGAAATCCTAGGGACCAAGGTTTCCGTCCCGTTTGGATTCAGCCCTGCCGCGTCGCAAAAACTAGCTCATCCGGATGGAGAACTGGCGGCATCGCGGGCCGCAGCAAAGTATGGTATCTGCATGGGACTCTCGTCGTACTCGAATTACTCCCTGGAGGATGTGGCTGCGCAGGGGAGTGGGAACCCATACGTGATGCAGATGTGTGTGTTGAGGGATCGTTCAATTACAATCCAGCTGCTGGAACGGGCTGAAAGTATGTCTGTCGCGTTCCTGGCTCACGTTGATGTACCTACTAACATGCAGCAGAGGCGGGATACAAGGCATTATTCCTCTCCGTCGATGTTCCTGTGCTCGGAAAGAGACTCAACGAATATCGGAATAGCTATACTCTTCCGGAAGATATGAACTGGCCCAACATCCTCAGTTGCGGTGCTGATACGTCGAACCGTACTGACTATGGTAAGCAACCCTACGGGAGCTTTGAGGGTTATCGCAGGAAATAACCAAACCAGATCCAAGTCTCGACTGGGAAAGCACAATCCCATGGCTCAGGAATCACACATCGTTGCAGATATGGCTTAAAGGGGGTAAGCCGCATTCCATTCCCCAGCGCGCTCGGCTTTGTTTTGACTGACACGATCCGGAACAGTTTGCTCCCCCGCAGATGTCGAACTGGCAATTCATTACGGCGTCGACGGAATTGTAATATCCAACCACGGCGGTCGCCAGCTTGACGGAATTCCCGCTACGCTAGACGCGCTGAGACTATGTGCTCCTATCGCACGGGGGCGAATCCCACTTGCAATTGACGGCGGCATCCGGCGAGGATCGGATATCTTTAAGGCTCTTGCACTTGGGGCCAGTTACTGTTTCGTGGGGAGAATTCCCATTTGGGGCCTTGCCGTAAGTCTTGTTCTCTTTTTTTCTATACCCAGGTAGGCTAATTGCATTCAGTATAATGGGCAGGAGGGCGTCGAGTTGGCAATCAGGATTCTGCGGCAAGAATTAAAAATTACCATGGCACTTGCAGGGTGAGTCCTAAAATGCCTTGACTCCTGTCCTTGACTAATGATTCGCAGCTGCACGTCTATTAGCGACATTAACGAGAGCTATCTGTCGGTTCTGCGATCGAACGGGTAGTTGGCAAGGCTGTAGGGCAAGACGGCTGAGGTCATTGAGCATTCCTAGCATTCTCTTCTAGCGATACTTGGTAGAAACCTTTTAGAATAGGCGATTCCTCATGTCAACTATTCTTCGAGTCCTTTCTTGAATCTGCTTGTAGTTGTAGCTATATTTACTGTTGTCATAGTTTAGGCCGTACTGCTCCCAAGCACCCTGACTTAGTAAAATAGATATTCACTTATTTAGCTCCCGGACTTTGCTGCTCCAACTGTTTGGTATCAAGGAACAAAAAAGCCCTTGCCATCATGCGTAAACACTGAGCTGTGAGCTCTGATTGTCCCTCATGGATTGATTTCAATCACCAATCAGAATACAGAATACTGAATTTCGGAAAGACCTTCCTGAAAGGAATTTGCACACATCCGCCCCAATAATGCATCCGGCATCACATTAGGCATGTCGATCCGTAGAACCCCCACCGTCCTTGTCTGAATCAGATACGAGATTAGATAGGGATGAAGAAGGCTTATATTAGACTCTAAGGGCCATAGACTGTGAATCTCATCCGTCCATCATACAATTACACACGTACAGGCAATCAGAACTATGGCAGATCTCTTTGTCAATATTACGACCCCAAATAATCACGCTTACCGACAGCCAACCGGTCTATTCATCGCCGGCGAATTCGTGGCCGCGTCGAGCGGGCAAACCATCACTTCCATTGACCCTGCGTATGTGTGGAGCATCCTATTTGGGCACACTTATATCAGTCAATTAACGGACACATATTAGCACTGATAAACCCATCGCCACAGTCCACGCAGCCAGCGCCGAGGATGTAGATCGAGCTGTGAGGGCCGCCCGGGCTGCGCTGGTGCATCCATACTGGAAACAGCTTCCCGCTACCGATCGGGGGATACTGATGGCCAAGCTGGCCGATCTAATGGAACAAAAACGGGAGTTGCTAGCGTCGATCGATGCATGGGATAATGGTATGCCGCCTCTTCCAAGTTCATGGGTCCGCAGCTGACCGAAATAGGGAAGCCATACCATGTAGCGCTGGAAGAGGACCTCACCGAGGCTATTACAACCATCCGTTACTATAGTGGCTGGGCTGATAAGATCGCGGGTCAGACCATCAGCATAACATCTAACAAATTCGCATATACGGTTCGTCAGCCTGTTGGTGTCGTTGGGCAGATCATCCCATGGAACTACCCCTTGTCCATGGCTACCTGGAAACTAGGCCCTGCATTAGCCTGTGGGAACACTGTCGTTCTGAAACCCGCTGAACAGACACCTCTCAGCGCCCTTATTCTTGCGGAGCTGATTAAGGAGGTTGGATTCCCTCCTGGTGTTGTTAATATTGTCAATGGGTACGGGAAAGAAGCTGGTGCCGCCCTGGCATCTCATCCTCTAGTCGATAAGATTGCTTTCACCGGCTCAACACAAACAGCAAGAGAGATCATGAAGATGGCAGCGGGCACGTTGAAAGATATCACACTCGAGACTGGCGGAAAATCACCACTGCTTGTATTCCCAGACGCCGACATGGAGCAGGCCGTCAAATGGTCGCATTTCGGCATCATGTCAAACCAAGGCCAGATCTGCACAGCTACTTCCCGCATCTACGTCCATCAGGACGTCTTCCATTCCTTTCTGGAGAAGTTCAAACGGGCGGTCGAGGCCACGTCCAAGATCGGTGACCAGTGGGATGAATCTACGTTTCAGGGCCCACAGGTAACTCGAACACAGTATGAGCGTGTCCTCTCGCATGTTGAGATGGCCAAGAAGGAGGGTGCAAAAGTCGTCATTGGTGGAGGTCAATATATTCCCAGCGGAGACAGAAACATGAATGGATATTTTATCCAGCCTACTGTTTTCACAGGTACCGCAGACTCCATGGCTATCGTGCGCGAGGAGGTCTTTGGCCCCGTGGTGATTATCGAACCGTTTGCAACGGAAGAAGAAGCCATCCGCCGGGCCAACGATACCATATATGGCCTTGGGGCAGCCGTGTTTACAAAAGATCTGGAACGGGCGCATAGGGTTGCCGCAGAGATTGACTCGGGGATGGTCTGGATCAATAGTAGCCAAGACTGTGATCCTCGAGTGCCGTTTGGGGGCGTCAAACAGAGCGGCATTGGGCGGGAGCTTGGTGAGGCTGGTCTGGCAGCCTATAGTCGGATCAAGGCCGTACATGTCAACATGGGAAATAGGCTGTGACTGTTTCTTGAGTAGATTTGCACATGAATGACGAACCATCTTTTATCCACGACACAACCATAAAATGTTCCGATGCATCTATCTGTGTACCTGTCACCTCGCGCAATCTGAAAAGGAATGCCTATCTAGAGCTGGACGCACTGTTACTATAACTCAAAAGAACACAACTGACTTACGAGTTCCCCTTACAACATGAAGCTTCTTTCATCTGCATCTACAGAGTGCACAAAGCAATTGATCCAAGCTATGATTGCTTGATTATCTCAGATACCTAAAAGAGCCCCCTTGGCACCTTCCCCGCCCAAATGTATTCTGAGCAATCTGGTCTCATTGCAAGCATATATGACTCCATTCTCACCGAAGCAGAAATTCGCGACACCACCAGCAATTTTAATCGTGCCGATAAGCACACCGCTAGGATTCCATACTTCAATCCCATCCCCGCATCCAGCGTAGACATTGCCCCGGGTGTCGCATTTGATTCCGTCAGGCGCTTTTCCGGGGCATACGCGAATACACGCCGGTTTACCAACATCGGCTCGGTCCGCCCTTTAGGGTAGACAATATCAAATGCGTAGATATGCGAGGGTCCTGCCGGATCATTTGGCACTGATGGTGAGCCATGGATTGCACCTGTATCTGTCACATAGAGTGTGTCGAGGCCAGGCGAGAAGCAGAGACCGTTTGGCCGTACGAAGCCGTCTGCGACAGCACGAATCGATCCGTTACGAGGGTCATAACGGTAGACTTGGTTAGGGAGCTGCGGTTGAGGTCTGATGCCCTGGTGGAAGCCGTACTGAGGATCTGTAAACCAGATGGAGGAGTCTAGTGAATGGACGACCACGTCGTTGACTGAATTAAATGGAATCCCGTGGAAAGACCCGATCACGATCTCTGATGTAGTGACACTGCTGCCCTCGGATGGAACCGCGACTTTGATGATACCTGACGGATCACTCGGGTCTTTTGATCCTTGAGCACAAAAGAGGATGCCATCAGCGGAATTCACACCGCCATTCAGCATAGCACCGTCGATTCGTGGAAAGGTGATGTCTTCGATTTTGGCGACATTTGATTCCGTGGGAGATCTTTGATACGTATCATAAACTCGGGAGAGCTTGATATGTTTATCTCCTGTTGCTAGGTTTTGTTGGTTGGGAGGATTTGGAATCTGGTTTGAGGTCACGAAGATGCTGCGTGTCGGTGCATGATAAACGCAGGCTTCATGATAGAGAGGAAATCCTGCAGAACTCTCGTCTGCGAGTATTGAAACGTGTGGATCGGGGCCCAGTATTGCGTCAAACTCCTCCTGATGTTCCACGAAAGCAACCTGGTCCTGGCTGCCGGCCATCGTGAATGAGATGGTAGACAGTTGTGCTCCAAGCGGCTGTTCTTACGTGCCCAGTATTCAGTGTGAATAGTCAAAAGCTTGTCCGGGGCGACTCATATGATTTGAGCATTACGTAGGCTGAACCAGACGAGGCTTTTAATGGCGTTTTGAAATCTTTGTTAGAACTCAAAATCGAGTTGCAGCAGCCGACCATGCCAAATGGGAAGATTCAATTGCCGATACCAGGCCTCTTTGACTCCTGGGTGGGCTATTCGACGAAAAGGAAAAAGTGTTATTGGAGGAGCGGGGGATCCTGATCCTGAAGGATCAGACAGAACTTTGAATCCCCACGGGCGCGGGTATTCTCATGTTACCCCACACGGGAACACCCAAGGGCCCTAGTCGGCATCAGGGGACGAGCACCCTTGCCTGCAAGGGAGCATTCATAACTGTTAATTGTTGCCGGGGAAGGATTTGAGATATATCTAGCCATGGTCACATATGGAAAGAAGAAGATGTTTACCATTCCACCCCTACGCCCGATTACTACTTCTCTTCGATTCGCCTCATAGTCCATAGCATATCATTATGAAGCTACAGGGGAACACCCTACTTGGAGCCGTGACGGCATTGACTGCTCTTGGTTTCATGCAAATAGGGTCAGCAAGCATGCGCTCATTGCACTCATTGAAAAGCATTTAACTAGGCATAGATATGACAACGGGGTCATGGGAGGTCTCGTGAACCAAACTGCTTTCAATGACACCTTCGACTCGCCCGGCTCTACAATGATCGGCGTTATTGTTTCTTTGATGGAGATTGGCGCATTCATAGGAAGCGTGAGCTCTGCTTTCTTCGGGGAACGAATCGGACGAAGAAAAAGCATCGCCGTTGGGGTCGTCATTTTGATCCTGGGAGCCTTGTTGCAAGCTACCGCGTACCATCGCTCTCATCTCATCGTCGGCCGGGTTGTCTCAGGAGTTGGTCTTGGAATAGTCAACTCGACAGTACCCGTGATGCAGGTGGAATTCTCGCCGAAGGCTACTAGAGGCTTATACGTCTGCATGCAACTCTCTACACTGAATTTCGGAATCCTCCTGGCTTATTGGATTGACTATGGTTTCTCTACGCACATAGGCAGCTATGCCTGGCGAGTTCCTGTGATTCTCCAGTGTGCTTTCCTATTCCCAATGCTTCTCCTCGTATTCCTTGTGGATGAAACTCCCCGATGGCTCGCAGCCCACGACCGCCAAGATCAGGCCCTGCAGGTCCTCCACCGGCTCTATACTGACAACATGCACGAGAGCGATATTACGGCCCTACATGAGGATATTCTTCGCACAGTTGCTCTCGAAAAAGCAGTGGGTGCAGGGTCGTGGAAAGATCTTCTGCGCAATGATGAGATCCAGAGCCAGCGGCGGTTTCTCATTGCTTGCGCGATACAGATTTTCCAACAGCTTGGCGGAATCAATGCAATTATATACTACTCTGCGACCCTGTTCGAAAAGTCGGTGGGATTCTCGAAACACATGTCGGCTTTGATGTCGGGCTTCCTGCAGACATGGTTCTTCGTCGCCTCTTTTATCCCTTGGTTCCTGATTGACCGCGTGGGTCGACGCCCACTGCTCCTATCTATGATCTCGACCATGGCTGCTGTCATGGCTGTACAGAGCGCTCTGATTTACCAGGTGCAGAATAACACTAGTATTGCCCACACGAGTGGCATCGCGGCGGCGGCTATGCTGTTTATCTTCCAAGGAGCTTTCACCATCGGGTTTCAAGCTACTGTCTGGGTACGTTTGCTGGAGACGCGATATATACGTTATAAAAATTCGCAGCTGATATTTTTAGGTATATCCATCGGAGATATTACCTCTCCGTCTCCGACAGCGTGGCTCGTCAATCAGTACAGCGTCCAATTGGATTTGCAACTACCTTGTTGTGCAGATTACTCCACCCGCCATTAGCAATATAGGCTGGAAGACCTACATTATCTTTGCTGTACTAAACGCCCTCTGGGTTCCCATTATCTATTTCTTCTTCCCGGAGACAAAAGGTTAGGGCTACCCAAGAAAGTCGTATTGCCGCGTTAACAGATGCTAGGTCTCCAACTTGAGGAGGTCGACAGGTTATTCGCTGATGGGATTGAACAATTCACGGGTCAGTCGTATACAACCAAAGATTGCGTGCGTCACGTTGAGGAGGCGAGGACTTAGGATGTAATCGAGCGTCCACTTTAGTCAAACTTCCCCCTGACTGCCTCTGCTGTTTTAGTAATATGCGGGAATATAAACAGGATCAATCCTTCACAATTTTCATAGTAGGAGAAATTTGCACTAGGCTAGAAGCAGGACTCTTTGTTAGTAAGACACCTGGGCTGCCACAACCACTACCCACCGTGTACACAGCCCAACCGAGCTACTCTGAAGTCTCATGTGACCTATACCCCAATATATGACTGCTAAGCTAATTACTCAGTAGCTTAATCTCGCATGACCTATTTAATACTTTACATTCATAGCTAGAATTTATTTTACCTTCACTTATTTTATCTTTATATAATAATATTTTCTTTAAGCACTTAGGAACTGGTTTTTAAGCAGTTTTTAAGATGGAACCTACTAAGCTAAGTATTTATATTAATAATAACCTCTTTAGATGGGATAATACTAATGAAGAAATAGAGGTATAATACTTTCTATAAGAAGTAGTTTTTAATTACTTACTAACTAGTTAGGAACTAACCATACCTATCCCTCTTACTAATATAAAGAACTCTCCTCTTATAATACTTAAACTTAAGTATATTAATAACCTTCTAGAGTATCTAACTAGTTATATCTATAGATATACATATGTTATTACAGCAGAGGGATGCTTATAGACTAAAATAGAGCAGATATTATATAAAGTAAGTATTAGCTAGTACTTTATAAGTACTTACTAACTGCTTAGGTTCAATATACTAAGAAGCAGAGCTATAGATAGAAACATCCTATTTATTATCCTTTCTTATCATGCTAGGTTAAAAAATAGACCTAGAAATACTCTAGTATTCTTACATGTAAATATCTTAGCCTAACTCTTTTATCTTACTATCATACATCTGTTGATAAGGCTATCTAGGAAAAAATTTAGGAATCTTAGCATCAGATCTAAATTCTTAAGTTAGATATTTATAAGCGGAATGCCTATAGGTAATATTAATATAACTAGTTAAGAACTAGTTTCTAACTACTTATAGCTACTACTGCTTAAAGATTACTCTTTTTAATAAAGGTTATACTTATCTTAACTAGCTCCTAACATGCAAGCTAGTCTTTAAAAGATACTTATAAGTAGTATATTTAAGTACTTCCTAACTACTTCTAAACTAGTTACTAACTACTTAAGAATGTACATGGAGAACATCCCCCCTATATTAGATATATTAATAAAATATATAATTTCTTAATAAAGTATTATTAAGGGTAGTTTAAGGTTATATAGCTATTAATCTTAAATTTCTAGAGGATCTTTTTAATAAAGATATCTTACTATTATCTAAAGAGTATAGTTCCTTTAAACCACTATCATCCTAATAAAAGTACTATAGTAAGTAGTTCCTAAGTAGTTTATAAGTAGTTATTAATTATTTTAGATTATAATTATCTATAGGGCTCTAGACACTTAAAGCATACCCTCTATAATATTATCTTTAATACTTTAATCCCTGTGGATATCTCTTAATATCTATATATCTTATTTATATCTTATAGTATCTATAAACATCCTCCACCCCTCTAACTAAACTACCTGAACAGATTCTGCAAGTAGTTAAGCAGATTATCTAGTAAATTCAGGACCTAAGTCTAATAACTGGTAAGTACTTATTAACTAGTTATTAACTAGTTACTAACTAATTAATATAGTATAGTTCCTTTAAAACCCCCAGCTTAAAGCCTTCTATCAGTAGTATAATACTTCTATATTAGTAGAGATTCATTCTAGCTTCTGTAATAAGGATAAAATTACTATAATTATTTAGAAATAACAGCTTCTTTCATATCTAAATGGTCAAGATATTAACAGGCTTATATTTCTATAAAGGATAGATAAATATATAAAGGTAAGTACTTGCTAAGTAGTTAGGAACTAGTTATTATATACTTATCTAAAGTCTAGAATTATATTCAGGAGGTGTTCCATAACTCTTAAGGCACTATAATTTTATATACCTATAAAGAGTAGATTTAGCTTCTAGCTAAGCTCTCTTTATTTAAGGTAGATATATCTTTTAAGTATATTTACTTAAAGGATATAAATAAGGTGCTCTTTACCACCTTTCTACCTAACTAATATAAAAGTAAGTATTTATAAACCACTTAATAACTAGTTACTAAGTAGTCTTTAAATAGTTATTATATAACTTTAAGTCTTCACAAGTCTGGATTCTGCTAAAGGGTATTATCTACTCTTTAAAAGAGTCTTTACTATAATTTAGAAGGTTCTATATTAGCTAGTCTTATTTAACCCTATTCATGGCTCTGGAATATATGGTATTATTATTAATATAGACTCTAAATAATACTTAGGTAAGTAGTTATTAAACACTCTTAAAGTAGTTACTAACTACTTAAGGCCTTAGCTACTATCTCTCTAAGATTAATCCTTAACACCAAGATATAATATAGTAGTTAGAATATATTATTCTATTCTACTATATTTATTTTTAGTAATTAATTTTAAAGATACTTAGAACTAGAAGCTAGGGAACCCCTCTTTAGAGCTAAATAATAAGTCTATTAGACTATAAATTAGAGGCTAAGTATAATAAATTACTTAAGCTACTAATTAGTATTTAACCCCTTACTAAGTACTTTCTAAGCACTTACTAACTACTTATTACAGTATAAAAATAAGAATGTTAGGAACTAGGCACAGCAGAAAAAGAGTTTAGTAATTAAAGTAGGCTTAAATAAAGTATGCTCTAAGATTCAACCTTATTATTTTAATTTATTATATAATTATACTAATGTAGTTAAGTAATTATATTAAAAGTTATATACCTCTAGAAAGTACTTAATATTACTTAAGGCAGTGAAGAAGTAAGTACTTTCTAACCACTTCCTAAGTACTTATATTAAGAAATACTAATATTTATAGTTCTACTAAACTAGATAAGGATGATATCTTATAATATTAAAACTTCCAGTAGTTAAATATTTATTATTCTTATTAGATATTAAATATAGAGGCAAATTACCTATGGCACATAAGTTAAGAAAGTAAGTAAATATCTAACTAGTTACTAAGTAGTTACTAACTAGTTACTTTAGGAGGCTATAAGTACTAATACTTAATATCTATAAGTACTTCTAAAGCTTAAAGTACTTTATAATTACTTAGAGGTAGTAAAAGACTAATTATCTTAAGGTCTTTCTCTTAAAGAGAAGATAATGAGTATATATCCCTAAGTGCTTAGGAAGTACTTCTTTAGTACTTACTAACTAATTAGATCTATATAATCTTTATAAGTGCTTTATTATGTTATTTTAATAAATGCACTTAATTTAGAGCAGAGATATTAGGAACTTAAGCTTTAAAAAATAGAAATAGAACTAAAAAAATAGGAGGAGGAAATTTGCCTGAAATAACTTAAGAATAAGAAGTTAGAACTAGATCTTATAGAGTAGTGAATTTAAATGCAGGAGTAATAGTTAAGTAGTTAATAACTAGTTAGTAACTACTTAGTATTATTACTCTTTAAATATATATATACTTTAATAGACTTACTCTTAGAGTTTACTCTTACTTTACTTTCACTAATAATATAAAGTAGCTATTTTCTAATTAGTTTTTAACTACTTAGTCCTTCTCTATAATCTGCTATTCTTTTAAGAAGTGACCCCTAATACTTATTAACTATAAAAAATAAAAAAGACTATTAACTACTTATAAATTAATTATAAACTAGTTTAGGCCTTAGCATCCTATTCCTCCTCTATCTCCACATGCAATGCAGGACTTAGGCAGACTAAACCATAATTAAAGAGAATAAAATAATTATATTTATTCACATCCTTATAGTAGTTATTATGCTTTCTATAAGAGTTATAAGGCACCTTATACCTAAGCTTAGCAACTTTCTTACGCATATTAGTTACATGAACCTAAGCAGTTAGTAACTGGTTTCTAAGTACTTTAGAAGTAGTTTAGAACTACTTATAGAACTATCCTTCTTCATAGGCAGGGTAGGAGTAGAAGAACTAGTATTTACAGTGCTAGAAGCACTACCCTCTACTACCTTCTAGGGTTCTGCACTAGTAAAAAGACTTTTATAAAACTCTAAGCAGTTCCTAATCAGTTCCTAAGTACTTTATAATTAGTTAGTATCATCTACTAATTACTTTATTAATTTCCTTCTATTTTATATGTCCACTAACCAGCCCCTCTTCTAGTTTAATGCCATCATGGGTGAGCAAATAGGTATAGAGATTATTAGTTAAGGTGTATTTTTTCTAAGCAGTTCCTAACTAGTTAGTAAGTACTTTGATAGACTGTAAATATACTTACCTAAGCTCTAACATAGTTAGGGATATAATAGAACAGCTCCCTATAGTAGATCTATAGCTTATCATTGTTGTTCTATAAGTAGTTTAGAACTAGTTAGAAATCAGTTAGAAAGTGCTTATTAGAGTAACACAAAGACTCACTATTTTATAGTCAGGCAGGACTAGCTTTCTACTCTTAACTTTATATAGATACTATTAGTACTACTTCTTTAGTAAATTATTAGCTTTCTCTCATCCTAATCACTATTTAATTAGTTAGTAAGTAATAATATTAATATTTAGGGCAAGAGTCGCCATGATGGCGATAGTTAATAGTAAAGGTAAGTAAGGGAAAAGTATAAAGGTTTTAAAAGGGGTGGTATGAGTTAAAAATAAAATTCTATAGTTATGTGAGAGTCACATAACTACTAAGAGCTTACTAAGCAGTTTCGACACGCCGGAGTGAATATCTTGACCAGAGCCAATCTGTAACCACCTACCCCTGTGGTGCAATTCCGCCGCCGGGAGAATCGCGGCGAGAATCAAGGCCGATTCCGATGTCTTGGCACCGGAGGACCTGAAGGGGCGGACTTGTTACTGTTTTGGGCTGATCCCGAGCCGAGGTATCTTCAACATCTTTTCCCAACACAACCTCCTCTCGTAGATGATTGGTTGAATTGCCAGTTTCGCTGGGATTTTTCTAAGAATTCAAGATCACAAATCGGATAAGATATGGGTCGATGAAAATTCACATCATTGAAGATATCTTCTTCCTCTTTCCTTTGCTCTTCTACCCGTATATATGTTTAACCTTTAATCTGCGCATTGTCACATCAAAAAGTGTAATCACTGGAGGGAGTTATATAAGATGGAATCCATACTATCATTAGCCAGCAAGCTGTGGCAGTCCCTCACATTCTGGAAAGCCGTCGCAATCGGCTTCGCATTGCTGAACCTCAAAACCCTGCCTTTCGTGTGGCATGTAAGACACTCACACCACCCTCTTGTTTCTGCATATACTAAAAAGACCCAGATCCGCGTCTACCGCTACTTCTTCCAAAATGGCTACCTCATGACCCCCGCCGTCGAGCAATCGCCAAAGCCCAGCGGCGACCTCATAAAACCAAAAAGCATCTTCACCCGCGCCCCAATCATGGAAATCGACATGAACATGCATAAGTCCAACTCGACGTACTTCTCCGACCTGGACGTCTCCCGAACAGCCCTCATGAGTTCCCTGGTAATGAAGGGCTCCGCATTCCTCGAGAAGCGCCTCCAGAAGCAGGGCAAGCGCGGCCCGCTCCACTTCGTTCTTGGCGGTGTCTACACGAGCTTCAAGCGCGAGATTCCGGCGTACATGAAGTATGAGGTTCAGTCGCATATTGCCTCCTATGATGAGAAGTGGATATATATTGTCACGTACTTCTTGCAGCCGCGCAAGGGAAAGAAGGCGTCGGCGGATACGGACGAGGTACGAAGGAAGAGGCTGCTTGCTGTTTCGATTAGCAAGTATGTGCTCAAGAAGGGGAGGTATACTGTTCCTCCTCATGATGCGTTTGAGGCGGCTGGGTATAGGCCTTTGAGTGCGCCTGCGGCAAATGGTACTGCTAATGGCACTGCGAGTGAGAATGGGTCGCTCACTCAGCGCAAGGAGATCAAGTCTGGCCGTGCTTGGGATGACAGCAGTGAGTGGGAGCAATTACATAACGAGCTTCGCAAAGGGAAGGAAATGGTTCAGCCGTTTGTGGACCAGGAGGAGAAGCTGTTGGATGATTACATGGAGAAGATGAAACTCCCTGCGTTTGCATAGACTGTGATCAACGGTCGAGATACAGTGAGCGTTGAATTTATGTTCCTTGGGACAGGATGTTATAGATTGTGTACCATATTTTGCATAGATATAGATCTCCTTTGACGAGTCTAATGGTTAAACTTGATTACAATTACATCCTTGGAAGTGCACCTACAAAATATATCTTATCAAAAAGGCAACCAAAAATCCTGGCCTCTGAAAACAACTCAAGCCTACTAAAAAAGAGCCGTCCCTGAAAGCAACACAAAAGGGACACATTGAAGAATCCTATATTAGGATATTGAATCACTATATTCTGGATATTACCTGTTTGTTGCTGTCTCTGCAGTCCTGGTGGAATGCGCAGCATGACTTGGGAAGCATAGAGTGCTTCATTTGCTATTGATTTAGTTGCAGACACCGCCAGCCTGATGGGCAGCCGTGGCAACATGCTGCCTCTAAAACGAGACTGAGATTAAAAAAGGTGTGGATCTCTCATACATCAAAACGCTTTGTAGACACCGGCAGATGGGTTATCATTAGTTAGATCGGTCTCTGACCAGCAGGACCTCATCAGCTGCTCTATACTATATCTCTAGACGTTGAACCACCCCAGGATGCGCCCTCTCTCACGCATTTACCCATTGTCTCAGCCTCCACTTTCTCCAGCTACACCACTTGGAATATTCCGCCATCAGATCCACCCCCGAAGCGATGGCGAGTCGCTGTCCTTCGCTCAGCGGAACATACTCTTCGCCGTAATAAGCTTGCCAGAGCCTCACCGCGTCCTCGGCGTCCTGTTTTCGTTTGTCGAGACAGGAACGCATACTGGAGTAATGGACCTTGTAGGCAAGAAGGTCCAACGGGTCCACAAAAGGCAGATGGTCTGGGCCCACGTCTTCCAGCGCCATTGCCTGCGCAGGCAGTTAGGGTGGCTGTCGTCGATCGCGTTAGTTTGACTTCATCTATCTGACCGGGGCACGCAAAAGTACCAAATAGCCTGGAATAATGTCCACCTGCACTAGGTACGAACATTTGGCCTTATGTCTGTTCTTAAGCTCGTCTGTATGTTTGTATTTGAAGAACATAGGCTCTGCGCGCTCCTTGAACAGACCTGAAAACCGGGAGACCAACTCCTTGCGCATCAATTGGTAGTTAATGGGACGGTCAGGCCTGAAAAGTAGAACATCCACATCCTGTATGCCCTCATTAGCACAATTTGGTAGAGCTGGTTCTTCAGTCCACTCACGTGGGTTCGCCGGTAGTCTGTCAAATGATGTCGGACTGCCATCCCTCCGACAATTGCAACCTTAGCTCCCTGCAGCTCTGGCATTGTCTGGAGGCACTGAATGAGCGTCTCTGCTGCATTTTTGAGTGCGGCGTCAAGGACATCGCCAGGCAAGTATGTTGTATTCATCTTGAGAGTTGTTTGTTTCCGGGATACTGCTTGTAAAGCAAGACTCAGAGACGGGATAAAATGAAGTTGATACTGACCGAGCCTGTGAAGAGGGAAATGGACACTGTTATTAATGGCCATCCGTCTAGTTCAAGAACAACTACATCTTGTGATGGGTGTTCATTTTGAAACAATATTTTTTTAATCCTTTATTAACGTTATATAGAGCATACCGTTTGTCTTAGTTATGGTGGACATGGGGAAGTGTTGTGAACCATCCTGATACAAGACATTATTGAAAGCATTCATTATGCCACAATCACTGAAGTTGGTGTCAGGCGAAACTTCTCTTAACATCACGGAACAAGGTAAAAAACATCATTGATTGACTTAAGGGATAAGCAAGTTGAACATACATATGCTCAGGATGTGGAAATCAGCAATAATCAGAAGATAAGTAAAGGACAGAAACAAAACAGCTGCAAAGCTCATTCATCATTTCAATCACGCATTCTGCTCCTCTTTCACCTCTTCTTCGTTCTTCCTCGTCTGCTCCTCCTCCTCCTTCTTCTTCTTTCTCCTCTCCTCTTCCTCCTCCTCCCACTGTTTAAGCTCTTCACGCCATCCAGGGGGCATTCTATGTTCTGACGGCCAGGGACTTTTTTCAGGCACCTCACCTGACTTCCTCATCTCCTCGCCAAACCTGTCATCGGCATCCCCATGCGTTCTTTCCCGTAGATTTTCGGTCAGAATTTTGAACCAGCTGCGAGTACGAGGCGGAAGGTCGCTTAGTGTAAAGAGGCGGTGTTTCTTCAGCACTACCTGCATGTCTATCAGCAAATAATCCTAGTAGCTCCCTCTGTAAGTCTCTTCCGGATAATTGTCCCGGAAGTACAGAAGGGTTAGTGACTCGGCGTAGCGCGCGGGTGAGAGGATCTTGACTGGATAATCCGCCTCAACCATGTGGCCTAGCTGGAATCCTCTAGGAACTTCTGGAAGACGCTCGTCATTGATCGTCCAGTAGTCTGGGTCATTTGGAGTAGGTGGGCTGAGTGGGATCTCAGGCGCTCCCCACAGCAGCTCAGACTTCTTATAGAGTTCCAGTGTGTGCCATTCACGGGGATTGGGCCATATAACTTAGGTTTATAGTAGCACTTGGGTCCATGGTCCACGATATTGAAGTGCGCGTATGGGATCCCATGGGGGGACTTGGGCTAGTCGAAGCTGCAATACTTCCCCAGCTGGCAGGGAGGAAAGCCGGCTTCCACCAGGAGGTCGTGTGCTTTGTCGATATGTTCATTGGGGATGACGAAGTAGATGCCCTATTGCAGTTGTTGTCTAGTGGTTAGCTCCTCCGACTGTAGTTTGTGGTGCCTCAGGGAAATTGGGGGACTTACGTCTGCCACAATGGGAATAAGAAACATATTCATCACAAGCTCTCCCCAGAGCACATTAGGAATCCCATGGGCATCCAGAAAGCGAGAGATCTTGCATGGGTAATTCCGCCATATCATGTAGATGCGGTCCTCTTTGCGGTATCGGAGGTCAGCCATCTTGAGCGTCCGAACCAGTTGTTCATGATGTTGAGACCAACGTGTCCTGGGGGACAAATGTCGCTATATATACGAAGACTTGAACCTTAGTCTCGTGTATTGACATTTGATGCACAATGATCTTCCGGACAAGAAGCAAGGGAATGTCTGTTTCAAGTTGGAGTAAAGGACCGGCTCCTTCAATCAATCCTCGAGGCGATTTCCTTCAGATCGATATCTCGAAACCATGGTTTACAAGCCAAGACCGTCTGGAAAATATGAAAAAGTGCTATAATTAGAAGATTCCTCAACCGTCAAGTCTTACTGTGTATACTCGATAACAAAGAAACGCCACGGCTGAGAAAACCACCCACTTTGATAAAGTTAAGAGAACTCTCCGCGCTTTGTCAGGGATCCGGCCGAAGAAAAAAAGGAGGATCAAACCTCGAAGAGAACGTGATGTAGGGCCATATCGTTCTTTGTCTTCAGATCAAGCGAGCTCCTCGAGAGCGGCCCGCCACTCGATGAGAAGGACCAGAAGATATAACCTTTCTTTATCCTCCTCCTTAATAACCGGGTTAAAGTTCGGCAAGGCCTTAGAAAAGTTTGACAAAGACTGGGAGGTCCTAGAATAACCTCAGAACCTTGCTGAACTGCATGCCACCTAATATCGGTGGGTGACTGAATGAATATCAGCAAAAAGTTCCAACCCCCCAAAATGCCTATTTCTTTGCCTATAACAGACCAGAGCGTAAACACTGGTTTCATGAGAGTTGAGAACTTAATGCCACAGTTATTGGCGTGTGATCTCTTTCTTTCTCATGTACAATGACCCTCAGGTAAGTCTACCACGGGCCACGGCAGCATGGCTGATTTTTTCTAATGAAAGAAATGGCTCGTTGAACCCGATTTGTGTCTGACTGGAGACTTACGGTCCTCACATTCAGCTGCACTCTGGAGCGGCGTGCGCCCCTCTGGGCTACTCCAATCTCCGGAAGGAATTCTAAAACTTCATACATATTAGGCGTGAAGCCTTGCAAAGCCCCTGTTCAAGAGGCGCCAATATCGTGAGGCATCGTCTTGCATACACCTGCGACCAAATCCATCGTCTTAGCATGGAACAAGAGGAGCCTACCTTTCACAATTTCGCCGAGACTTCTTTTACGCCCCTGGGGTGATCATTTTGTTACCAGCGTTGGCATGTTTGGAGGGACCTTAGCCGCTCCGTCATAGATAAAGACACGAGTGGAGCTGGCATATACAATGTCCCAAATGTCATTTAAAATGAGCCACTACACAATAGGTTCCCAGTGGCTGAACTTCGTTTGCATTCTCGTATGCACCTATCTCGGGTCTTCACAATCTGTATTGCAATGACCACCCTGAATCTCGAAGTTATCCAACAATGATACGTTTGTGTCCGAAGCTCGCTGTCCCAATGCTATATCGCTAGCTATTAGGAGGATTTAAGTATCCGTGCTCTATCTAGCCCAAGCCGGACATAAGTACCTCTCTTTCTTCTACGGCCTATCCCAGTGTTCTGGATAATCATGTACAATATTGGCTTTCCCTGTGTAGTTTGTCTTGCTCACTGAGACTTAGATAGAAAACTGCTGGGCATGACGAAGTCCACCGTCCGTCATCTCATCTCTCCGGCTGAGTACCAATCGGCACAATGGCTGCAGTCTCACAATTGCCCACTCCCGCATTACTTTTAATCGTATGTCGACTGGCGATCGAATTCCTCCCGAGCGAATCTGCAGGCGTATAGCTTGGAGGACGTCATTACTACCGTCAAAATATCAGCACTAGAGATGGAGCTTCACGGCCCTGTTCCAGTATAGACAATTCATCTGGACCATGAGCTGTCGAAGCTATCTGCAGGTCATTCAACCGATTGACATTGTTGGCATGCCTGAAACCCTCTTACAATGGCTATTCCTGAGATTTCCTTCTAATGCAATCGAACTTTGAAATCTAGATCGTCGGTATCATGGGTCAGTGTCGATACAAGAATGTATTGATCGACTGTTGGCTCATATCCTAATTTGGGTTTATGCTCGATACTCACACTCCCATGTTGTTTGACTTGAACCGTATCAGGATGCTCCTCTTGGGAAAAAGGAAGTGTTCTGTAGCTAATTGCTACCATGGGTCGCCTGAACGATGTGTTGCTTTGACCAAGGCCCCGAGACTTGTTCTTTTCGGCAGTTGAGGTTTTTGAAAGACATATCTTCTTTAGTTGTCTTTCCCTCTTTCCTTGGCTGAACAAAGCACATAATGCATTGTCTAGAATGTTTCATTATCGACTCTCTGTCTCTGGTACCTGTTAACCATCGTAATGCCCTTGGCAAAGGACTTGTAAGAAACTCCATATCCATTGTCTCTAAGCCTTTGTTCTGCAGAGAAACATCTCACTTCACCATGGGTCCATCAGAGATTGTCTTTCACAATAGTGAATATTGTCTCTCTGATCTGGTTCATTTGATGCCTCTTTGTTCATGTCTGGATTCAAATATCGTAAAAAATCCCGGAGACTACAGCTTCATCAACACCATCAAGTGCTACTCCAAGTTGAAGCAACACATCTCACTCCTCAGACAAACTTCCAATCAACGCTTCAACAATGTACGGACTCCTTGCCTTCATCACATTACCTTGGGTAATCGCTCACCCTCGGCTGTTCATGGTAGCAGCAGCAGCCGCTGCATACTTCATGCACTCGACCGGCCGGACCCTTCACGACGTACATGCGGACATAACCTCCCTGGTAGCTAGCATTCTACCCGAAGACCTTCGAAGAGATGACGTTCTCTACGACCGAATGACGGTCGTCTTTCTTCATCTGTTTGTCTTCCGGTATTTGCGTCTCATCGTCCATCTTATCTCCTTCTGGCTCTTCTACCGTCCTACCCCTGTCCCCAGAAACCCTACCCTTTCCCCATCTGACTGCACAATCATCCTCCCCACCGTTGATCCCGAGAACAGAGACTTTGACGAGTGTATCACCTCATGCCTTCGGAACAAACCAGGTGCAATCATCATTGTCACTGTTGGACCCCAACTGACGAAACTGACCAAAGACATTATCGCCCCCTACAAGCGGAGATTCCCGAATACCAAAATCTCCGTTAGAACCGCCGACGAAGCGAACAAGCGCCGGCAGGTCGCGCACGGCCTTCGGTATGTGAAGACCAAAATCACCGTCCTGCTCGATGACCATGTCTTCTGGCCCACCGAACGCTTCCTCCCGACCATCCTGGCGCCGTTCGAAGACCCAAAGGTGGGCATGGTCGGAACGAACAAGCGAGTCCGTCGTACGGACACGGGGTTCAACATCAGATCGTTCTGGAACATGCTTGGTGCGCTATACCTGGAACGACACAACTTCGAGATCCGTGCCACTAACGCGATTGATGGCGGCGTATTCGTCGTATCTGGCCGCACATCTGCGCATCGGTCCGAGATCCTCAAGGATCCCGAGTTCATCGCCGGATTCACGGACGAGAGATTCTTCTTCGGCTTGTTCGGTCCTCTGAACGCTGACGACGACAATTTCATCACCCGCTGGGATGTCCGGCACGGGTGGAAGGTCAAGATCCAGTACTGCCCCGACGCAATGATCGAGACGACCCTGGGTACGTATCCCAAGTTCCTCTCTCAGTGCCTGCGCTGGGTCAGAACGACCTGGCGCAGTAACTCGGCCAGCTTGTTCACTGACAGGACGGTCTGGTATACCCAGCCGTGGTGCGTGTACGCCGTCTACTGGACCTCGTTCGTCAATTTTGCCCTGTTCTACGACGGTGCGCTGGCTTATACCCTGCTCAGAAGCCCGCTCGGAACCGCGGATAACATGAAATATCTCGCGGCCTGGATCTTCTGCACCAAGATGGTCAAGCTAACGCCGTACTTTCTCCGCGAGCCCCAGGACCTCGTCATGCTGCCGGGATATTTTGTCTTTGCCTACTTCCACAGCTTGATTAAGTTGTATGCTGGGCTGACCTTTTGGGAGACTAACTGGGGAGGCAGGAACCTGTCGGCGATCAATAACCAACCTGGTGGCGGCAACGATGACGACGACGACGACGCTAACGACAGCAGCGACGATAGTGTCGACGGCGGCGTGCAGCTTCCGCCTACTCCGCCTTCATCACGCCGGAGAAACGCAGCCGGCGATTCCAGCTCGGGTAGTGGAGGTAATGCTTCGGGATCTAATCGCGTGCAGTATAGGACTTCTACCGTCGGCACCAAGGCACCACGGAAAACGCAGGCTCAACCGATGCCGAGATTGTCGTCCTCAAGCGCATCGAGCACCTCGAGCGGCACCTCGTCAAAATGGCAGCGGTGTCCCGGTTGTCGGAAGTTACACTCAGATTCTGGCAGTGCGACAGGAGGATGCACAGTCAGGGATGTATGGGGTCGATAACGAGGGGCTGACAGGAAGCTGGTGAGTCACTCAGTCCTCTCTTAACCGGAAAATGGCGCCATCTTGCTTTATTGTTGTTTTTAGCATGGAGTCACAAGAGGGTTGCATGATAGGTAAACTTGATATTTCCGCTTTTTCTTTAATGTGCATCAGCAATTGAGTGTCGCCGTCCCACCTAGAACGAAGATCCTCAGGCTAGGTATCAGCAGAAAATGTTGACATCGTAGGTGTGAAACTGGAAGCAAGACAATATGACCGCTCTAACCAGAGCCCTGTAAACAAACATGAAGACCTTAGGAGATGGATGGGAAAAATCCGCACAACTCCAGACAGGCGTGAGGAATCAATCCAATCGGCGCTGGTATCATCTCGCCTCTCTGCATTTAGCCGGGAATGAAGCTGCACTCTCATCCTTGTGTCAGTTTTGCCACCAATCACGGCGGATATGCGGGATAGCAGCAGTCTTCTCCGCATAAAACTCATTTAGTTCTGCGGGGGACCCCGTATTGCCCAGAAGCTAATCTGAAGAACAGTGTAGGCCCCGACGACGGTACCTTCTTCCTCGTGGATCAAGCCAGCACGGACAGGCGGACCGGAAGCCGCGTAATTTTGCGATGTGGGTGTCTCATCTAGTCAATTCCCGGCGGAGAGTGATCGGTCCATTGCATATATACACTGCGGTCTCTCCGCTATAATGCAATGTCAAGGGGTCGAGCTATCACCATCATGAAATACTGGCTCCAACAGCTAGGGCTGACGGTGCTCTGCGCATTGAGTGCCGCCGCACGCACTGCCGAACATGCATACGAGTTCAAATCCGTTGCGATAACTGGAGGAGGCTACATCACTGGCATTGTGGGCCACCCGACCGAAAAGAACCTGCTCTACGCCCGTACCGACATCGGTAGCACCTATCGCTGGGAACAGGGGCTGAACAAATGGATTCCACTCACCGATTTCCTCGGCCCCGAGGACGAGAATCTGCTTGGGACGGAAAGCGTGGCTATGGATCCGACTGATCCCAACCGCTTATATCTAGCGCAGGGCCGGTACCTGAGCTCCAATAACTCGGCCTTTTTCGTGTCGGACGACCGAGGAGCGACGTTTACGCGATACCGCGCGCCCTTCCCGATGGGTGCGAATGAGTTGGGGAGGAATAATGGGGAGAGACTGGCGGTTAACCCGTTCAAGCCGAATGAGCTGTGGATGGGGACTCGTAACGCGGGGTTGATGAGGAGTAGTGATCGCGCGAAGACGTGGACGAATGTGACGAACTTCCCTGATGCGGCGGCCAACGGGATTGGAATCACGTTCGTTATTTTCGATCCAAAGCATGAAGGGGCTATCTATGTAGGTGCTTCCATTCCCGGCGGATTGTACTATACGACCGATGGAGGAGAGAACTGGAAGTCCTTGCCAGGGCAGCCAATGCAGTGGGATCCGTCTTTGCTGGTCTATCCCAACGAGACGCAGCCGCAGAGCGCAGGGCCCCAGCCGATGAAGGCGGTATTGGCATCTAACGGCGTGTTGTACGTCACTTATGCGGATTACCCTGGACCATGGGGAGTGGCCTATGGCGCGGTGCATGTCTACAACACGACAGCATCCACCTGGATGGACATAACACCTAATGCTAACAATACATCCCCCAAACCGTATACCCCCCAGGCCTTCCCGGCAGGCGGATACTGCGGTCTGAGCGTTGCAGCGGACGACCCAGATACTGTCGTCGTGGTCTCTCTCGACCGCGATCCGGGCCCAGCGCTGGATAGCATGTACCTCTCCCGCGACGGAGGCAAGAGCTGGAAGGACGTCTCGCAGCTCTCCACTCCACCAGGGAGCGGAGGGTACTGGGGCCATCCCATCGCCGAAGCAGCGCTCGCCAACGGAACAAAAGTCCCCTGGCTGAGCTTCAACTGGGGACCTCAGTGGGGCGGATACGGCGCGCCCTCCCCCGTCAAGGGATTGACCAAGGTCGGCTGGTGGATGACCGCCGTGCTCATCGACCCGAGCAATCCCGACCATGTCCTGTATGGCACCGGCGCAACGATCTGGGCGACTGATACCATAGCCCAGGCTGACAAGAATTCCACGCCGAAATGGTATATCCAGGCACAAGGGATCGAGGAAACCGTCACCCTGGCAATGATCAGCCCACGGGAGGGCGCCCATCTCCTCAGCGGAGCGGGTGATATCAACGGATTCCGGCACGATGATCTCGACACCCCGCAGCCCATGTTCGGCCTCCCTGTGTTCTCGAATCTGAATACCCTCGACTGGGCGGGCCAGCGACCGGAGGTGATTGTGCGCGGTGGGCCATGCGGGCACCAGTATCCAGATGGATGCGGCCAGGCGGCTTATTCGACGGATGGAGGGAGCGAGTGGACCAAGTTCCAGACATGCATCAAGGGTGTGAACACGAGCTCCACCAACCCAGGCGTTATGGCTATCGATGCTTCTGGAAAGTACGTCGTCTGGACGTCGGCCATGTACGTCGTCTCGCCGTCTGTGCAGGCTGTTACTCCTGCAGCGAACGATTCCGGTCCGTACGCCTCGAACGACTGGGGCAAGACCTGGGCATCGCCCCGCGGGCTGACGGTGCAGACCCCATACATTAGCGCCGATCGTGTACAGCCGAAGACATTCTACGCTTTCTCTGGCGGTGTTTGGTATGTCAGCACGGACGGCGGCCTCTCATATGATGCTTTTAACGCAACAAAACTGGGATTGCCTGCCCACACCGGCGCTGTCCCCGTTGTGAGCGTCGACAGGGCAGGCGAGATCTGGCTCGCCCTCGGTAGCAATGGGGTCTATCATACTACCGACTTTGGGAAGCGCTGGAAACGCATCACGCACAAGGGAACAGTCGCCGACTTGATCACTGTGGGTGCAGCAACCCATGGGTCTAAGAAGCCGGCACTGTTCATTAGAGGCTCACAAGGTGATCCGAAGAAGAGTAATTATGGGATCTATCGGTCGGATGATAACGGGTCTACTTGGGACCGGGTTGATGATGATACACATCGTTATGGAGGGTTCAATCTCATCCAGGGAGACCCTCGAGTGTATGGGCGGGTGTATCTCGGTACAGGCGGTCGTGGCCTTCTCTACGCAGATATTGTACCGGAGCGATCGGACAAGGAGGGGAATGTACTGGGGACTGGAGGTATTTGATTAGCCTTGTTAGACAATGCTCTAAATGACATTAAACTCCTTTCTTCTTTCTCCCAGACTGATATCCGCCATGTCAAGGAAAACGTCCCTGTAGGTAAAAGCCTTGACCAGGGCATAGCTCGTAGTAACTATAGGCCCAACTCGTAAATGCGCAGAGGACGTCCCATTAAGGAACCTGAGGTCTCCGGTGAGGAAATCCACCTCGACGGTCTGAAACTGACAGTGTCTTGCGAGTGATGCTTTCATCTCCGTGTCCACCCGCCCAACGTTGAACGGGCAGAGGATTCTCCAGTTGTTTTTGAGTGTTCCTTGAATGAGGTCGATAATCCTTTGCTTCCCTTCTTCAAAGCCGACCACCAGGCCATGGTCGGGCGACATCGGAAACAGCGACGGTTGAAAACACAGATCGACGTTGACCATCTCTACGAACATGTCTGTAATGCCCCGTTCGTGGAGAAGGCCGGCGAGGTCATCCTTTGCTGGGCCGAGGTGACTTGGGTGATCGTCCGCGGCCAGTAGCATGACGCGGAGCAGATTGACTGCTAGTGAGGTTAGTGACGGCTTTATTTGCTTTCGCAATCGACTCTCGTATATCCCGTAGTACCCCGTAGCCGTTGCTGCACATATTGTGGTAAGGTTGGTTTGGGGTGGGGGAGCTGCGCGGTTTGTTTCATTGTAAGGTATATAAAGGACGCTTGTCTAGGTCTGCCGTATCACCGTAGTAGGATGCATTGAGTTCGCCATCGTCTCCTTTGCGCCGCTGCTGTTTCTCCCAGATACGGATTTTTGTCATCGTTTCGTCCTCGTGGACTGGCGAGAGTTTGCCTTGGTGGATTGTGTTGCCTCCCGGATAATGAGGCTTTTGAGCGATATACGGCAGGAATGGGACGCGTTCAGGAAACTCATGTGCTCTCAGAATTGCACTTATATCGTCTTTAAATAGCTCTCTAGAGCCAGCCAACGTCAACGGGTACAGCCAGAAGTTCGGCAAATCCGTGGAGCGATAAGGGTCACAGCTCGTGAGCTATTGTTCAATCTCCATCGTCCCCTCACTCCCCTCACTCCCCTCGGACTCTCGTAAAAGAGGGAGCAAATGCGAGAAGTGTGGGCGATATATTTCGCTAAGGATCGTCCAGTGACGAGGTGGGGAATGACGATGATGAAGGAAGTGCAGCTCATGTAGGTACTTAAGTAGCGACCAGCGAGCAACAATTGAGACAGAAGGGAACGTATAAAAAACAGTGAATGGAGAAAGGTAGTATACTATGTCATCCTTTCATATATGATTGATGTCTGACTCCCAGAAGAGTATAGTATGACTTAGACTACCACTGGTGAATACCACCTGCAGTGGTCTCTATTAATCTTCACAATCATATTTATGATTCATTGCTTGTCAACGCTGCTTTCAATAAATAGGGAGCCTCATTTAATCTTCAGAATTCCATGTATATTCCCCGCCTTCTGTCTGTGCAGACTAGGAGTAGTGATAGATTATATTCCTTGCTTTCAAGTCAAACTTCCCTATATATGGAAGAAATGCTCGACAATGCGTACATATGCTCCGTGCTCGCATGCATCCTGAGCAGCATATTGATTGAACTGGTATATAACTTTCACCCGGCGCCTGAGCCATAACAGCACCCACAACCCATCCCCCATGACTTCCCAGGCTTAAATCCCTTCCGTATGTTCCATTGTCGGCTTCTAGCAGTAGTCACGAACACAAGCAGCGTACTTGGCGTTGTAGCATGCAATATAGCAGCTAGGGCTCGCAGAGCAAGACTGGGAGCAGGAGCTCGACGCCACAGAGGCACAGCTGCTCTTGCACGAACCTGGGAGAGTGCTGTCAGCTCTATACTACAGACATAGAAGTCGACGTGGCAGTCGTGACTAAGATTGAGGCTGCTTACGTTCGACAAGTTCCGGTTCAGCGACAGGAGAAGCCGCAACAACGGCTGCAAGAGCGAGAGCAAGCAGAGCGGTGATCTTCATGTTGTAGAGAGATTGGATTTGAGCTTCCGAGGAGAGAGTCTTCTTTTTGCTGGGTACAGTTGCGTAGATCTTGAAATGCTGTTGATGGAAGATGTCTTTCCTGCTGGCTGTTGTGCTCGTTTTATATCTTTGGTCCAAATCTCCTTGACTCCTGAGAAGACGAGAGACGCTCATTGCTGACGGCAACCCGGGCCGATACTGAAGAGCAGAGATGGTGAGGATAAAGTAGGATAGTATGTATCCCCGCTGAGGATTCGCTATGCAAGCTCCTCACATGAGCGAATACGAGATATCAACTTAGTATTGGCCTCACCTCTCGCCTCCTCAGAGTAAGTCTCGTATCCAGAACTGAACGATATACGCCAAGGAAGCTCTATGCCAAATCTAAGACGGAACACAGCTGCATGCTCGTATTCATTGAGATATGACAATATACTTGAATGGCTATCAGGTTTGACTCGGGTAATCGAATCTGGACGCAAATCAATTTGCCTAAACAAGAACTGAGAGAAGACACTGCCACTTGTGTTTCAACATCGATACGGACACCAGAGACTGACAAGAGACCCAGTGATAACCAGTGATATGTCAGCGCTAGACATCTCCGAAGCAGAGGCCACAGGAAAGATGATTTCTAAAACTATCACGCAGACAAGGGTTAAACTCAGATGTGATACGGCTTGAGTGCCTCCGAATCATCGAAGCCAATGGAGTAGAGCCCTGCTGCTTGACAAGATCACAGTACTTCTGGAGGCGGCAGTGCATGGCGGTATAGCGGTGTTTTTTGAGCGTCATCCGACCATCGGCCAAGGTCCTTAATTGCAGCTGTACTTGTAGTTTTGCCTGCGAGCGAGCCTTTCGTGGACTGATCATAAGGTATCCTAGCGAGGAATCTGTAAGATCCTCGTCTCCTTGTGCATCGTCTTCCCCCTTCTCAGAGTCTAGCTGCGGCAGCTTGCCCCCGATTTTCTCTAACCCTGCCTTTTGACAGACTGAGAGGGGCGGCCATCTGCTTCCTCTTAATCGCTTTGTTTTGCGATGTGGCACCATCCGTTGGTCAGTCGAATGCAACTGCGTTTGTATTTTTGCCTCCTTCTTACGTTTGACGTACTCTGCACAGTGGAGGTGCCGGGTGCGCAGAGCTTGTCCTCGCCCATTATGTACATATCATGTTCACAAAACCCGTCCGATTAAATATGCGTGTCACGTAAACCCGAAAAGCCCCACCAGTCGCCGGGCTTATGTGCAGTGCGTATCCTTCTGAGGAACATTGGCTGGGTCGGAGATGTTGAAGACTCAGTGCTGCGTAGACCCGATCAGAAAAGTCTTTTATACCTCAGGGAGCTTTCCTTTTACTTACATGACCAAAGAGGAAGTCATAGAGGAGTTTTCACTTGCAGATTTCAGTATGCAGAAGAGATGCAGCATTCACACACAGGACCTGCCCATAGTGTAATGAGTAGTCTTTGATTGAAGCCTTCCATAGATCGACCATAGCAAAAAGTGATCTACATGACCATGCCCTTCATTATAGCCCCAAGGCGAAGTGCTTGTCGAGTTTCAGGTTTTTTCCTCGACTTCGTCCGGATCATGGTCTCAATGGTAGGGGTCTTGCGTTGGTGCTTCAGAGACGGGACGATAGGCTATCTCGAGGCTCTTGGGTAATAGGGAGGGGTAAGGAGTCGCGAAACGAAACGTTCTATTCACATATCAATATTGTGTCGAAAGGAGCCACTACCGCAAGACTTACCAGACCATTCCAATACGCATCTACCATTCTCTCTGTTGGGACCATCGTCACTTTGAAGGATTTCACCTTTAGGTCCAGTCCGAGTGTCCTCGTCCGACGCGTATAAACAGCGGGCCTAAGTCTGCGACATCCATAGGTTCCTACACTCACTAGCCTAACACAAATGGTAGCACCAGATGTCATGTAGATAAAGGGACATTAGCTAGCAACCCAGACGTACAACTGATACGGTAATATTGACACCAAATACTAAGCATGAGAGGCGAAGAAGAAGAGTATGTACACCGCAAACAAGAGAAATATGGTGTGACGTCGTGGTAGCACCTTGGTGCCGCCACGGAGATGGTTGGATTCTGTATCTAAGAAGCCCACTGTGCTGCGGAATATGTGCGTTTCGCTAGGCTGCGTGCTGACAAAGCAGTAGGATGAGTCTACGACCTGGTGCACTGAGCAAGAAGTGATTCAAGGCAGAAACCTCGAGGGAAAGGTTGTGACGGCTGACCGTCACAGACAAGTGGAGAACATACAGTTTGCTAACACACTGGACTACGCACAATCTCCAGAGACACATATAACTGTCGATGTGACTCTAAGGGAGTGGTTATTCCAATGTACTAAGTGGCATAATGAACGTGGTCATGGTCCATAAGAACCAGACTGGATAGCATAAGTTCGCGGCGTAAAGCAGCGGACAAATGAAACAACAATAAGGTATTGGTGAGGTCTTGCATTATACAGCTCCCTTGAGACATAGGAGGCGAAGTATCATCGAGTAGGTCGTATAAACCCGCTGCATACAAAGTGGGATGATCTGTAGTCTATCTAAAGTCAGGATCATTTAGAAATATCACTGGGGTTGGCAATCATCAACGCTCCATTGCTATTCCACTCGAGCCAAAGAAATGAAGCTTGTGCTTATAGGAAGGGCATATTCAACTTGAGGAACTACTTCAGCCATTCTCACCATACGCTCTGAAGCTGCAATTATTCGCTCTACGGACGATTCCGCTGAGTGTGCAAGGAACAATCCACTAACGCTCCAACGAAGAGGGAAAGCATGAACGAGATTCTTAGCTCCCAACTTGTTCGGACGGGTATAAATCCCTCAATTCACCTTGCATTGATACCTATCTGATTACCCGAAACAACCTGATAGAATCCCTCTAGCCAATTGTGCATCGCCATCAGCGTGAAGAGACAGTCCTGGTCACTGCGACCTATCCTTGACACTCGTGCGTGGCAAAACTCGCCTATAGTGCTCAAAAATATAGGAATAGTTAGCTTGCGAGGTGCTCGCATAGACTCTAGACCTCTCCCGTCTCGCAAAAGAGGTAAGACAGCATGCTTTAGTTGAATCCTAGACATGCATAGCAAAATTGCCAAGCCGACTTCTCTTCCCCGGAGCATGGTAGGCGCTTAATATCCGGCAATTCCGAATACTTCATACCTAAAACCATAATGGCTCGGCATGAATGTTTAGTCTGACTATGGGTACGATGCGTCACTGTTCAATGTAGGCGTGCCTGCTATCCCATTGTTCACATCTCCAGGAGGGAGCAGGAGGGCACAAATAGCTTAGTGCAGATAAGCACAACCTCAGAAAAGCAATATTTGACTCGTCAGGGAGATGCACTGTACATCGCGTATTCAGAGCGCTTTCTGTCCTGAAAAGCACATGCCAGGATGGTGGGAATTCTATGTCCTAATTGGGGGACGCAGAATACTATCCCAGATGAATGGTTGTAAATCCTGCTCACAGTGCAGATCGTGTCTGATAAGCGATGAACGATATCAGGCACAAATCGAATGCTTTCTCGGTCCGGTTCTAGATGAATCTAGACCTCGAATCTGCGCGTTATCAGGGTAGACCCTGCATGTCTGACATTGTCCATGCGGCATGGACAGCCCTTCTCTGACAAATATGATAGGGCTTTCCTACGGGAAGGATAGATAGATCCAAACTGGGTTTGCTCTCGTAACTGAGCTTCAGCATGCACAAACTGATTGCATGGTCATGCAGGTGGCCAGAATTGATATCCTCCGTGTACAAAACAATTACCTTGAGCACCGCCATTCATACCGGCTGTCATTCGGTTCCTGCCAATCCAGAGTTGCAGGACATCCACAGGGGTAACTGATGCAAGAGACAATTATGGATTTTAGTCGATATCAAAGCCATGACAGATAATCCGGCAGCATGCAAGCAGAGGAGACGCTGTGTTGGACCTTGGTCGATCAGTACGGAAGTTCGAATATCAGCCGCTGGTCCAGGTATGCTGTCAGTGACATGTGAACCAAAGAGCGACATTCCAATTTCAGCCAACGAATTTTGAACCGAGCCACGAGGCGCATGGGAACACGTCAAGTTATTGAGTCCGGAGATAGGTTGATAGGCCTGGCCAGCCTACAGGCTCTCTACAGTCTGATCTTTGTCCTGCAGGCCGCCGCTGGCGCGCGCTCAGCTCGTCAAGATGCGTAGTAGAAGGAAGCTAGGGCCTGAATTTTGGGCGCATGGCGATAGCTGAAGGTCTGCGGCGGTTTATGAGCACAAGCCACTTTAAAGCCATGACAGTTGCTGCACTTCAGACTCGGAGGAATGGCCCTTGGAGGATCCGCATTGCAAAGTCGCCCACATGGCTTGGCCAGGACCGCTTGACGCAATTGTAGGACAGACACAAAAGCCAAGGCTGCATTTCCCTTGCTGCACTCTCAATTGGATAACGAAACGGCCGACATAATATATCTTTGCACTTGGCAGGAACACCCCCAGGGAGGATGTGACATGGCTCCCTGGGCATGCGATATCGTCTTAGGCTAGCTTCTCATTCCATCAGCTCAAATTGTTGCCACGACCACTTAAGCTGTCCAGGACGAGGTCTTGGCTGACTCTCCGAGTGCCCTGGCCTTATTGAGGCGAGACGCATTGAATCGTCGAGAAAATAACATGCATGATTGTAACTACTTTGTTTCGCCTTTCGGAGGCATAGATTATCGGTTTGTCAAGTCACCCTTGCTTAGCACGCAGCACTTATGAATTCATATCCGGTCCCTGTTTAATGTTTGACGACTGGCAAACTTGACCGGCCTTCCTTGCTATCCGCCTGCAGATCCGGATGGCTCTGAGGATGCAAGGCACAAGAAGGCATGCGTGCTGGTTTGTGTCCGTCTGGTGGAGAATAAGAGCCTGTACCTTGACGGAGAATGGACAAATAGAGTTGCTGCGATAGTTCGAGTTTGATGTCAAGGTCGTCGACTACAATGATCACGGTCAATATCATTACGTCGGGCCGGATAATCACGACATCCTTCTATGGACGTCCTTGTGAGAATAATCGTCGATCCGGGTCAACAAGTCCTTCAATGAATGATAATGAACAGTCGACCCTGTAAAGCCCTGTGACGAGCAGGATATCGCTTCTCAATT